TCGCGCCGAAGAGTGCGTATGTACACAAGGTCATCGCTGAACGTTGCCCCGTGCTGCCGGGATTCCGGGAAACCCAGCGCAAGGGGCAACCTGTACTGTCATTTTTGTCGGCCGGCCACAGGCACCATGTACCCTATGTTGACTAGGGGCACTCGGAGTAACTCAGTCCAGGGGAGACCCCCAGATGGCCATGCTGAGCCCGGGCGCGCGAAGGGCGGGCCGAGCGACGTGCATGGCTGCATTCAAGTGGCCCTGAAACGGCTGCGCCTGTCTGCGGATTCGACAGTCGACGAGCAATGGGTACGTCCTTCGCCGCCTCCCGGTCGCTCGCGGACGCGGTTGAGCGGGCGGCTAGGCGACGAATGGCACTCCTCCATGTTCTCGAAATCCCGTTCCGTTTTCGACGAGGAGTTCGGGGGGCCTCGAGTCGTGCGCCACCTGCTCCGACCGCCGTCTCAGGCGACCCCTGTCGCCCTCTCCCGGGGGGCGAAGAGCCGGCACTCTCCTTGCTCCGTCGCCTGAATGCTCGAAGAATTCCGCGCTCGCGCTTCCGATGTGCTCACCGAGGGCGGTTCTGGCTCTCGGGGCTCGCACAAACCGCTCCCTGGGCTGCGCGTATGGATTGTGGCGACTGCCTCTGTGCAAACGAGTTCTCGCGCATAGACGTGTCCAGCGATTCGTGGGCATCTTCTCAGATCGCGCGGAGGCATGTGCGTCGCAGGCAAGGTGCACGGATCTCTGGCCCGTGCCGGCAAGGTGCGTGGGCAGGCGCCCAAGGTGGAGAAGCAAGACAAGCCGAAGAGGCCGAAGGGTCGGGCCTGGAAGCGCTTTCAGTACAACCGCCGCTTCGTGAACGTCGGTGCGTGTCCCGGCACACAAGCCCCTGCCTCACCGACACCTTCGCGACCCATTCCGCCTGGCCTTCTCATATTTACATGTCCGAAGCGCCGCAATCGCAGTGGCGGGTTTCAAGGGCAAGCCGAACGCTGCTCAGAACAAGTAGGAGACGGGACGCGGACACCGGGCTCACCATGGCAAGTAGCGCCGCCTCGTACACGACGCGCGTGGTGCGCCAGGACTTGTTAGGCGCACGCAGCATGTGCTCTCTTCGTATGCTGGTGACGTGTGAGTGACCATCACCTGAACAGCAACGCGCCCCTCGGTGGCGAGTGGCCAACCTGACTCTCACCTTTGCCGGGCCGACCGCCGCGACCAGGTGCCAACGTGAGCCATCGCCACGATACGGCTTCCGCCACGTCCTCCATGAACCCCTGAGCATTTCTACCAGTAAGTGGTGCACGGCAGGTAATGGGAACACAAGTTGGTTGCGATGCCTTTCGCCTTGTTCCCGCGCTAACTCCGATGCGGACTGCACCGAGGGCGTGCTTGGAGAAGAGGCCCATACAGCAGCCCGCCTATGCTTCGGGATAATTCGAGGGGCTGTGAACGCAGTTGGCCTTTCTTGGGCGCAGTCTTGCAGACTCACTTGGCGGGGTCGGCAGCCGACGACCTGACGAACCCACGAACGGCGGCAATTGTCGACAAATGCTCGCGCTGCAGGGCACGTCACTGTCCGAGGGAATCCTCGACCGGTCGCAGCTTTGTTGGTTCATCGAGACATGCACTTCACGGCGGTGTTTCGCCGGCAGTCAGTGCCCAAACATGGGTGTCGTGCCCAACCGTGGGCGCTCGTCACAGCAGCACCTGCCACGGCGGGTCGCCCGACCTCACTGGGCTCGTACCGTGCACCTGTCTCGCGCGCACGCCGGCCTGAATGTGAACCCTGTGAGCTACGACTGCGCCACTGCATTCGACCGAGCACCAGCTCTGCACGATGCATTGCGTAGGAAGTCCGATGCCGCATCGATACGCCAGGCGCTGCTCGAGCTCGCCGTCACAGCCAGCTGTCAACCATCGCCCGACTTCCTTACCAGCCGCAGCATGTGGCATCCTGTCGCAGGCGCATCGCGGCAGAGCCGACATCGCGATTCATGCACTGCAACCGCGGCCCGACGCCGGCGCTCAGAGCTCACGTTGAAACGTGGTCTGCGTGGAAGCGGCTCGCCAGATCCCAGTACTGACGTACACCGACGCTCTCGAGGTCTTGAATGGCGAGCTCCTGCACCCGCACTTCCTTAACTTCGAATCCTGAGAATGCTGGCTCAACGGCGACTCCTTCCCACACGAGCTGACACGAGTTCTCAGCCGCAGCCGACCTCTGAAATGTCGCATCCTCGACATCTTCCTCGAGCACTTCTTTCCACGGGATGCGTCGCGTCATGAGCTTGCAAAACCTTCTGATCGACTTCGAGCACCCCTCGACGACGACCAACACAAATGGCACTCCTGCACCTCCTTGGCCGTGATAACATCGGCCACTCAGCGAATTTTGCAGCGCATTCATCCGAATCTTGAACCGGTTGCGCCGATTGACGACGTTCCCAGCTCGGAACACAGCGACGTGCGTCTGCAGGAAGCGTGGGCCAGCTAGGGTCGTGAGACACGTGGCACGGCGATCAAAGTGACCATCGAGTATCGGTCAGGAGCCAACACCTGACTGTCAGAGTCGAACATTTTCCTCGTTTTCTTCTCCCTCCGCTCCACAGGCGTAAGCTTGTTTGCCAAGTTGCGATCATCGTGTGCCTGCTGTCTCTCAGCCATCTGACGCCGGACCTCGACCTCGATTGCAGTTGGATCCGCGGCGCTCTCCGCTCCCAGGACCCTGACCAGGTTGGAAATCTTTACGCGCGGTGGCGGCCGCTCGAGCAGCCCTTGCTGAATGAGCTCTTGCCGTTCCTTCTCCCTCTCCAGCCGACGCTGCGTTCGGAGCTTTTTCGCCTCCTTCGGGAGAAGACGTGCAGCGGGCGGAGGCGCAGGGGCCGCCTTCTTGGGCGGTTCGAGCGGGAGCGGGTGTTCAACCAGGGCCGTGATCTTGTCCTTCCGAACAAGAAACGACCGCTGGTGATGGTCAGCGCAATTAGCTTGGCACGATCTGTACGACGGCTGCAACAACGACGACGCCCCACAGGGTTCCAGCACTCTTGCATCCCACCATTCGATTCCGGGCACTTCTGGAGCGCTCTTGCGCGCACGGGATGCCGCGGCTTCTCGGAGAACGGCATCGACCTGTGCCCTCTCTCGCGCTTCAGCCTCATCCTGGTGCTCTTTGCGCAAGTTGACGGCCTGCGCCTGGGTGTGAGGAAACAGGACTGGCGCTTTGTGAACCCGTGCGGATTCATCGCTCCGTGGCTTGCTGGATTTCACGCACTGGGACGCCAACCTTCCTAGAAGCTTCCTGTGCTCGAAGTGCCTTCTTGAGCTCTAGCTTCTTCTCCCTCACTGCTTCCTTTGCTGCGTCCTCGCCCGACTCCCTCAAAACGCGCTCGTACTCGCCCTGTGTGTGGCGGGCAGCATGGTCGATGGGCCTGCGGATACTCGATCCGTGGGTTCGCGAGCACACCATCTCTTCCCTGCATCCTCCTCACCTGCAGCTGGAATTTGCCACGTTCTACAAATTCAAGTGAAGATCTTGCGTGTCGCCGCTTGTCGTTATGGGCGCTCGAGTGCGCTCGCCAGTCACCTGCGCCAAACCAAAGAACCTCGCGGGATAGTAAGGGACAGTAAGGGCTGCCCGTGAGCAACTCTGTCGAGCAGTGAGTAAACGCAGTCCGATACTGTGGCGACTGTGACATGCTCGATGGTGGCGGGCAAACGTCGGCTATCAGCACAGATGGCCGCCTCCGTCACGGCTGAGGGGCAGGGAGGACGCAAAGGACATGCAGGTGTTCACGGGTCTTGTTGATTTGATGCGGACCTTCCAGTTTCCGTGCTGCACGCTCGCCGTTGCCCGCGCCGCTGTCTGCTAGCTGCAGGCGTTTGGACGCCGATGGTGCGCAGCCGAGCTTGCTTTTCAGTTTTTCCTGCAATTCCAGGACCCTTTTCGCCTTGGCCAGCGCCGCAGCCGAGGGCGCAACCACGCCCGCACCAACGTCTCCCGCCCGTACATCGCGCGCTTGGATTTCGGCTTCAGTCTTCGTTCTTTTCGGCACGTTGGCATCGCCGTCCTCGCCGCGATGAGCAGGTGGGCGTTTGCTGTTCATCACGACGCGGCTCCTGCCCAACGCGTGAATTGACGTGCCGGGGCCGCCGCCGTCCTTGGTCTCGAAGACTGCAGCTGGAAGCCCCAGAGCTCTCACGCTCAGAGAACTGGCTTCGACCTCCCCCGAGATGCGTCTACCCCCTGGGCTGCGAGGCTCGGGCCGTCTGCTTCGGCCTTCGGCAGGCTGCCGGGCCAGTTGTGGACGAGCCCGGCGGCGTGACTGCCAACGTGTGCCGGCACCACTGGCACCACAACTCGATGTCCGGGCTCGCCGCGGGCGGCTTCACTGGCAGACGTTGCCCACGGCGCCGGGCCACGTCGAAAGTTGCGTTGAGTTGATGGATGTTGGTGACGTGCGTACTTCAGGCGCGGGCCTCACTGCGGGCCTTGAGACATCCGACAATTGGCGCGGACACGGTGTCAGGGGTGAGGTCAAATGGGGACCCCACCGGCGCTCCGAGCGCCGGGCGCTCGGCGATGTCCCCGATGCCTCTTAGAGGCTCTAGTCACTGCTCGGCGGTCCACAACGGGTGCCCTGACCCACGTTGGATGTCTGCGTGACAGGCGGCCAAACACCAGCGTGCCGTGCTTCCAACGTCGCAGTTCGGGCTCTCTTTTGCCGACTTGGCGCTCAAACAGGGACTGTCCTGCGGTCCCGGCCGGGTGCCCACGAGAAGGCTGCTGACTCTACATGCGCGGGGCTCGAGCGCCCTGTGCAGTTGCCGTCCGCTTTCATCCAGCTGTCGTCCAACCAAGCAGTACGTCGTAGCTGCCACTTACTCGCCATGCGCGGCTGGCGGTGCTGAGGTCGTCTCTTCAGGTTGCACAGTCGCGGGCGTGCGTCGAACGAGAGCTTGCGGCAGCGTGCACAGACTCTTTCGGATCTGTGGCGCACGGTGCCATGGACACCTTCGAGCGTGAGCGCACGACGAAGGGGCTGCGCCTTCCGCACGGATGGTGCGAGTGCCCGGAGATGGGGGCGCCCATCGACGACGGATTCGGGCCCCTGATTCCGTGCAAGGTGCCTCTAGGTGCGCACAGATGCCCTCTGCTTGCACCTGAAGACAGAGGGTTGGAAAACTCGGACGTGCTAATGCCGACGGGCCACCCCTGCGCATCGCAGGTCGTCAGTGGGTCGGATGCGTGCCCTCCAGCGTGCACTTTTCACCACAAGCTGCGGTCGATCTCGCGTTCACGAGCTACAACGTCGTAATCGGACTCGTCGTGGATCTCACGTACAGTGACAAGTACTACATGCCCCAGGAATTTGTACAGCTCGGATGCAACTACTGGAAGGAGCCTTGCAGGTGGGCCGGGCGCACGCCGGGTGACGCGCGCGATATGCAACGTGGAGCGTAGCTGGCTGCGCTGCAGACCGCGCAGGGCTGCGTGCTGGCGCGTCACGCACACGAAACCGTCGGCGACCGTTGTCTTGCAGGGGTCGTAACGCGTCGCCGGACCCGAAGGCCGTCAACAGCGTGTGTCACATCATCACGCAGCAACAGGCGGACCCTGATTTCGTGTTTGAGGATCAGGTTTCAGGCGAAAAGCGGAAGATGGGGGTACTCATCCACTGCACGCATGGATTCAATCGGACAGGATTCGTCGTCACTGCGCTTCTGCACCGCCGTAGACTGGCCGGAAAACTGGTGCCACTGGGCCACACATTGCAAATTTTTTCCCAGAAACGGTTTCCCGGCATATACAAGGATCAGTACGTGAGCGATCTATTCGACTACTTTCACGAAGATCGTCCCGAATTCGTACGAACCCCGGATCTACCGCAGTGGAAAGCAAGCGCCCGCGGAGTTGACGATGAGGATGATGATGGGGGCATCAGTGTCGAGCAGCTCCACAGAGACGCGGAAACGCCGCGACGAAATGGTCGGCCTCGTCCCGCACATTGACGTCCAGGCGACTCGCACGCCAGCGGCGAGCAATGCGCATGAACCGCTGCACATACGGCGTGTCACTCGCAAGCACTCCGAGTCGCTGCAGGCATCCCTTTCCTGCCCGACGGCAGCCCCGATCTCGAGGAGGTCGGCGAGGACGTTCCCGACGAGCTGGCAGGGGTGATCCAGAGGCTCGTCTGGAGCAAGGTCCGCGGCAACGAACTGGGGCAAGCTGATGACGCAGTTCGCTTCCCTGGGTCTCAACCGGTGTCTCTCGAGCGGGATCACGTCGGGAACATCACCGCAGACGAATACAAGTGAGTGCTGTCTTTCTACTTGTCCTTCGCCGCCGTCTGCGCGTGCAGCAAGCCGCGATGCATGCCAGACTCGGGAGCAGTGCCTGTGCTGCAGAGTGACTTGGAAGGCGGACGGGGTGCGCTATATTCTGGTGTGCTTCGGCGGTATTCGTGGTGGCGGAGACGGTCTGTACCTCTTGAACCGTAACTTCCGAGTACGTCGCTTGCAAGTTCGCCTCCCTGTGTGCAACATCGAGCAACAGGATTTCCGTCTGCGAGACTTTCGACAACATAGCTGTTGCATCCTTGACGGGGAGCTTGTCGCGGACGAGATTCGTGAAACGGGCCGTCACACCCTCAAGTATCTTGCGTACGACCTGATTGATGTGGTGAGTGAACTGAACAGCATCGCAACTTGTCAATCATGTACATCGCGGCCCACCTGTCACCACGCCGAACCCACCTCCACTTCTTCTTGTCATCGCCTTCCCATCGCCCCCCTCCGACAGCCTGTCGTGCTCGGTGCGCGGCATCCTGCAGGATCCGAGTGGTCGCGGTGCGCTGAGCAAGTCACACTGGATAAACGCCCCGTTCAAAGAGCGTCTTCAAGCCATCCAAGACTTCGTGGTGCGCCCTAAATACTTGGAGGAAAGGGCGCTAGCGACGGCACTGAAGTCTCGTGCGCCAGGAATTTTGCTTCGTCGCACCGGGAACTGGGTGGGTGAGTTGCCTCGAAACTCACCATGTCCATGATATGCATGCGATCCGCCGCCGCACGATGATTGCGCGGCTTCGATACCTGCAGAGTTGGATGCGCTCGGGCGCGAGGTGGCCGAAGTTCCGAACTTCCGTTTCGACAAGGAGCCGATTCGCGTCGAGCGCAAGGACTTTTGGTCCCTGAAGGACACTCCATGGATATTGACCAAGTTCGTAGATCAGCTATGTCACGAGTGCGACGGGCTGATCTTTCAGCATGTCGGCGACCCGTACGTATGCGGTACAGCGGAAAAAATGTTCAAGTGGAAGTTTCCTCACTTGAACACAGTCGACTTTCAGGTGTGTGTCGTGTTCCAGCCGCTTCCAGATGCCGCAAGCGTCGTCTTTGCCGTCGTATCGTCGTTGGCTCAGCCGCGTCGAGCGCGACGCTCGCGTTCGACCCCAAGCGGACCAAAGGGCCATAGATATGGCCGCACAACGCGTCATACTTATCAGTCCTGAGAATGCTTTGAGTCTTGCGCATTGCTCCGTAGGTTCGCATGGGCAGTGAGTGTGTGCCGCAGCTCTGGCTCTACGAAGGGCGCTCGACTGCACCAGGTGGCAAAGGCTTCAGGCAAGTGTCAGGTCATCAGCTTCAGGTCCGCCGCTTCACGAAGGCCGATGACCGCCGTTTGCTATAGTACTTCGCGAAGGCTCCGTGCACGTCTCGGGAATGCTCGACGGCCTGGCTTCGCTGTTCGTGCATTCGGTACGCAGTTTTCGGACGGGGACGACCCAGCTGCACATGAGGGGCGCATTGTTGAGTGCTACTGGGATCCAAAGGCGTGCGCATGGCGAAAGCTCCGTATTCGCGGAGACAAAAGCATGCCCAATGCGTACAGCGTATTTGAGAACGTTTGGCACACGATCAAGGAAAACATTTCGTTCAAAGAGATGCTGCAGATATCGTCAGACACGCCTTAGGCGCTGGCTGGCAACAGCCGCGGCATGGTCTCCTCGTCAGGCACGGTCTGTGTGTGAACATGCGATGTCGCAGCAGCTTGCAGACTAGCTCGCGACCAAGCACGGACGGTCAGAGGGCTACCCATGTCGCTGTTCCTAACAGATGTTGCGACGCTCTGCGTCTTCGGCCCGTATCGCCTTTTTTCCGATCAGAAGTGGGCCGTCTGTAGACCCGACAGGGTCCTCCGCCATTGTCTTTGCCTTCGCTGCCTTGGCCCCCCCGCGACAGGCACACACACGAACTTCCATGGCGCTGCGTCCCGATTTTCCTGCCAACCACCACGTGGTCCGCTGCTCACCGTGTGCATTCAAGAGCGGCTCGAGTAGCGGGGGCGTCGTGAGGGGGCCGTCACCGATGCTGCCACCTGACCACCTCGCAAGTGACGTCTTTGTGGTACGAATGTCTCACTGGGCAGGAGGAGGTTGGCCGGTCGACGACTCCCGGACGCGAAGTTGGGGTGGATGACGAGTGACCGTGCGGCTGCGGGGGTCGTCACTGATTGAAGACCTTGAGCCGCATGCACAGGTGTCCCAGGAACCTGGCACCAAAAACTCCATCTTGCTCATCATGCGTGCGGGCACGATCATTGTCGGTGTGGCTGCGGCTGGTGAGTGCCAACTGCCGTGGTGACGAGCGTCATACCGACTGCGCAGTGGACACCTCCGAGGCATTCCAGTCACAAGTAGATTCCGTCGAGGAGATCGAACAGATCTGGGAGGAAAGACTGCTCCCAGATCTCGAGCAAGACGTCGACGGCGCATTCCGCGAGAAAGGCAAACCCGATGAAGTAGAAAATAGCGAGACCTGCCAACAGGCCCTGTCTTTTCTCCACACGCAGGCACTGCGACATTGGCGCGGTCGTACTCCATGCCATGACCATGCCGGGCGCCGGAAACAACCGCGGGGCCAACGTGTTGGCGAGCTTCAGTGCCAGGAAAGACACAAACCACGGATTCTTCGCGTCTTGCGGCCTGAACCTGTCGCCTCCAAGAGCTTTCTGGGACAATTCGACCGCACATAGTACCTCCTGCATGGAGACGTGAAACGTTCGTCTGTCATCCAGGCAAAGAGGTCACCTGATCTGAGTGGAGCACAACAGCCCGTTGACGTTGTCGAGGCGCGTACGTCAAGACGCTCTTCGGTAAACTCATTCAAAGCTCTGTCCAAAACATCTGGTGACGCCTTTCCTTCCCACGACACGTGATCATAAAGCACCTCAGCCAGGATGGCGCACGACTCCAGGGCCACGTTGCAGCCCAGCCCAACAGTGACGACCATGGAATGCGCGGCATCTCCGAGCAGAACGACCCCTCCTGGTCCGTGCAGATGGCTGCACCTCGTAGAGATGCCCGCGATGCGCGGCTCCTGCACGCCAGGCAGACTCGCCTTGCTCAATCTACAGCAGGAGTGCTGGCATTTCATTTCGGTGCTGTCGAGCAGGGGCGACGCACCTGCTCGGCCATGCTATTCCAGATTGCTTCCGACGCTGCCCTGCCGAGAGCCGGAAACCAAGACATCAAGGCTGCGGCACCGTGTCTCCTCAACTCGACGAGACGTTCGTCTGTCATCATGCAAGCACCTCGCGCCGGGAGCTCCTCGTCGCCTGGCTCTCCAGTCAGAATCAAAGAGACGCCATACCTCGAGGATCGAAACACGTGCACCGAATGGTCCCACACGTCAGCTGCAGCGAAACACATGATGGAGGGTGCCTGTGTGCCCTGCTGGACAGTCGCGCAGGAAACACGATGTCTCTCGCGCCGACTGAGTAACTCAGCCTGGGTTCCTCCACACCTGAAGCGTCGCAGCGACGTCGGTCGGCTAGCAACCCCAAGGGACAGTCGCACAGCATCATGGAGCAACCATCCTTCTCTTGATGAACCGTGAAGCCATGCACCTGCTGCTCCAGTATCTTCCGTGTTTGGGAGTTCACGCCGTCTGCTCCCACGAGCAGGTCGTAGGGCACCTCAGACTGCGCATGCGGACAACCAAGAAGATCGAGTTGGCCTCGGATCGTGCGAGTGCCGGCTCCCACAAGGAAGGCGATCGTTTCGAGGTCCACTTTTCACCTTCGTGGCAGCCGACAGATCCGACCCATCTGACAAGCGACCTTGCGGGCTCACGGGCACGAGTTCAGCCACACGTCGGTCCAGGTCAATGTGAGACAACCGCTTCGAGAAGTGGAACCGGATCGCGGATGGATGTAGGCGCTCGGCGTTCTCAATCAGAGCGGCAACAAATCGCGATCGCCTCACGAGAAATCCCTGCGATGAGGGAAAGGACCATCATTATGATGACCTGCTACACGGCAGGTGCATGAAGTTGTTTCCTTGTTGGTCGTGTTCGGGTTCTACATCTGTGGTTCAGCCAGCCGCCGCGACGCAGCATGCGATTGGACGTGAGAAGCAGTGACGAAGTTGGGACCTTTCGCTCACGCACCTGCCCCATGGGAGGTTGTTGAACCAGCTTGCCATCTTTCGTGTGAATAAACACAGCTTCCGGGCGCAGCACATCTTCCAACCTGATCTCGACACCAGCCATTTCCAGTGCCTGCATGCCCCGCTCGTTGATGCGAAAAGCCCAGCTGCGATCACGACCAGGAGACTGTCGAAACGGGGGTCCCTGAGGCTTCGCGCCAGCATCGCCGGCCACCGGCATCCCGTTCCGCCCCCCAGAGCCGCGGACGTCTTGCGGATACTCCGGCTTGTCCCGAGCTTCCAGAACGTCTACCTGAGCGGATCATTCATACAGTCGTGCACATATCGTCAGCCTTGTCGTGTTCCACGAGCACACAGGCCACCCCCAACGTCGCTGCCTTCGATCCAGAATTGAGAGACGTGGTGCGACCGCGGGCACGCAACGTCATGAAATGGACCCTACCTGCCATCCCATGTTGGCCAAGAAAATGGCCATCAGGACGCCCGCCGGTCCAGAGCCGGCTACCACAGCCTTTCCGAGATAGCGCGCCCCATCGACCTCCGAAGCAGCTTGTCGCGTGCCCGCCGTGGCGTACCAACCGAGGCCCGCACGAGACTGAGATTCGGGAGAGAGGCTTGCAGCGAACGCTCCAGCCGTGCGCTGGAACGCTGTGCAGAGACCATCGCCAATCGCACCGCCTCCAACACGCCAGGGCGATGCGATAGTTCGGCACGGGGCGGTTGAGGGTGTCGCGGCGCGCCTCGCGTGTGGCACGCTGGATCTGAGCGGGAGCACCATAGTCAGCCTGCTCCTTGCGTCCCTATGAGAACCGCATCACGTACCGCACGATAGGTAATCAGCTTTCGTTCTCGCCGATCGGGTCCTCCAGGGAGTGCATGGCGTTGTGGGCCCCGCACACGATTGGGCCCGAGCAGGTGAGGCAAGAACGTATGGCCCGCCAGCAAGGCGGCGTCGTCAAACAACGCTGCAACTCTCAGAACTGCAGGCGGCTGTAGCGGCTCTGGCCCGCTGAGGGCCAGCTCCTGATTGCGGCGCAGCCCGCGGGCAGGCCGAAAGTCAGTCAGTCATGGCGCCGGCCTGAAGTGCTGCTGATTCCTCTGGAATCCTGACGTGAAGTTCAACTGAATCGGGTCTTGACGGAGGCGACAACGTCCGGGCGCTTCGTACCCCGCGCTTCGCCCGTACCGTTCATTCGCCGAAGCGTTTCAAAGTCAACAGGCTCAGCGCCTAGGCTAGCCCAGCTCAAACGTACGGCTCGTTGAGCCGCACGTCGCCGGCAGTGGCAGACATCGTGGCGCACCGCCACGCCCGGATAGCAGCAAACAAACATTTCAATGCATTGTCAGGCCAGACTGTGGTGTCTCTAGCAGATGCCGTCAAGGCCGGACTGCCTGTTGGACAGATTGGCATCCCCTTGCTGATCATCCTCCGCCGCTGCCGCAAAGGCGCCCGTCGTCGCGGCCCGATCACTCGTCGCAACGCGTGCTGAGGGGTGTGCAGCGGCCGCGGCCTGATCACACCACAGCGGCAGAGGTGCTGTCCGTTGCACAGTTTGCTGCTACGGCGCAGGGCGTCAATAGGCCGGGCAATACGATGCGGCCTTCTCTTCGCGCACAAGTTGCGCAGTCGCGCGATGTTGCAGGCGTGTCCTCGAGCTTGTCGGGGCGTCGCCTGTCCAGAGCCTCTCGCACCCAGGCTCACGGCGCGGATGGGCCGTCAGGCCGCGATGAGCGCACAAGCGCATGTGATGTGCATGGAGTCTCGGAGCATGCATCGCACCGGACGGCAGAAGAGGGAGCATCGAGCGGCCGGCCCTTGGATTGCACGAGCCATGAACTCTCGGACGACGCCCGCGCGCCCGGAGGACTTGCGAACCGCACTGGTCAAGAGGGGACTCGCCGCTTCGGCGCGGAAACGATCTCACACGCTTTTAGCACCGAGCACGCGGGCGATCCGGGGACAAGCGAAGCTATCATCGACTCGTCACACATCTCGGGCTCTTGGCTACAGCGTCATACGCTGGTAACCTCGCCCTCTCGACGTCGCGAGCAGGCCGACTTCTCACCTGCCACAGGTGCGCAGCGCGGATGGGAAGTGGACAGGGAAACTTTGTTTGTTTTTTTTTCAATGATGATTATCCTTTTGTTTCGAAAATGTTGAGACATCACCGCCACACTGCGGCCCACTGCAGGGCAGACCTCGCTTCTATCTGGTCTGATCGTCGCTCTGATTGCGCTGGCCTCCGGGCTGCGAGGCCGGGAGCGCGCCGAAGATGATCGACTGGGGTCGCGGGCATGGCAGCGGCGAGAAACCTGGGGCGCAGGGCTTGGCCCAGAGCTGGCGGCCGCCCGAGAGCAGCATGCGAAGCGCATGGTATGTCTGTATCCCGCATGAATTGCGAGCAAATGCGCGGCGCTCTCGGCTGTCGCTGAAGCTGTCGCGGACTTTGACGATGCAGGCAGAGCAGCGTGCGGAGGCAGAGCGCCGTGTGCGTCAAGCTGCACAGATTGCGGCGCAAAGAGCCGCTGTCAGAGAGCGCAAGGCGGCGGAAGAGCGTGCGAAGCTGCTGCAGGAGAGAGAGAAGTGGGAGGAGAAAATCGCAGAGCAAAAACGCGCCTATGAGGAGGCAGAGAGGAAAATGCAAGCAGAACTTGACGCGGCCCGGAAGGCCGAGAAAGAAAGGATGCGAGCTGCGCGCGAGGCGGCACGGCGCGAAGCAGAGGCACAGAGGGTATGTTGAGTCGAAACAATTGTGGCGGTGCGGCAGTCTGAATGCGACCGACGACATGTGGGCAGCATGTCGCAGCACGCGTGCGGGCGGGCGTCATCAGATGATCATGCTGCGTCATGCCTTCTGGGAAGCGTCGGTTGAGGAACATGGGCAACCGTAAAGGCCCCTCTGTGCACGATTGATGTGCAGCTGCAGCGTGAGAGGCAGCTGCAAGCGGAGAATACGGCGCGCCTGGAGCGAGAGCGTCGCGAGCATGAGCAGCGAAGCGCAGAACGGGCAAAGCGGATAGCGGAGCTGGACGAACGCAGGGAGAGTGTTGTGCATATGCGTCTGCCAGTGTCGGCGATAGCAAAAGCAGTGCTGCCGCCAAGAAACGCGACGACACCCACGGAATGCTTCGCCGAAGTTGCGGTTGCCATAACTCTTGCTGTAGGCGAAGGTACAGCACCGGCACAACCAGTCACAGCCGAGCTCCTCTCCAACGGCCCCTGGGAAACTGCACGTGAAGCTGCCGAGAACGGCCGGCGCATAGCCAGCGTGGCTGTTGCTGCTACGATCGGTGAGATGCAAGCCTGCGGCGCTGAAAACGCACGCGCGCGGCTTGACGAGGGGGAGTGGCAGTTCGTGGAGAACTTGCTGACGGTGAGGGCGGAGATGATGCTCACGGCAGTTGCCGAACGTGCTGCCAGTGCGTTCATGAAGCGGCGGACGGAGCAGGTCGAGCGTTGCGACGACGTTATGACAGTCCCCTGCGTGTCGAGGTAGGCACCCTGCTTTTGAAATGGGATATCCCTAGAGCTCTCTGCGTTGTGCGTCACCACGCAGTCAAGCAACTTCGCCGTGCGGCGCAGGGAAGAACCCTTGAGCTCGCAGGCTCTGGCAGAACAAGCCATCAGCCTCATTTGCGAGGGCCGCATTGAGGATGCACGGGCATGGGTGTTCGAACCTTTCGCCCACGACGCGATTCGGAACTTTTGCACGGGTGTATTCGCACAAAATGGCGATGAAATGCGTCGCGGGCCGTCGACACTGGTGCCGCCTTCTCGTGAGCCTGCGGGGGCTGGATTCAACGTGTTCGCTTGTGGTGACCCCGTCATCGTGACGGTGGCCCTTGCCATGGCGGCGCTGGTAGACAGAATCGACCGAGTACAAGCGTCGAGCGCGACCAACGCAGTTGGACCTGCTGAGGATGCGCTACAACTGGCTGCTGACATGGTGCGCACTGCAACTCAAGGGGCGCCGCCGGACAGCATCGCACCAGCCGCAGCAACGATCGTGCGGTGTCTGCCGGAGGGACATCCAGTTGCGAGAGAGATTGTGTCCATCGCCTCGGCCAACGCAAGTGCGGAGTTCAAGGTACGCTTTGAAAGCCCACTTATTCTAGAGGACGACGCTTTCTCGACACACTAGCTCGATGATTATGTCGCGCATGCGCGGGTCCGTTCTGTGTCTGTAGCGTTTCGTGGAAGCGCGGTTGCGCGCGGCCAAGCGTCGCGCTGCGGACAGGGCGGCTGAGGATGTGTTCAATGACAGGCGCACGTCAGTTGCGGGTCGCGTCCTCGCCGATCAAGCAGCCACCCCCATTCCCGAGCGTGTTTGGGCTATGCGGAACGTCGCATCGACGCTGGCCAGCGGCGGACAGCTGGGGCAAGCTCGGAAGATGATGGAAGAAGCTGTGGAACTGATGGAGCAGTATCTGGGATCGGATGACCATCCCGGTCTGCTCATGGACTTGAGCTCGCTTGCGTCAGTGTACGATCGCGGGTCGCTGCTAGAGTGGCAGGAATTGGCCCGCAGAACGCGGAGGCGCATCGTCCACATTGTGGTGTTGGTTGCGAACACGTGGGCGGAGGCGGGGCGTCGTGGAGAAGCTGCAGACCTCCTGGAAGGCCTCGTGCGAGAGTACGAGTCTCTTTTCACCACGGAGGACGTGTCGCTGATCGCAGCTCGGCAGCGCCTACAGACGCTGTCTCAGGAGGTGGGTTTCAGGAGCTGTCCATGCCTCCCTGCTGCTTCCGCTTGCACAGCTGCTTGCGCGCCGACGTCAGCTTACAACGCACGCATTCCGGAACTCGCGCACCGCACGTTCTTGTCGCTGCGGACTGCCGCAGGATCCGACCAGGAAGGCAGGCAAGCCTCGTATGGGAGTGGTAAAGCAGCTCGCCAAAGAGTTCGAACAGGAGATACGAGTGCGACTAGAGGCGAAGCTGCAGAGACGAAGCACGGACGACGAGGAATTCGGAAACGTACGCGGGCATCTTGGACCGAGGAACTGATTCAATGACTCCTTTTTGGTCATGAGCAGAAGCAGCTTCGCTTCGCTCTAGCAGGACCAATATCTCCTGGCACATCCACCGCCTTTGGACCGCAGACGGGCTGAGCGGTCGAGGTCTGATGATCGGGCACGGACAGATCTGCAGTGGGCAAGGCCGTGAGCGCTGTCTCGTGAGAGGTCGCAACGTGAAAAGCGATATAGGCGTCGGCTCATGTTGTGTGGTACGAGACGTGACTTGCCGGAAAGATCGCAATCGCTCATGGCGTCCCAGTACGAGCTCTGCGTTTTCTCCGGGGAAGGCATCATCATTTCCGACATGCGTCGCGACAAGTCCCGGGCAGACCAGTCGGCGCCGTGTCGGGTTGGGGGTATCGGATCATACAGCAGGGACGGCAGTCCGCGCTCTGCCCGCGTCACGTATCCATCCGGTCGAGGTCGCACATCTGTGGCACAGTGTCGAGAGCGGGTGAGCACGCTTTTCTGCCCAGCCCGCAATTGACGTCCTCGACGCATCGTACATGATATGGATTCGAGCAGCCGTTGCGTACTGACCAGGAAGAGGGAAACCCCTTGCTCGGGCCACCTCTGCTAGTGCGAGGTCACGTTCGTACTCATCCTCCTGCATCACCCGGGCGTATTCTTCGAGGTTGAATAGGTGCTCAGACATGCCGCCTTGATCAGTCTCAACATCTTTCATGTCGAAACGATCCGCCATCATTGCCTGCCCCTTCTTGCCCCTGTTGATGAACACCACCTTGTTGTATGTCACTGGGTCGATGAACGGGCTGATTGCCGCCCACATGAGAGAAAAGATTCGCGGCGCGTGGTAGCAGATTGCCTCTCCCATGCGTTCGGGATAGTGATTCTGCATCGTGCGCAGTGTTTCCAACGAGATCCGCAGCGGGGGAGCGTTTTTCATCGAATAGCCCGGCATGTCCACGAACCAACTCAGCTTCTCGCAGCCAATGGCGTCTGCCCTCCTACAGGTCATTTCGCAAGTATAGACGAAGAACCGTATGTTGTCAGGCCCCATGTCTGCAGGCGGGATGTTCTCGTCACGTGGTTTCATGAGGACGAGTGGCCACCCGCGCTTGTCGGCGAAGCTGGGACAGTACATCTTGCCAGATCGCGCGTGATACTCAACGTCCTCCCATCTGGTTCGTTCGGGCTGAAAAGTCCGGCGCCTGCAATCAGCGTGGTAGGGTGTTCAACCGTTGGCCATGGCAGAAAGCCGGCTCTCAGCTGCATGGCCGCAAACATAACTCAGTATGAGACGCTTCTCACCATTGGCACGAGTGCCGGAGCATCTCCAGGGCTTTCTCATGATCCCAACCTCGCGCCCTGAGATACTGGTGGCATCGATGCCTGTTGCACCACAGTATGAGCCCCGGGTTGTCCAACTCCGGCTGGATCGCCTCAAACAGCCTGGTCACCTGCGCGGATGGGACGAGCCTCTCACGTCGCGCCCCGGCGTGTCAGTGTCCGCTCGAACTCGTAGGTTGCGGCACATGAACACATTTGCATCTCTTTGTCCGGAGCGCTCGACAAACCGCAGCGCACGCGTCCACCGCCTGAGACTCGACGGCGGTGCGCGCCGCAGCGGCGAACTTGTGTGATACTTGAAGAGCACTGGTGATGCCACTTCGCCACGGCCACGGTGGACGGGGGGGGCGCAGCTGCGCCCGCTGACCGTCCCGGTGCATGAGGAGGTATGCGTATCACTGTGAGAGCGGAACATGCCAAGCGGGCGACGTGCAGCACGTCGTACGTTGCCCGGACGGCAGGATCCGACACGAGCGTGTACCCCACCTTGGCCTGTTCGTCCTGGCTTGGCGCGGGATGGCCCCGGTGGCCCATTCTCCTGCGATCCTCAGGGTGTCACCGGTACAATGGTCTGACGCGTGCGCGAGTCGTGGCGGGTTTGAAGTGAGGATCAGCGTGCTGAAAGCTTGTCTGCACAGCCCTCCAAGCACAGGAAGGGCGCCAAAGATACAATGCAAGTTGCAGCGCTGATTGGGGCCCTAGTACGGCGGAGCTGTCGGGCACGGCGGGACTCCCGAGGGAGGAGCCCTGAGGGAGTGCTGAGTACTCGGCGCAAGCTTCCGGGAAGTTCCCCTCCGGGAAGGTACCCTAGGCCCCCCCCCGAGCTCGGAGCTGCCCCCCCCACCGGGTACAAGGGCTCTTGTTTCGCAGGACAAGTGTTGCGTGATAGTTCCAACCGAATGGCCCAAGATGGCGACAGTGCTTTCTCGAGCGCAGCCTGGCGGGCTGTTTAGGGCGCTAGCTTCAAGCCAGGCCTCGAACGGTCATGGCACGCTGTTGGGCTCCCTCAGGAGGGCATTCTCGGGAGAACTAGCAACGATCGAGAAAGGTCGACAGCTCGCCCGCCCGGCGACGCAGTTGTGCACCGCAGCGCACGATGGTACGATGTGGCCCTCAACTCCAATGCGCTGCCGCTCCCTGGCTGATGCAGGCGGTGCACGGGATGTCGATGCCGTGGACATGAAGGGAGTATCGATCCGGGGCGCACCACTGTACCTCGACTCACAGTCGACAACGCCCCTCGACCCTCGGGTCTTGGACGCTATGCTCCCGTACATGACGGACCTGTACGGCAACCAGCACTCGCGTACGCACATGTATGGCTGGGAGACCGAGAATGCGGCAGAGAGAGCACGCGCGCAGGCAAGGGTCCGGAAGGCGTCCTGTGCGACAACACAACGTTGCCGTGTTGCTAGGGCGCGCGCCAGACACTCCGTCCCTCAGCGGCCTGCAGGTGGCCTCCCTCGTGGGCGCGGACCCGAAGGAGATCATCTTCACGTCAGGAGCGACTGAATCGAACAACATCGCCATCAAGGGTGTCGCGGGCTTCTACTCCGGCAAGAAGCAGCACATCATTACGACGCAAACCGAGCACAAGTGCGTTCTCGATTCATGCCGATTCCTGCAGCAGAAAGGCTGGGACGTCACCTACCTCCCAGTGGACAAGCGCGGCCTGATCAGCTTGCAGCAGCTGGAGGACTCGATCCGCGAGGACACAGCACTGGTTTCCGTCATGGCGGTCAACAACGAGATCGGCGCCACGCAGCGGGTTGCCGACATCGGCGCCATCTGCAGAGCGCGCAAGGTCTTCTTCCACACCGACGCCGCACAGGCTTGTGGAAAGATACCCGTCGACGTGAATGAGTGGAAGGCGGATCTGATGTCCATATCTGGTCACAAACTGTACGGCCCCAAAGGCGTTGGCGCGCTGTTCGTGCGTCGTCGTCCTCGAGTGCGCATCGAGGCTCAAATGTCTGGTGGTGGCCAAGAGCGAGGGCTGAGGTTCGTCCCCGCATGCAGGTTTTTTTGTTTTTGCTTGCTACTTTCATCGCGGCGCCCTCGCTACTGTCATGCCCCAAGGTGTGCTGCTCCGAGTCCCGTTGACAAGCAGGAGCGGCACGGTTCCCACGCCACTTGTGGTGGGCATGGGTAAGGCGTGCGAGGTGGCACAGGACGAAATGGAGGCCGACCACGAACACATCGTTCGACTCGCCGACCGCTTCCTGACCAACCTTCGAGGTCGACTTGACGGTGTTGTACTCAACGGGGCCGAGCCGGGTGATGCCAGGTGCTGGCCGCGCCGAATCCTCAAGCCTACGAACGTGCAGCTTGTCTCGGCCCGCTTGCCGCTCAACACAGGCCTGCAACCGCGGCATGACCAGCCATGCCCGTTATGTGCACTCTTGCAGGTACCACGGGTGTCTGAACGTCTCTTTTGCTTTCGTGGAGGGCGAGTCACTTCTCATGGCGCTCAAACAGGTTGCTGTGTCGTCGGGTTCCGCGTGCACATCGTCGTCTCTAGAGCCCTCCTACGTCCTGCGTGCGCTCGGTGTCGAAGAGGACCTTGCGCACACGTCAATCAGGTACGGGATCGGGCGGTTTACCACTGAAGCAGAGGTGGACGAGGCAGTGGCGCTCACGGTGCAGCATGTCAACCGACTGCGACAACTGAGTCCGCTGTGGGAGATGGCACAGGAAGGGATCGACATCAAGTCGATCGAATGGGCGCAGCACTGAGATGCCGACCTCTCTCAAGATCAGCTCCTTCTGCACCATGGCACCTTGAGCGGAACAGCTGGCTGACTGACAGCGCCGGCAGTCACAGTGTGCGTCGCCATGTGAGGATCGGAAATGTGCGATCCCCATGTTTGCGTTCTCCGCTGGCCCATGAACATCCCCTCACGGCAAAATCACGCCCTGGATTGTCGGTCGCGCTCTGTCACGGCACAAGCACCCGCTTCCTTCCGCCCCTGCGCCCAACCCTCGCGAAGATCCACGCGCGCCTCCTGCAGGCCCATCTCAGGGCCTCCGAGGTGACTTTGTCTCTCACGCTATACACAGAGCCGCACGTCCGTCGGAGGTAGCGCGGTATTTTGTGTCCTCCAGCCCACCTTGGCCGACTGTGCAAGGAAGGCTTCGTACAATTTGCCGGACTCCAACATTCGTCGCGTGTAGTCCGTGCACGCTTTGATTTCGTCCGCATGAAAACGGACATCGACGTCGTACCCGCCTTGATCGCCACCGAACCAGTCACCTGGCAACAGCCGGCGCCAGAACGCGGGTGAGAGGACGAGGCTTGCGTCGGCGTCGCCAGCGACCTGCGCCCGACGATCTGCCTCCCGATCGCGTGTGGAGGGTAGCTGGGTGTTGGCCTTGGCTGCATCCGCCCTGACGGGCACTCGACACCTTTTTGTGGCCTCGGCTCCAAAGGCTCTCGAGTGCAGGGCATGCAGCAGGACGTGTGCGTGGAATGCAGCGCGAGCGACGTCCTTGGCGTCGACGCCCTCCTTGAGCAGCACGCACGACCGACGCCGTCGTTCGTTGAACGTGATCACGAAAGGGTACGCAGAAAAAGCTGATGCCGTGCTGCGAAACTCCGCCGGGTCGTCAAATGCTTCCGCCACCGAAGCACCTAGACGCACTCGGGCCTGCAAACGCAGCCACACAGCCGCTGCGTCAGGAAGATGATCCGGTTGGATCGGCTTGGCACTCAGGTTGTCAGGGGGTTCCGAGCTCTCTCTCTCTCTCAATCGTCGCACCTGGCCGAAGTCCGCCCAAGGCACTAGTGGCTCGTTGCGATTCGCGTCAGCTGGCCCCGGAACGACTCCTTGCGTCAGAAAGTTGCGAGCACAGAAGGCCAGGCGCGCGTGGTTGTAGTATGGCAACTCCACCGAATCCACCTCCTTCCTAGACGCGAAGAGGTAGCCTGCGTCATACCCAAAGACATTCGAGAGATTGACATCGATCAAGACGACAGCGTTGACGGCTGTGCGATCTTTCGCGTACCCGCTGAGAGCAGACAGAAGGTTGTGATGGTGTTCAAACCAGTCCTTGACAGAAGGATCCCTGTGACGGTCCCCGCGAGGTCGGCGAGGTTGGCAACTGATTCACCTTTCGCTGTGATATCTGCCATGTTATTCGCCTGCGGCGGCAAAGAAGGAGAGAACTTTTCGACGGTAGTGACATTGCAAGCACTCTACATGCGACGCGTCAACGAGCTCGTGAACTCGGACCTGAGCAAATGATCTGTAGATCGGGGCCCTAGTTGAGCTCATTGCAACTGCAGCCACGTTTTTCGCCAAGTTCGCCGTACAAGCTAAAGGGAGGAAGGCGCGCGGCGCAGAAGCCGTCGCCAGCTCAAGGGCGGCCCCAACTTCCTGCGTGAGCAGAAGTGGCAGTGCGTGAAGCGTGGACTTCGGAGCGACTGGCGGCCAGGCTGTCGTCGCATGCAGAGCGAGCGCACAACACTCGCCATCAAAAGATCGCCAAAAAGACGGAACTGCTTGAGCTCGCTGTCGAGCGATTTTCCGAAACCTGCGAACAAGAATCGACCAGCACGACCTGCCCCGTCCTTCATCACCCAATTGATCGCAGCCGCCGCTTCCCCGGACCGCTTGCCTGCAGTCCAGGGGGTGTTTGCGTCGTTCCCCGACAGCACTCCGTGCGCAGAGGACCGCAGCGCGACGACAACATTCTGCGAGCGCTGTTTATCATCCAGTCACCTGCAACTCCGACTGACGATATCAGCGACTTGGTTGTGTAAACGGATATTGCCCCACCGAAAAAGTACTGAAAGCCTCTCCAGAACATGTAGCTCGCATATTGTGGGGCCACAGAGTCGGGATACCCCTGCAGAAAAGTGACACCGTGCCGTGCTTCCGCACTCAGGCGAGTAGCACCCCGGGATCGACACACCTGCGCAAGCATCGACACGTCTCCGCAGACCTGATCGTCGCGCACCTGTGGAAGCAAGAAGTCCGACACGAAGTGCGACCACACACTGCGGCGATCACGAAGGTGGCGCTCGTCGACGACAATGCCAACCTCCTTGCGCGATCCTCCCGCAGACGCCTCGTCAAGGGCCTCCAGGGCGCAAAACGTGGATACACGTCCTTTCCTGCGGCCGGCGGCGCTCAGCAACGACTTCAGTGGACCGACACTGCGACGAGAAAATGCATGATCGCCGACATTGCGATGCCGTCCTCGTGGGGAGGACGTCATCTCTCTCATATGGATGTTGCCCACAGCATTTCCTCACCTGTTTTCCTTGCACAAAACAGGTCCGATCGACTCCCCGGCCGCGATGTCTTTCGCTCCTCGGGATTGTTTCGGTCGCCCGTCGACGAAGCGGACGAAGCGTGGTTGTCGAGGTCCGTGTGCATCTCCTGATTGACGTGATGATTGCGATTGCCAGGGCCACTTGAAGGTTCTGTCCGCATTGCTTGGGCCGTCGTCCCATCCACGTTGTGCTCGGCGCTGCCGGTTTTCCTCTCGCGAGGTGCAGGACCCTCCCTCCGGGGACCCCTGGTCAACCGCCATAGCACAAGTCCTTCACCTCCAGTGGCCAGCCGGTGCCTTGTCACGGCTTCGGTGCTGCGTCGTATAGACTGTGGCTCTGCGTCGCAGTCCGGCCTGCGCCTGGATATTGCCGGGCAGCAACGACTTGCAAGCAGCCCAGATGGGCCTGCCGGCCAGCGGAGCACCGCGAAGTGCCGAGCTCGGGGCGATCAGCTGCGTCTGTCATGCGCCCTTTGAGCACTCAAGGATCAAGAGAATACATTGCGTACCTGAAAGAGACTATTGCGTGAAGAGCCATGCGGCATGGCTGCCCATGGTGGGGGACGTACAAGAGTCGCAGGAATCGCCGGCGAATCCGCGTCAATGGAGTGTTGCTGGAGACAGCGAACGCTCAGCCGCACTGTTCGGAAGCCTCCAGCGTCGCAAGTCACTGAAACTGGCCGACTCCACCGTGACCCGGTTACGGTCAGACACTGACGAAACTTTCGTCCGGCCTTGAAGGCCGTCACCAACTGACCGTGCGGCATGGTAGGCATGATGCCCAGGACGACCCTAGGACGGTCGTGATCCGAGCTCTGCGTCCCGGACGCAGGGAAAGCGAAGGGTCGCCGAGGGTCGCCGCGCGGAGGGTGGCGCAGACACGCGTTCCGACGGGCAAAGTAATAATTGACCGCCCGCGCGAGACACGAGATGCGGGTGTGCTGTCGTCCTGATCAAGGCGGCAACATGTTAGGAGTACTCGCGCGAAATGCCATGTGAGCATGTCATCATGTGCCAGGGGAGGCTCTAACCTGCAATCATCAAAAGTTAGTGGTGGGCGTCGCCAGAAACAACGCGGCGAATCGCGCGAGGACTGCCGGCTGGGTGACAGCGGTGACTCTACGGCACGATGTCCGCGTTGTGTGGAGACGTGCCGGCCACCGCGATCCACACAGCGTTCATGAGCGAACAGAAAGTCCCTGGTGGAACGCACCGGAACTCACACTCATGGAGCATTTTTAGACTGGCACAGCCCAGAGCACTTCAATCGCAGGCGTCACGCCATCGGATAGAACTAGTTGCCTGGTCTGACTTTGAGTCCTCAAAGTCACAGTCATCTTTGGCCGTAGTTGCCAAACGTGGCCGACGGGTCATATGCGCCCGCACCATACTGCTCGCGAAGAGTGCCTGCTGGCTGCCTGCCGGTAGCGTTGGCGGCAGGAGCATACTGCTGCATGGCCATTTCCATAGAGTCATCAAAGGTGTCCCCCCCGGCGACGTACGCCTGAGCTCTGTCACCCGCCCCCTGTTGCGGCAAGAACGTCCCACCAGCATTTCCGTACGTCTGATTTCCGTACGGCGTGTTGAGGTTTCCAAAGTTGGTGTTGCCATAGCTGCCCCCAAAGCCCCCCCGGTCTGAGCGCCTGCTCGCCGATCCGCCGGAGAAACACCATTTGGAGTTCATCCAAGCGTAGGCGATGCCGCCAATGACTGCGATGACGATGATGCTCGCGATGACGATGCCAGCAATGGCACCTGCTGAGAGCGAGCTCTCAGCACTGCCCGCCGGTGCCAAAGCAGAACCGCGATTTACTATGCTCGACGTTGACACGGGAGTGTCCGTGGCTGCCTGCAGGGCCGCTGCCAGCGAGACCCCCGCCGCGCCTTGTTGCAATGACCGCAGCCGACGCGCAAGCAGGCTGCGGTCGAAGGAAATCTTCGCAAGAGCAGCAGCGGCAGGGTTCGGAAGTAAGATGCTGCCAGAGATGCGATAACGAAAACTCTCGGGGCTGGCCGTCGCAGCCGGCGAGGTGGTGACGTTCGCAGCCTGGGCAGATGTGGCCGCTGGTGCTGTCGTGGGCGCTGCCGTTGCGGGCGGTGTAGTGGTCGCGTTTTGTTGCAGCACGCGCATGAACGATGATGCAGGCGGCCCTGAACGCGAGGACGCTCCGCGGCGACGCGTCAGACGGGCCGCGCTGTACTCTCCGACAGCTTGAATTGCGCCCTCTTGCTGAGCAACGAGGGCGTCATCGATGCGAAGCGGGCTGGGCACGCCGATCAGTCCCGCGACCATCAATAGAGCAACCTTGACTCTGTTGGTCTTTTGTCCCACCGCGGGGTCGGAAAGACCAAAATCAACCTGCATGTGCGTGACCAGCTCGAAGTGCGACGTCGAGGCCAGGACAGCATTTGCGTGCCGCTGGATCGCCGCAGCAACTATACGGCGAACAGCATTCGCGACCGTGAGGTGTCGTTCTAGTACCTCGAAGTTGAAGCGGAGGACGAAGTTGTTTCCTCGATTCGCAACGCTCGTCTCGGCCGTGTCCCAACCTTGCACGAAGTCGGCGTCAGGCGTCGCGCCCACCGTTCCCCCAACAGCCGACGCAAGCGCCGCACGGTCAATGTCGAGCACTGCAGGGAGGCATGCGGGTGAGGATGCTGAGCACATCATCCATGTGCAACGCGCACTCTCTGCTGCTGCTGGAACGGACGCACGCGCGGAGAGAAGAATACGACGACGCGCGGCGACATCGATCACGCACCTGGGTCCAGCGCCGCACGCTGTGTGGCCGATGCGACTGCAGTGGCGTAATATATGTGGGATCCCTCCCCTGGGTGGTCCAGGAGGTAGCGATTCCTGGAGCGACGACTACCTCGTGTATGTGACACTCCCAGGACAATGCTGACAAAGCTGGGGCCCGCGTTGCCACCCTCGGTCTCGAAGAGCGCTGTAAGCGCACTGCTGATGTCAGAAGAGATCTGCTGTGCAGTCTTCCCGATGGCGGCCTCCGTAGCGAAAGTGAATTGAATAGTGGCCGCGGCCTGCCACTGCAACACATGGATCGTGCGAACGTCGCACGTCACTCGAACGCTCCGGCCAAGGCCCCCCGTCATGTCACTGCTGCTGAACGTGTTGTCCGAGTGGCTTCAGGCGAGGGTAGGCATGCCGCTGGCGCACCTGCTGCGGAATCGCAGTGGTCGTTGGAGGGGTCGTTGCGTTTGGCACCGCCGTGGGCAGCACAGTTGTAGGCGAGGGCGGTGTGACGGTTGCAGTGCTTGCAGGAGCGGAGGTTGCTTGTGGCTGCGTCGTATTCTGACCCCATGCCAGCGGCAGCACACATATCGCCAAAAGAAGCAGCGTGGCGCGAACGTGCAACATCCCGCAGTCGGTCGAGCGCGGCTCGGACAGGTCTTGTTGCCACCTGTGCCAGGCACGGGCAGCGCCGCGTACAAGCCCTGCACGGGCAGCGCCGGAGACCCGTGCGTCGAGTACGGCGAGTGATTGGAAATGGCGGAACGATCACGACTGGACCGTGCATGCACATGCGGGATCTCGCTGGACCGCATGGAGTGTGCATCCTGGCGCCTCTGTCCAACGCCGCCCGGCAAAGCTCCTCGCCGGCGGCAGTGCACCTCAGCTGAAGTCGCACCTTCTGTCGCCGTATACCTGACGAGTCAGCAGCACTGCGATGGCGCTCAAATCACGTCCCGTTCTCGTTGCAAACAGCGGCAAACCTGCTCCCTCCCACAAAGATTTCCAGGGTTGTGGCACGTGCTATAGGGCCGCCGTCAATACCGAGGCCTGCGGATGACCGCCGCCAGTGCCGGGCACTGTCGGGCCCGGGAGTCTCGGGGGACACAACGCGTGAAATGGCAGACTGAATCAAGACTGCCACCCAGGGTTTAACCAGGTTAAACCTCATGCTAAAGAAAACCTTATGGAAAGCTTGTACTGTCGCTGCTCCGCCCCCCACACAGTGTGGCACGAGTGCAGCGTGGTTGCCTCCAGACCTGCTGCAGCGCGGCGCCGGCAGTTGCTGCATTGGCGCTGGCCACTGCTACTTCCAGACGGGCGGTGGCAAGCTGCGCGCAAGTACTGCTGGAAACCTGGCTCGTGATTGGCTGAGTCGAATTTGGCTGAAATGGCGGATCTCGACACCCGCGCCGCGGGGCGCTACGTGGCGCTCCACCGCGACATGAAGGCGCAGGTGGGGACAGCTCGTTCAGGGACTCTTTGCCTCGTGCCACTGTTGTGTGCGTCGGCCGGCAGGTCGTTGGCGGCGGCGAGCTCATGATGGATTCCCGACGGATCTGCCTGCAGGCCGACTCTGTCGCGAAGGCAACCCAGGCGCTGATGGAGATGCACGACTTCTTTCGCGAACTCAAGCTGAACTCTGAATCACAGCTTGATATGTACCGCAGCGAGAAGCATCGTGTCAAGGACCTGCTGCTCACAGGAGAGCTGCCTGAGGACGCCTACAGGTACCGCTGCGGCCTGTCCCGAGATGCATGCAATCAGTCCTCTTCACCCCACGCAGTGTCTCCGTGCACCGGAGCGCTCGAAGGCCCTGTTGACGAAGGAAGTGGGACGCCCCGTGCGACTCCAGACGCGCGTGTTCACTCTCCAACGACGACCGTGCAGTGCTGCTGCTGCCTCCACGCACGCAACGCGCCTTCAGGCGGTCGAGGCGTCGAGAAAGGCACTCGAGATGGAGAAGCGGGAGCTCGAGGAGCAAGTGAGGGAGCAGAAGAGGCGCGTCCAGGAGGTCGTGCAAGCGAATTTGCAGGAAAAGGCGCACCAGCAGACCCGCCGCGTGCAGGCGTATCAGAATGAGATAGATTCCTTGAAGGGAGAGGTGCGTTCGATAGTCTTGCACGCAGCTCACGCAGACGCGCCAGGCGCGGCGAGACGTCGTATCCGGCGCGTCATGCCGCTGCAGCCCCGCACGAGTCGAAATCAAAACCCTCACCAAGTTGCAAACACGGCTTGATGCCGCAGGTTCATGATCTGAAGGCAGGACTCGTGGAGTCTGAGGCGGCACTTTCGAAGGCGAAGAATTCCGCCGCGGACGCGCAGTCAGCCGTGCTCGCAGCAGAAACTCGTGCTGAGCAGGCCGAGGAGACGCTTCAGAAGATTCAGAAGGCTCTTCGAGCCCGGGACAATGAGCTTCAGGAAGCAAGATCGGAGATCGAGACGTTCAAAGTGAGCTCTGTGCAGCTGAGAGTCGCTGAGAAGGAGGCAAAGGCCGAGTTGGAAGTTGCAGAGAGGACCAAGAAGGAAGTCATGGTGAGCAGCGTACTGCCATCCGCTGTCATCGGCGTCCCTGCATCGGCCGTGTTACGCACTGCGATGTGCCAGGAGAGATGTCCTGCCTGTTGTCGACTGACAATGACGTGCAGGAGAAACATGAAGGACTCAAGCGTGATGCCTTGCGCCGCCAGGAGGAGCTCGAGCGCTCCTTGGCGCGCATTGCCGCTTTTGAGCGGGCCGAGTCTGGTGGCAGGCAGCAGATCGCCTCCTACGAAGATGCGATCGCGGCGCTCGAGGTATGTTGCCATTCAGGGAGTGCTCTGGCGATGACGTGCTGCGCGTGGCGACCATCTCGTGCGACGTGATGCGCCACTGTCCTGCAGTGCTGTGCGTCCAGCACATGGATCGAGCTGTGCCGTGCCTGCAGGAGGATCGCCGCCAGCTTCGTGAAAAAACGAGTCACTTGGAGGAACAGCTCATGGAGGAACGCAAGTGCGGCAAGGCAGACCTGATCGTGCATCTCAAGCGTGCCACCGAACACGTGCGGGCTGTCAACGCTCTCAACGAGGAGCTGCGAGCCGCCTTGACAACATGCATGGCCGAACTCATTGACGCAAGCGGTCATGCAACATCCGACACTGCCGAGGAGGTCCAGGTATTGTCAGGACTGCTAGCCGAGCTCGAGGCCAGCAGCGGCACCGACGACCAGGGCGCCAGCACCCTAATGGGAATGCGAGAGAGGTTGGAGAGGGCCGTGAGGTCGCTCGTGCAGAACGAGGCGAGGGAGACAGATCGGATACGGGAGCTTTACATGCTCGAATGCAAGCGGCGCAGGAAGCTGCACAACAAGTTGCAGGAGCTTAAGGGCAACATTCGCGTGCTCGTGCGGTTGCGCCCCATGAACCAGATGGAGAAAGTGAATGCCGCAGGTGCTCAGACTGCAACAGCTTCAGACGACATGACGCTGCGCGTCGTTGACGGCCGCATGGGCCCACGGTCGTTCGAGTTCGATCGGGTGTTTGCTCCTCATGAGGGGCAGGTGCCCGTGTTCGCCGAGGTCGAGGATCTCGTCACATCCTGCTGCGACGGATACAACGTGTGCATATTCGCGTACGGACAGACAGGTTCGGGGAAAACGCACACGATGGAGGGTACGCACGATGATCCTGGGGTGTTTTACCGCGCTCTCGATCAGCTCTTCACCGAGAAGAAGTCGCGCAGCGAAACTCACACCATGACGATCTCAGCATCTGCGGTCGAGGTCTACAACGAGGCTGTTCGAGATCTGTTGAGTGCCCGCGGACGCGATGTCAAACTCGAGGTGAAGCAGAGCGCAGATGGCATGTTCGTGCAAGACCTGGTCATCTATCAGTGCCGCAGCATCGATGACTATCACAAGCTGCTGAGGACAGCGAAGACGAATCGCAGCACGTTTGCGACAGGTTTGCGCACAACATCGATGCTATGTGTGTTATCAGCAGTGATGCTGAGCTTCACGACGAGAATCGAGAGGTGCATGACTCCGCCGTTCCCGATCGTGTGTCGCAGACATGAACGAGCACTCCTCGCGGTCGCACATGATCTTCTCGGTGTACGTGAGGACGATGGATAACGTCTCCGGAGTTGAAGCGCGTGCAAAGCTTCACATGGTGGACCTGGCAGGATCTGAACGTCTTTCCAAGTCGCATGCACGTGGCGACCGTCTTGTCGAGGCGCAAGCGATCAATCGGTCTCTGTCTTCCCTGGGTGACGTCATTCAGGCGCTGCACTTGCGAGGCAAGCAGGGGGGGCACATTCCGTTCCGGAACTCCAAGTTGACCTACCTACTTCAGGACAGTCTCGGAGGAAACAGCAAGGTCCTCATGATCGCCGCAGTATCGCCCGCGGCCTTCAACGCGAGCGAGACGATGTCGACCCTGACGTTCGCACGGCGCGCAATGAAAGTGGAGCTCGGCAAACAGAGTCGCAACCTGCTTCAGACGCAAGCAGCAGCGAAGGAAGCTGCCGACGACGAAGGCGCCGGACTCCGGTCGCGATTCGCATGATGGACGGTGGCGCACTTGGGAATCACAGCCATGAAGCAGCTGCAGAGGGCTCACTGAGATGCACTTTCCTCTTCGACGACCTTTGCGACTGCGCTGATGATGGCGCGATGAAGTGCCGGCGGCGCAGCTACGATGCCGCGCGACTGCTCTAGGTACCTTCCCCTGCCAAAGTCAAGCTTGCTCCCGGTACCATCCGTGACCACCGCCCCCGCCTCCTGGACAACGGCAACGCCGGCAACGTGATCCCAGATTTTTTCGCGATAGCTGTCGGGCGGAAAGCGCATGAAGACCTGGGCATCGTCACGTGCGAGCACCCCATATTTTGCCTGTGAATCCAGGCGAAGGGACTCCGGCGTGAGCCCCACTAGCTCCGCAACGCGGCTTGAGCGTGAGTGGCTCGAGTGCCGAGACTCGAATGACTCCATGTATGTTGCCTCTCGAGGGTCCTGCGCTAGCGCGCCGAAATGGATGCACTGGGCTGCGGGGTCGTTTGCAGCCATCCCTGCTAGGGAGCAGCAGTACGGTGATCGGCTAGTGGAACACATGCACTCCATGATTCGCGCGCACCTGCCGGTCTTCCACGGTGCACTGGACGTCGGGCATCGCGTCGCCGCCGATAGGTCCGACGTAGCATCCTCGGCCCTGCACTGCTGCGAATACGGACCCGATTCCGACTACACCTGCCCTTGCGGCGGCATCAGACCCACCGTCCTGCTGAGAAATGCCTTGTTCGGGCAGATTTGGACAGCCCAGCACTCCCAAAACGACCTCTCCCTCCTGCACAGAACCGCAACCCTTGCTCGCAAATCTTTGGACAGGAGGGTCTCCAAAACGAAATGCGGGTGACAGCTGAACGAGAATCCGAAGCGAAGGCGCCTCGAAACGGAGCCCACCAGAGACGCTGCGGGGATGCGCACGTCGATCATGCCCAGCGCGATGGCGTACTGACGCATTCCGACGAAGCCACGCGTGCCGTCGATGGGATCCAGCACCCAATGCGTGCCGTGCGAGCCCCCTGCCGATCCGCCGAGATCGATGAGGTCCATCACGTCATTCTCCGAGAGTGCGGCGTTGGTGACGCTGTTGACGAGGGTGGTGATGCGCTCCCTCATGGCCGCCCCGTCAGGCTTCCGCAAGTCCGCCGCGTCCTCCTCCGCGACGAGGGAAAGCCGTGCTTCGGGGAACGCCCTTGTGAGAGCCCACGCAACGACAGCCTGGGTACCCAGAAGAGCGGCGCACAATGGTTGACACAGATGAACACGCGATGCAGGCTCCTCGCAATTGATGGCGAAGCGTTTTTTTTTCGGTGGTCGAGGAGAGTACCTGCGCGCCGTAGTCCGCCACAGTCACTGGAGAATCGTCCGCCTTGTCCTCCCGGTCGGCACTTCGCATCTGCTGCTGCACGGCGATGCAAAGCCTCGAAGCCATGCGCACAGCGCGGACCGCTTCACGCACCTCCGTTGAATAGGGTCCGTCGTTGGCGAGCGCTGCCATCTTCGCCAATGCCTGCGAGGACCCGGCTGCGTGCACAGGCATGAGCCCCGGCTTGGAGGCCGCGCGGAGCATGCAGCACGCCCGACTCGAAATGCGGGGAGCAGTCGCGCTCAGCGTTCCGTCTACAAATCCATGGATGCATTCAAAAACGCAAGAACGGGCGGCCGTTGAACGGCGTTGCACCAGAGGGCAGATAGCTCACCTGCTGCGGGCGCGCCAGAAACGCGACCCGCGGCTGCGAAGTCCCTTCGGAACAGTCACGGAAACGAAGAAACCCCCGGCCGACAGGCTGGCGAGCTCGCCTGGACGCGATAGCGCAGCGGGCTGTTGCACTGCCAGGCTGCCGTGCGCGGAGATGCACGTTGGCCAGCGTGCTGTGCGCGCGCATCCTCTATTCAATGTTTGTCTCACGGAGCAACGTAGCGGAATTGTCGCCGGACAGTGTCCGGGCGGCCATGGGCACTGCCCAGGGCAGTCCAGCAGACCCCGTGGGACCTCCAGTGGTCACCACACCAGGATTGGGTACTGACACGGGGCCCCACGAGCGCTGGCTCTGCCTCGGAGCCAAGGCCTGTATGACATGCTGGCACGCGGGCAATGGTCGGCCAAGCCCCCATTCATCTTCGCGGGCGGAATCGATGTACTATGGGTGCAAGATGTTCCACCACTGATTTCTGCGCCACCGCGGTTTGACGTAGGCGCGCTGGGTGCTGCGCGGCGGGTGGCTTCGCATGCAGGCTGGTAAGAACCTGCGCATGTGCTCGTGAGATGCCCACCGCGCCGATGGACAACTGGTCAGTCGCTGTGGCAATGCCTTTCTCGACCGCTCGAGTGGACACTGGCTTGCAAGCCGGCTGCATAGTGCATGCTCGTCGTGCACTGTTGCACGGTGCCTTCCGACCGCGGACTGGTGTGCAACAGACCTGGTCACAAAAAGCCTTTAAAGTTGGCTTCCGTTGACAAAGATTGGAGGCCCGGTGTGACGGGCTTGGAGTTTGGGCAGGCCGATCGGCGGCAAAGTTTTACAGGCCCGCCACAGGTGGGCCGATCGTGCTTTCCCACGCCCACGGAGACGATCCGACTCTACGCTGAGTGCATCATGTGGAGTACACGAAGCGCGCCTTGTTGTGCATAATGAGAACCTCCCCTTCAAAGAAAAAAGTGTCTGACACGTGCCCACCAAGGCTGGAAACGAATTCCTGCGACGAGTTGCTTCGCGATCGACTGATTCGAGCTGTCGGAACAACATGCCGGCTCGCACTGCGAGCAAAAGCTCGCACTTCAGGCAAGGCGTACCTTCACGCGCTCCGGGCTGTTGTCCGGCATGTCGTAAATTGACTCCCAGCAGTTCGTCGACCCGGGGATGCAGAATCCGAACTTGAAGTCGTACGACCGAATCAGCTGTCCATTCAAGTAGTGCCGTTCAATCATTCGGAAATCTTGCAACGGCGCTTGCTGACCGACACTGAACGAAAGCATGGTGCGCACGGTATTGTACGTCAGGAACTCGACGGGGAGGTTATATGTGATCGTACGTACGGAGCGTTCGATTTCTGGGTCGGAGAGATCGAGGTCTTCCGTTCTGGCATCCGGGTCCATTTTCGCCTGCATTCGGAACCCCCGACAAATCCAGAGGGGCAGTTTCGCATGCACGCAGAGACAGCGTGACCTTGCTGTGCATGCGATATGGACCCAGAAGGTCGGCGACCCTCACGTGGAACAAAACACGCTTGCTGGAATCATCTTGAATCTTGAACTCCCTGAACCTCACGCCATATCGGTTCGCAGACAGCGGGCACAGAAAGCCTGCAAACGGCTGGCGAGGCCATGACGAGACAGTGCTCATATGTCGTGTTTGCAAGCAGGGGGTGCAGCATGCGCGCGGCAAGGTGCCAAGCACCAAGTCATCGACCCTGGTTCATCGCGGGAAAGCTCGGCATCACCGACCTGCCGTTGGCTCCTTGTGCTCGAGTACGTCATTTGGCGTGACCGCATCACGAACGCCAACCACGCTCGCGTGTTGCTCGTCTCCGGCAACCTCGTCGCCTGCGATGGGCGGTGCCATCCCGCGATTCGGGGTTTCTCGCGGCCGCGCTGAACTTCGTAGCGCGCGTCAAGGCTCCCCTGTGATCTCGAAAGGGGAGCAGTGGCCCGACAGCCGATGCTGCGACGCAAGTTCGTCACCACGCCACACCGGGATGTTCGTGCCCGGGCCAGGCTTGTGATGCCGTCGCTACTACCGCTGCCTGCGGCTGAACATGCGAGGTCTCGCGATGTCAACCGCAAACGCTATGTGTGTCAGTCCCGCACGGCGCGGATATGAGACACTGGTTGGCAGCGTGATGACTCATCATGAGCTCCGAGCTTGTACCAAATTGGACTCGGAGGGCACTGTCCGACAGGAGTGGGATGATGCCCCTTCGTTGTGCACCGCGTCGCGGTCCCATTGACCATTGACCGGCCTTGGCCCGGAGTCTCACGGTACCCCACGGTGACGGTGGCATCACACCGTATGGCATACTATGACAAAGCGCCGCTTTCGCGACTACCGGCAGATGTATGGTTTGGACGCGGAATGCGCCGATTTCGGTGTGGCACGCTGCCGTATTGCAAACCATCAACGCCATGCAAACGCCCAGGCCCGCTGGACCGTGCCGCCACGGGTGGAACTCGGCATGACACGTTTGCCATTTCTGTTCCAAAAGCACCGTCCTTTGCGACCTTCGCCCGGACGAGCAGCGACGATTCGGCACAGCGCGTGCGAGGAACTTCATGCACGCACTTCAAGCGCGAACAGCTAGGGGATTTCTTACACATCGACCGTCGTCGACGTCGGGGGGAGGTAACACTACTTCGCATCGTTGTACATTTTCAGGTCCCGACGCCTGAACGTGCAACACCTCACCTCATTCCAGATCGGCCGAAAAACGGGCAACCGAGAGCAACGACAGCGGCGAGATACGCGCACGCATGAAACTGACGCGCAGTGCACATGTGAGGGTCGCAACACACCTGCGCGGGCAGGTTGTGGCCCGCGGTCCGCGACGCGCCTCGCGGGGCGCGAGTCCTGGTCGGAGATCTGCACAACGCGCCCCGATGTCGCCAGCCGGCGATCCTGCCGGTGAGACGCGTGCATGAAGCCGCGCACAGAGTCAGGTGAGGTGTTGAGCAAAAGGAACGTCGAGCAGAGCAAACGTGCCCACTGAAAGTCACAAAAGAGGCGGCCGACAGCGACGACTGCAGTGGAGATGTCGCGCGGTGGTGTACCTCTGGCCAAACGAACTTGGTATTGGGCCATGGCGCATGTGTGCGATGTCGACAGCTGTGGCACTGGGACCACGCGCGACACGCAGCCCCGGAAAGCGGGGCCGGGGGAAGCTGAAAAAAGGCTAACACTTTGATTTGTAAATTATAGTCCCCGTCGAGATTTCGTGCGACTTTATTTCGAGTCACGTGCTTCTTGCCAGGGCAGGGACGATGCGGGTCGCTTCTTCCCCCTCGAGGCCCGGCTGGGTGCTGTCGAGCTTCCCTCGGCACTCTCGAGCTGTTCGGCTTTGGGAGGCCGCTCGTCCGCTGCTCGGCCCTCGTCGTCACGGTCGTTCGATACATGGGATGAGGGTACACGCGAAGCGTCCGGCCAGTCCCGGTCGTCAGCTCTGGTTCCAGCACCAGCGTCACTAGTGAAGCCTTCGCTCGCCCTCCGTCCAGCGGGCAGCAGACCGGGAAAGCTGCCACCCGACCGAAGTGCCGGAGACGCTTTCGTACGTTTGAGAGTGGAGCGACCGCCGTCACGAAGCATCGGCGCACGGATCAGGGCCCGCATGGCGTTGTTGCTCGACTGCCCTGACCGAACAATCGTCATCATCTGGACCCCGACTGTCGATGACCATTGGCTCTTGAATACCACATACTCCTCGCCGAGCTTCGTGGTGAAGTTCTCAGGGAAAGATGACTCTCTTTCCTCGATGACGCGCTGCGAACCAAGAGGGGAGACATGACATGAGCAGAACGCGACCTGCCGAGCACTCTGGTGTCAAAGCGAAGATGATCCAGAACTGCCCGGTTGACAGAAGCGCTGCTCCGTGCTCGTGTCGGCCCGCGCAATGTGCGCCGACATGCAGAACTCACCCTCAGCCACACAGGGTTGCCGCTGCGCCACTCTTCACCCTCGAACATCTCAGGGGCGTTCAACATGAGGAAGTGAATGCGCGGCGCTATCGTGTCCGTCAGTGAGCGCGTCAGAATGGCGGGGTACCGCGCCACAATCTCGGGCGACATGTGGGCCGCGCCAGTCAAGAAGTGGACCTTCGGAAGCAGTGTGTCAGGCCGTGAGCGCAGAACCTTCAGCAGCTGGGGGCGTCTGAGTACTCTCGTCATCAGCTCGTCAACTGGAACTCGCGCGTCTCGCAGAGCGTTGAGCACTGCGACAGCCCGCGCAGCTGGTGCCCGCAGCAAGGCCGCGTCCCAGACGAATCGAACCAGCAAGTCGTCGCCCGAAATGCCGAGAGCCGCAGCCCAGTCCGCATGAGCTTGACTGACCGGTAACGGAGGATGCGCTCTGACGGCTGCCCCCCTCGGGAGCTCTGTTGAGCGCGTGTGCGACCTCTCGCTCAAAGGACCGAAGGTTTCTGCCGCCGCAGACCTTGCTCCTCGCAAACCCGCGGCGCTTTCGATGAGTTCATCGTCGGTCTCCGCGTCCGTGAAAGCGCCCGATTCGTCTTCGCCTAAGCCAACAGAGGTGCGCAGCTCGAACACACCCTTGGGAGGAAAACGGTCGACCAATGCTTCGTGGCAAGGGCTTCCGCCGCGCTGCGTCGGCACGAATCCATCCAGGAGCTCGAGTACGCAGACCGCCGCAGGAGCTGCGCGAGCTGCGTGCGGGGCCCATGGCTGAGACAACAAGAAGTCCATGACGCGCCACGCTGCCGGCCCTGCCGCGCCGGGCCGCAGTTCGTGCTCGACCTTCGCGATGCGATCCAGGTGCGAGAACATCGCCGCGCAATCAGACGCGAAGAGATCGGGAAGGGCGCGTGGCAATGTGCGCATGGCTGCTTCCACTGCCCGAAGGCATGCCTCCTCAGCGGCCTCATCGTCGAGGTCGCAGACATCGAAGTCCCGTACCCTTGCACTGATTCTGGACGCAAGCCCAAGTCGAGCCGCTCTGCGCGCAGCTCGCCGGATCTCCTCAACGTTCCTCTGAAGGTCACCGACATCCATGAGAAGCGTCTCGGGGCACCCGAGGGCGACGTTCGCGACATCGCGCGGGCGCATAGGCGAGTCCAGGAGAACCCGCACGGTCGGCAATAGCTGCCCTTGCACATCCGACGCGACGATCTCCGGGCAACATGAGATCAAAGGCCCAAGGTCAGACAGACTGAGGCCAGCGTTGGACACCAGGAAGTCGCAGACAGCTTCGACATGAGCAGGATCCAGCGGACCAGGTACAGCGTGCACAGGTCGCAGAACACGGCGCAGAACGTTGCCAGCATCCTCAGCAGCTGGAGGCCATGTGAGGCCATCCGTGCTTGTGTGGCCAGCGGTGACCGATTGGCACTCCTCATACCTGCATGTCACAAAGCTCACGGCACAGTTTCCCGGTCTGAACAGTCGGCATGTTAGCATGACTACGAGATGGCCCCCAGAACTCGCACGTCGCAAGTGCGGACGGCAATAACGTCGCGGCGGGCCTGGTGGCGTGACGCGTGGAAACTGGTCGCTCGTTGTTGCCGCGATGAAACAGAAGAACAAGTGCGCACCAGCGTGACAGCGCGGCGTGGCCTCCCGCGGTAGCTGCTTCCGCAATGAGCGCAGCACCCTCCGGCTGCTTCACCATCAACGCCGTTAGCAGCGCAACCACACGATCGTGAGCTGCCGGAAGCCCGTCGCGAAAAGCAAGCAGTGCGGCGCTCCGTGAGATGTCGGCCACCTCCTTCGTGCCACGTGATTTCTCAGATATTTCAGTGATGCGCCGTGGAGCCCGAGCAGACTGCCGCGGCCGAACGTTAAAGCGAGCGTGCTCGGCGAGCACCAGCCACTCCTGCGACCACTGTATGCCGTCTCGAACCTCCAGGGCGTGCCTCGAAAGCGGTGCGCTGTTCTGATCAGCGTCGGCTGCATCCACGTCCTCGGCACCGCCTGCGCACTCTCTTCCGGCAGGCAAACTCGACCCCTGCTGTTGATCCTTCGGGTTCCCTCGTTGCCGCTGTGCCGGACGGCAGCCGTCCCCCGCGTGATTTTGATGTGCCCCAAACTTGCGATGAGACCGCTGCGCGTCTGCAACACGTCCTGCCGATCGGCTCCTGAGACCGGACGCGCCAGCGCTGGATTCTTCTAGACGTTCGGCGCCACGCGTCGCCTTGTCGGCCAGCTGTGCGACGGTGCTGCGCGGGCGATGTCCCCCCCCTTCAACATCCGTGAAATGCTTCCGGAGGGCCTCTGCGCTGCGCACGTCGCCCGTCGCTCGAGCGTCCATCGTGTCCGGCGCCGGAAGGTTCGGTTGCGTCGGGCGCTCGTCGATGACAAAGTACGGGCTTTTCGGTTTGGTCGATGGGGGCGGAGCCCATCGCATGGTAGACAGCGGACCGCGCACCTGCCCGATGCGATGATTTGTTTCAAGCTGCTGGCGTGTTCGGGCGGTGCGTTGTGCGGTGCGCACCGGGCGGTCGGGCGCGTCGAGCTGTGTACCAGGGATGCTGCGCTGCTCCTTCGAGTGTGGCGATTGGCCACGGCTTCGCTGTCGACGTGGAGCCTGCGGAGGGGGCTGGCGCTCCTTTGTTTGTCTCCGTCGCCCGCGGCCCATGCGCCCCCGCTCGGAATCGCCCGTAGACGTGTCTCCGCTTGTCGCACCTCCCAGGCTCTTTGCTTCGGCAGAGGCAAGCCGGGACCCCCCCGTTTCGGCGCCATCGCGCCTGCTCCCGTCATTTTCTACAATGGATTCTCCTGCCGGCACGTCGCTCGGGCCACCACGCCGGTGCGCCAGGACAACAGGGGTACGTGTGGTGCTCTTAAACCTCGTCGCGCCGCTCCACGGTCGCGCCCTAATCATGCTCGTCGGTCCTCTGCAATTCGGTTGTCGCAGAGATACAGAGGAGACTCGGACTGAGTGCGTCCCGTGGACGCTCCCTCCTCCGCAGGCGCGATCTGTGCACAGTCTGGGTCCAAGAAGACAGGAGCCCGAAGAGGCCGACATGCGAACCGTCGGCAGTGAGGGCCTCTGTCGAGTGGCAATTCGAACTCAGACTCCGCACTTATCTCATATCTGCGATGGCAGCGCCGCTCATCCGCGGCCACTCCAACCTGTGCAGAGGGATAGGAAAACAACTCGCATCTCTCCTGTTATGCATCCGAAGATTTGCCACAAGGACGGTGATTCTGCTGCGGCTGCGCAGTCCAGACTGTTGACACGCGTGCGGCGCGCCACGCATGATGGCATCCGGGGGCACCTCTTGCCGAGAGGCCAGGCCCTCCAGGCTGACCTGGGTCGACCCGGTTATGAGGTCCACGACGGGTCCCCTGGAGTCCCCCCGAGTCGGCAGGGCGCCTGAATGCAACGTGGCGCGACCGCGAGTGCAAACATGAGTCGGTGGAGCACCTCGAAACACGGAGCCCCTCCTTTGCAAGCGTCCATCCCTAGTCGGTTGGCCAGCCGTGCAGGGGGTCTGCGAACGTTGCTAGCAGCCGTCTCTCGGAACGCGTTTTCTACTTTTCTGTCTTATTCCTGGAATGCCTAGCAAACACAGCGCAGTATGCTGCAGAACAGGAGCTTCGTGAAGAAGACAAGAGGGGGAAGAGTGTTGAAGGCGCGCCTACGCCAGCAGCGCTCTGCGCAGGCGGTCGCGATTTCCACCCCGTGCTTCGTTGCTTTCCGCTCCAGCACCATGCGCAAGCGATTGCCATCAGAACTTGCACCAGAGGGCGCGAGCTGGAACAGCAACCCGAGGGCGCCGCTGCGGGTCTGTGTGAGCACATTCCCGATGTTCCGCGTGCGTCATTGCAGGTGGTCCGTGAACATTACCTCAGGGATGATATATGGTGCGGCGTCGCGGCATGCCGGCGTTGCTCGCACGGACCTGAGGAGGCGGCACTCTGCGAGTCCAGCAAGCGCATCCTGGTGGTCGACACCAACATCGTCCTGCACCAGTTGGACGTCCTTGATCACGAATGCGTAACAGGTGTGCAAACGGGCCGTGGTCTACTCTCGGCCATTTTGATCGCCGGCAACTTGTGCTCACGCGGCACATCGAAGGTACTGTGGCGCAGATATCGTCATTCCGAGCACGGTCATCGAGGAGGTGAAAAAGCGCAACCAAGCAGCTTACAGCCGTCTGCGGGCTCTGTGTGCAAACCCGAGAAAGCACTTCTATGTGTTCGCGAACGAACACCACAGGGCCACATACGTCGAGCAACAGGTGCGCAGCAGAACCACATCGGCGAGAGAAGCCCAAGTCGGGCGAAGACGGCTGAGAGCTTTCGCTGCAGGGCAACTCGTCCCGTGTGCTTCTGCTACACTGGTAAACGCAGGACAAGGAGTCGCCGAATGACCGCAACGATAGAGCGATCCGACAAGTTGCATCGTGGTACCAGGACCATGTCAGAGATTTCGACATCGAGGTTGTCCTGCTGTCCGACGACAAGGACAATCGAGCCAAGGCAGCGGAGTCGAGCCTCCGGTCGTTGTCTGCCCGCGAGTACGCGGATTTTCGCGCATCTGACGCACCAGAGCTGCTGGATCGCGTAGCTCCAGGCGGCGCTGAATGCGCAGATGACGACGAAAGTCATGGGAGCGCGCGCAAAAGGCAGCGCAAATGCTTGTACGATGATCACATGGCTGATGCAGCGATCGCGGCAGGGTTGCGTTCGGGGAAATATCACCAGGGTACGGTACGCGTATCACCTTATAACTTAGACGAGGCCTATGTCCGCTGCGAACGGATCGGTGACGTGCTGGTCAAGGGAAAGCCGGTGAGTGGGGCCCAACTCTCCTGTTGATCCGAGGCGCTCAGCGGACTCCCACCCGGCCGGAGACACGCGCATCATCACCCGTCCGCGTGATGCACAGAACTTGAATCGCGCTACCAACGGCGATATTGTGGCCATAGAAGTGCTTGAGGAATCGAAATGGGAAGGCGAGGACTGCCGTCTGCGTCGCGCAGATGCTGATGGTGCAGATACGGACGGGGCGTCTCTGGCTGCGAGCATTATGGATACTACGCCACAGGATGGGCCGCAGTGTGGTGACGCGAATGGGGCGCGCCGCACCAACGCGAAGGTCAGTTGGCATCAAGGGACCCGGTCACATGCAGTGAAGTGGCAGAAATGTTGTGTGCGACAAATATTCCATCACCGACGTCGGCTACCGTCATGTATGCAGGTGGTGGGAATCATACGCAGATCTTGGCGAAGCCGAGGCTACGCAGGCCACTTGTGCGTCGCATCAGACTCTGTGCATGGCGCGGGCCCCAAGTCGCTCTTGTTCCAGCCTGTGGACCGCAGATTGCCCCGAGTACGGATTTCGACGCGCCAGGCGGCCACGCTTGCCGACAAGCGCATCGTCGTGGTTATCGACTCATGGGCGGCAGACTCGCCTTTTCCGAATGGTATGCCACGCAGACCCTGTCCTTGCATTGTTTCTCCATGCGTCACGTGCGAAGCCTCACGCATCGCTTCTGTTATCGCGCGCGATGCATGCCCGCAGGGCACTATGTGCGCACACTGGGCAAACTTGGCGACCGTGAGGCCGAAACTGAGGCAGTGCTCTTGGAGCACGACATCAATACGGCGCCCTTCACACGTGCCGTGCATGCATGCGTTCCAGCTCTCCCTTGGGCGGTTGACCCCGGCGTTGACCTCGCCCCCGGCCCGATGTTCACGCGCCAAGATCTGCGTGATCTTGATGTGTGCTCTGTCGACCCTCCTGGGTGCAAGGACATCGACGACGCCTTGCACGTGAGGCGGCTGCCATCAGACGCCGATCACCCCCACGAACGCATCGAAGTCGGCGTCCATATTGCGGACGTGACGCACTTCGTGCGCGAGGGGACGCCGATTGATGAGGAAGCTGCGGCACGGTCCACAACGACGTACCTGGTGGAGCGACGCATCGACATGCTGCCGAAAGCTCTCACAGAGGAGATCTGCTCGCTGAAACCCAACGTTGATCGCTTGGCCTTCTCTGTTTTGTGGGAGATGACGCCAGAAGGCGAACCGCTGCGGCAACCGCGGTTTTGCAAATCGGTGATTCGATCTCGAGCCGCGCTGACATATGTGGAGGCACAGATGCGCATTGACGGCACGGACAAGGCAGGCGATGACGCAATCACGGACTCTCTGCGTTTGATGAACCAGGTGGCGAAGTCGTTGCGGCGGAAACGCTTCGCTGCCGGCGCTCTGGAGCTCGCCAGTCCGGAAGTCAAGTTCGAGATAGATACAGAGACACACAACCCAACAGACGTTGGTGTTTATCACCTGCATGACACGAACCGCATGGTTGAGGAGATGATGCTGCTTGCGAACATCGCCGTCGCGAACCGCATCCTGAAAGGATTCCCAGGGTCGGCCGTGTTGAGGAGACACCCACACCCGACTGCGTCATTGTTCGCCCCCCTCGTGGCGGCTACTGCAGCTGCGGGGTTTGACATCGACGTGAAGACGTCAAAAAGCGTCGCAAAGTATGCGCACTTCCTTGGTCGCCCTCTCTCCGCCGAATCGGTCCCGAATGATGCCGTCCTGAGCCTTCCCGCTCGTGTCTTGGTGCCCCTTTCAGGTCTTTGGATCAGTGTGTGCGAAGTGACGACCCGTACTTCAATCGCTTGGTGCGCATCATGGCAACTCGGTGTATGACGCAGGCGGTGTACTGCAGCAGCGCAGAGGTCGCCTCTCAAGATTTGCATCACTACGGGCTCGCGACGCCGTTGTACACGCACTTCACTTCGCCCATCCGTCGCTATGCGGACTGTCTTGTACATCGCCTGCTTGCTGCGTGCGAGGGGCTCGGGCCGGCACCAGCGCGGCTGGGTGACCGCGGCTGGATGCGAGGTGTCGTCAACAACATGAACGAACGACACAGAAACGCGCAACTCGCCGGTCGCGCGAGCGTTGAGCTGTATACACTGATGTTCTTCCACGGCAGGCCGACGAAGGAGATCGGTCGCGTCGTGCGCGTGCGGGCCAATGGGCTGATTGTTCTCGTTCCAAAGTACGGAATCGAGGGGCCAGTATACTTCTACCGCAAAGGCGAGGAGGCGAGCCCATGGAAGCTCGACGAGGGGGGTCAGCGCGCCACTGACCCGACTGGCGTGCGCTCGTACCAGGTGTTCGATCAAGTCCCCGTGACCATCAGTGTGCGGGAAGATGCTCGAGGTCTCCGCGAGCTCATGCTTGCCCTCAGGGACGAGGCCTGAAAAGCATTGCGAAGCGCGTCCAGCGAAGCGGGCATGCGAGTATTCGTCGGGAAGTCCCGCCACTCATCCTGAGGTCGTCGGCCGGCGACCCTGCCGGGGTCCCGCTGGCGAAGCACACAGCGCACGGGCACAGCTGCTGGGACCCCGACATCTGCACTTTGACTTCGCTCATTGTGCGTGCGGATACTCCGCCGCTGTCGTTGCGCCCGGCTGCCCCTTGCTCGGCCAATCTCACCAGTGGTCGACACGCTGATCACACTCATTCGACGTTTCACAGAGGTGAGGTGTCACATTCTTCGCGTCGTCAGCCATAAGGCTTGATGTGACCCATTACTGGCACGCCTGGGATCTTACAACAAGTGCCAGACGTCACACGCCGTATGGATGCCGCCGAAGCGTGTTTGAGAGAGGGAGAGCTGGGTTTCACCGTCCCTTGGACTTGCGCGCGAGGAAAGCCTATGGGTGGCGCCGGGGCGCATGTCGTCGCGAACGAGGAGGCTCTGGGTGCCCGCAGCGGTTGCCAGTACGAAGTGGAGGGCAAGATGTTTTTGTCGAGCAAAATGTCCTCGCGGAACCTGTATTGAAGTTTCAGCATGATAAAACGTCAAGGAACATAAGTGCTCTTGTGCGATGGGCTGCGTGGCCGCGACGCCGGATGTGCGGGGAAGGGCACGGCCGCCCTGGGGCCCTGGAGACCTGCCTGAGAAACTTTCAGCGAGCAAACGAGCTCTCTGAGGGCCTGGGATAATCGAGATGGTGGCCGAGAGCAACGACAGCGGTGGAGTGCCCGCACGCAGGATGAGCAAGCGGCAGCGACAGATGTCGGGGTCCCAATCACCTGCGCACGCAGCTTGAGTGAAGTCTTCGATGAGTGACGAGGCCCGCGGCGTGCGGGTACTCGTCGGCAAGCCCCACCACGCGTCCCGATCCGTGAGAGGTCACATGCCTGAGTCGACGTGGACGACTGAAAGCGACTCGATCACCGTCGTCGCGTTCACAAGAGTCAGAGTCGCGCACGAGTTCGCCGGTCCATATCCCTTGGACTGCCACTCCCTCGATTCTGAAATTCGCATTTCAGCTCGTTGGTCGCAGCAACGTCAGCCACGGAGCTGGGTATCCGCCTCTGCTCCCTCCTCGCCCCCCTCCCACCAGGCAACAGCCGCCCGAGGCCGCCCTGGGCCTCGGGAAGCCCTTGATGTTTATGCCAACTTCGAGCGCGCAGCCGGCCGTGTTGGATTCTTCGCCCCGCGCAGTCACTGCTGCTGATCAACGTGCTGCGGGGGCGGACCTGATGGGCCTAAGGAGCTCCGGCGATCGGACCGGGGAGGGGGCGAGTGTGGTGGGGGAGGGGTGCCGTGACTGAAGGCGCGCGATGGCGCCATGCTGTTTCCCGACGGAGGTGGCGGCGGGACGCCCTGATTGGGCATGTGTGCAGCCCCTGCACATGGCGCTGGCAGCTGCACAGGGCCACGTGCAACGTGATAGCCGGCTGAGACGTGGCTCCTCCCATGTGGCAGCACCACCCCGCTCATTGCGTGTGGGCTGCCCCCTGGCGGACCGGTAAAATGTGGACCCACGTGCACCGGCGGCTGCGGAGGCATAACGACGTTGTTTGGCGCCACGTGCATCATGTGATGGTACGGACCCTCTTGTGGAAGCAGCAGCACGGGCCCCGATTGCCCCGGGGCGCCGCCGTTGGAGTGCCCGCTCTGAGGCAGCGGTTGTAGTCCGGCGGAGGCTGGGACCAACATGAGCGGTGCCCCCGCGGACGAGGGGGGCATCATGAGTGGGCGAGGCATGCCTGGCTCGCCTCCCGGCCCGCTGGAAGTCGCCCGGCTGAACCCCTGCTGGCCTGTTGGCATGTTGGACGGCCCCATCCCCGATGATCCAGGATAATTGCCGAGGCTGCCAGCGCTGTGCGGCGGAGCACCGTATCCATGTGCGGATCCATATCCGCCCACTTTGTCGCCGCGGTATCCACCACCGGTGTGGCGCCGTTGAGACCCACGGACGCTATCACTCTGCGCGGAAGCGCTCGCGTCCTCCACCGAGGTGGTCGGGCCACATGCACTGGCACCGTGATCAACACCCCTGCGCCGAGGTGGTGGCTGCGGGGCCGCTGCCGCGGACGGCTTCCTATTGCTCGGCACGAATTCAGCTGCATCAACGTTGAGCTTGAATTCCGATGCGAACGGATTGAGCTTCGATCCGCCCCCTGGCGTCTTTTGCAGCATGCTGTGTGGAGCAGGAGGCTCTTGGCTTGCTAGCTGGGCCGGCTGCTCCGGTTCACTTGACCGTGAAGGAACGGGAGATGACCTTGACGCCTGATGCAGCGCTGCAGCTTCTTGTGGAGCTCCATACGGAGCCGCCGGCCGAGGCATTGCAGCTGGCGGCATCTGCTGCGGAGGGACCCCGCCCAAACCGGGAGGGCGGTGCGGCCACGCACGCGGGAGTACGTTTGGCCCCCATGCGTTTGGTCGGGGTCCCATGTAATGCGGACTCCGGCCTGGCGGCCGCGGCGGAGGCGGTGGCGGAGGCAGTGCAGGTTGGGGGTACGGCATGGCCCCGCGGCCCCCGGCAACGCCCGCGTCTGCCTGTCGCTGCATCTCTTGCCCCCCGCGCTCCGCTGGCAATGGGAGGCGGCCCCTCTCAGCGGGCGCCGTGCGGCACCCTCCCGTGCCAATGACTCCGGAGTACAAGTCCTCTTCGTCCAACCCAGATTCGTCCAGCGCGAGCCCACGCTCTTCGCGCAGATGCACGTTCACCGCATCGCGCCCGCCCTGCTCGATTTCTGCGGCGATCCGCGCCGCCTCTGCAGCGGAGATGCCGCAGTCATGCTTCACCTCGGTGGTGTACAGATTTTCGTCGAAGTCCGTGCGCACACCGAACTTCGCCTCGTTTGCCGCGAACTGATCCCACTGTGCTGTCCCACCGTCGTCTTCCAGGCCGTCGTCGAGCGGCGACGCGTCGTCACCGGGGGCCGGAGTCCACCGCTCGAGAGCGCGGCGTTGCGAGCGGCGGCCTCCACGAGCGGCGCCGATGGCCGCATCGGTAGAGAAGCCGTTGTGCTGGCTGGCAGGTCCGCGGCTACCCGCGGCGCGATCGACGCCGAGGTGCTGGGCGCTGATGTCGACGTTGTCCGCCAGTATGCAGTGCACAGCCGACAGCGGAAAGGATGCGAAACGCTCCGGTGGCTGCACGACGTGCGCGGGCGGCGCCCGACCGCTGGCTTCAGGCGGCTCTCGCGCTGGATCTGTGGACGTGGCGTAGCGCAGTTGGACGATCCATGTGTCTGTAGCAGCAGTCAAGCCTTGAAACAAGCCGGCCAGCACACTGCCGTCCTGGAGCTGCACCCATTCAAGGACGGAACGACGGTGCATGAGTCAGCAGGAGGTTGAACCGCGCGTACGTTTGCGACGCACCGGGCAGGAAGACACAAGGGATGGCGGATTCAGCATCGCGGCGACGAGCGTGCGCGATTCCCGGTCACGATCGGCACGCACGGTGTGCCGTAATCGTGAAGTGAAAAAACTCCCGGCAGCGCGAGGAGACGGTATCAGCGCACGGCTCGCCACGGGAGGCCGAGCGCAAGGCGTTGCATCGTCGCGCCCGGAACGAGGCCCGCAACCGGGCGGAAGTTGTTGTGCCTTGCCACGTAATATGACAAACGTGGCGCGTGGGCGTCCCCTGTCAGGAGCGGCAGGTTGCTGCCAGATGGTGGCAGTGCAGGAGGGTCGAGCACCCGGGCCGTGCTTACCCGGACTGAAACGCGCTGCCCTTTGATGGCAGCCAGGGCAATGCTGATGCGCTCGTGTGCCAGCGCGCCCGAGCGAGCAGGTTCCGTGGTCATGCCGGCCGGTGCACCCCCTGGAGCTCCGCGAAAGGTCTTCAGCGCGATTGCGCAGGCCATCCAGGGCCTGTTGGATCCATGCGACAGTCAGTCAGCTGACGAGTGGGCAGTGCAGGGTTGTGCCGACGCCTTCCAGCACGCGCGGTGACCATGACTGACGCCGTGGGCCCAGCACTGACAGGGCAACCAGGGGCATCTGGTTGCTGACCGTCAGCTTGCTTCGAGACTCCGTCTGACTGGGTGAACCAGGCTTCGCCGCGGAGCTGCACGTTGCGGAACTGGACCACAGCGCAAGGCACTGCGGCATCGACTGCGACAAAAGCCGCTGTACTGCCTCCGGTTTCCTCAGCCGTAAGACTGCCGAGCCAGCTCCTACGCCGCGTGTGGCACGTGCACCTGGCGGGAGCGATTGCTTGCGACGAATCGCATCTGACGTAGCACATAGGAAGCTGGGGGTTTTTGCGGAGCCGCGAAAGCTCGTACTTGGATCGCCAGTGGCAGTGTTGTTTTCGCCCACAGTCATCGTCGCCGGCGACAGGAATGTGCACCGCCGAGCAGTCAGATGCGCCCCAGGCCGATGATTCCGCGTTGCCGACAATCGATCAGCAGCAAGAATTCCTGCTCCGTGCAAAGGACGCCAGGAACTCGGCGAGGTGCGAACGAACACATTTAGCATGCGCTAGACCACTTTGAGCTCGGCCTTCGAGGGCGCCGGCGTCCCACAGTGTATCATAAAGAGACGGTCTCTCGCTGCGGGTAGTGCCTGGCAGGAGCGAGCTCGCGGGTGACGAGGGGCGCCAGTGATGCCTGTACTCGCCTGCAGGTACCTCGCCGAGAGCTTGGGCCTGACGAATTTCGACACGGATACGCGCGAGTCGGTGAGAGTCGACGTGACAGCTGTCACGCTGCGCTTCGCGTCAACGTTGACGCCTTTCCCTGCGAAGGTGGCGTCCGTGTGCAGCCTGGGACAGAAATTGCTGTCCCTTCTCAGCGCGAGCGAGTCTTACAAAGCCGTCGCCCAAGCGTTGAAGGATCATCTCGTTGCACAAACCAGCGCGTCGCCCGACCCGAGCGACGGCAAGCTGGCGCCAGAGCAGATTAAGCAGGTGTGTCAACTTCAGACAGAGCCGGTCACTGGCTCTGTCGAAATGTGTGGCCCCCAAACCACGTGCCGTGATCACTCCCTGGCTATTTCGATGCCCGGACCTCGCGACGGACTGCTCACAAGCATCTTGAGCTTGGCCCACACCAGGTGTCGCCTCTGCTATCGCTCTTACGCAGGTTGGACGATTTTTCGCGGATCTTCTGCTGCGCAACTACAACCTGTACAGCTGTGTGTTCACGAAGGAGCGTGAGTGGGCCTCATTCAGCGCGGACCTGGTCGTTGAAGAGCCTCGCATCCCACTGCACCTGGACCCCCCGGAGCCCGCCGCAGCGGATGTGCCCTCGCAGCCAGGTGTGAGGACCGAGGAGGAATACCAGGCCGCACTCGAGGCCGCTCGCGTCAAGGCCGAACAGGAACGCGAGGAAGCGCTGGAAGCCGAGCGTGAGGCAGCTAGCGCAGCGGAACGCCAGCGGCGCCGCCTGGAGACGGAGCACACCGAGGCGGAGCTCGAGGAACTGCGGGCAAAGAGGCCTGCGACGCTGGAAGAGGCTATCGAGCTGCAAGTCAAGGTCAAGGTGGCGGAGGAGCGCGTAAGGCTGTGCAAAGAGTTTGAACAAAAGGAAGCGGAGTTGCTGGAGCAGATCGGCACGCTGAAGGCCAAAGTTGCTGGGTAGGGAGCGATGCGGCGTGGGGCGACGCCTGACTCGTCGGCAGGCGAGCAAACGCTGTGTTGAGGCACAGACAGGCTGGTTTTTTCTGGCAACACATGGTCGCTTCTGTTGCTGGATTCACGACCACGACCGCCCCGTTGATGGGGACTGAGGCGTCACGTTTGTTCTTGTGAACGATTTTCGCAGACTGTTTAGTGCGCGTCACGTTTGTTCTTGTGAACGCGGTTTTGAGTGCGCGGTCCCACGATGTGATTGAGTAGGCGTGCGACACTGCCGCGAGTGCTTCGCCAACGCCCTGCGTCAGGCTGCGACCTCCCAAGCCCGGCGTGACGCCGACGCCCGTCGCCACTTTTTCTGAGTAAGTCCCCCAGTGATGAGTACATGTCGCCGACGGTCGGAGTCGTGTCCGACGGACACGCGCGCGCAAGGAACTTACTGGGTCTCAGCGTCTGCAACATGCCTCACAGGCCGACGCAGCGGCGCGCCTCACTGCAGAGCTCGCTGTCTCGGCGGGCCGAGGGTCGGGGGTCGCTCCATGCCATGAGTGCGCCGAGAGCCTGTTGTGGGTGCTGAGAGCGAGCCTCCACGTTCCACGAAGCACCTTCCGCGACGTGCGTCGTGGCCGTAGAGCGAGAGTATGGTGTCACAGGTGGAAGATGATCTCCTTGGGGACGAGAGCACGACGGTCAGTGGCCTTCCACTCTCGCGATGTGGGTGCATGGTGCCCATGGTCACTGGAGACCACGGCGCGTTTTGCGCTCTCGCAGCTGCCCCTTCCCGTCATGCATCGTCCAGGAAGACGGCACACTGGTCGCACGGACTGCCTGGCCGATCGCGACGATGTGGACTGCTGCATTTGGGACGCGCCCCGGTCCCGCTGCGAGCAGCGCACCTGCTAGCCGCAGGATCCGCGGGTCCCGCCTATGACATGGCTCCTCTACGTGCTCGAGAATGCGAGCAGGCCGAGACTCCGGAGAATCTCTCGCGGGCCCTTTCCCACAAGGGGGCTTCTCAGGCGACGCTGATGGTCGCCGTTCGATGCCGTCCCCTTACCAGGACCGAGCGGCAGTCGGTGCGCCACGAGACCGGGATGCACATGGTCCGCAAGCGCGCAGTTTGGTTCAGCCGCACGCGCACCACAGCCATGACGTGCAACCTCTTCCCTGCTCTCGCCGTGACTCGACTCGGTCACAGCCCGGAGACCGGGACGCACCGCCAAGCCGGATGTCACTCCACCCTGTAGCGGCGCGTGGAAAATGCAGGGGCAGCGCGGGATCATGCGCATGGTGGACGACCGCGTGGTCATCGTTCTCGACCCCGAGGATGACTCCCGCGGGAATGGGCCCTACGGTCATCGTGCGGGCCCACATCGCACTCGCGGTGCTCTAGCACAGGGAATCAAGAATCGCGAGAAACGATACGTTTTCGACAGGGCGTATGATGGCGAGGCGTCGAACCAGCATGTCTACCGCCATACCGTCGCGGGCCTCATCCCCGGAGTGCTCCAGGGCTGGAATGCAACGTGCTTCGCCTACGGGGCGACGGGATCTGGGAAGACTTACACGATGGTCGGCAGCCAGGAGGACCCGGGCCTGATGGTGCTGTCACTGCAAGGCCTCTTCAGGCTGGTCCGCGAGGACGGTGGCGCGCTGAACAGTGTGCCCCGCAGCCCGAGTACGGGTGGTGACGGAGCATGGACCATATCCTGCTCGTATCTGGAGGTGTATAACGAGGTAATCTACGATCTCTTGATCGACAGTTCGCCCCCGCTCGAGCTTCGAGAGGACCCCGAGCTGGGTGCTGTGGTGGCAAACCTGAACCACGTGACGGTCGAGTCGGTGGAGGACATCTTCAAGCTGCTGACAGGTGGGAATGCAAGACGGAAGACCGAGAGCACGGACATGAATGCGACGAGCTCGAGGAGCCATGCTGTCCTGGAAATCTCGATCACGCGCACTACGGTGAGCGCAACAGTACATGCGCATGTGCTGCCGTTCGGCGTCCTGCATGATGGTTGTAGGCTGAGGAGTCGAGTGCCGACACTATACCGCTGTGCGGTGCTGACGGGCTCATCTTCACCCCCATGCCGCAGGTCAACCACTACAAACGCGTCGTTCACACCGGCCGTCTCTCTTTGGTCGACCTGGCCGGGTCTGAGCGCGCCAGTGATACCAACAATCGGGGACAACAGCTAAAGGACGGTGCCAACATCAACCGATCACTGCTTGCGCTCGCTGAGTGCATCCATGCCCTTGGACGGTACGGAAAGCGGAGGGGGCGGAAGGGCGACGTGTTTGTTCCGTTTCGGAACTCCAAACTGACGCGGATCTTGAAGGAGGGGCTGTGTGGGAACAGCCGGACGGCGATGATTGCGACGGTGTCGCCTGCTGACGGCCAATATGCACACTCGATCAACACGCTGAAATGGGCGAATCGGTGCGGCGTCGTGCGAATGAATGCTGCCGACCCGCAACATGTGGTGCGCATGCCTGCGCTGTGCCGCACTGGCGGACCACTGGAACGTCGCCAGAAAATCGGGCGTTTGCTTTTGCTGGTGCAGGGCCAAGGAGATCAAGACGCACGTGCGGCGCAACAACATGACCGTTGATGCGCACATCTCAGAATATCAGCGCATGATTGATGCGCTGCGCGAGGAGAATCGCGAGCTGAAGGCTGCTCTGCGGGGAAGCTGCGGGGCGCCTGCCGCCACTTTCGAGTCCCAGGTCGCACGCATGCCGAACACTGCTGCAACGCCGGCTGCGCGTGCATCAAGTTGCCGCAGCACGCAGCAAATCGCTGTCGCTATCCGGGGGAACGCAAAGGAGCGGCGGGCCCAGCAGCAAGCTCTTCTCCAAGTTGAAGAGCTTGTGGTGCGCTCTCGACAGGAGGCAGACGAGGTCCGGCGGGAACTCGACGCTCTCGATGCAGCTGGCCTGCCGAAAAATTCGGCGCTGCACGTTCAGCTGTCTCGACAGTGTGCACGAGCAGAAGAGCAATTGCGCGACGCAACGCGCTCACGCATACGTTTGACGAAAGAGCTGAACCAGCTCGACGAAGACCACGGCATGCTGCTGGGTACGAGCAGAGCGCGGGGCGTATCGGAACAGGTGGCTTCGCAGGTCCTGGCAGGCAGTCAGGAGGTGCAAGGCGCACAGGACGCGCTCCTGCTGGACGCGTACTGCAATATTATTCTCGAGCAGCAGCACGTGATCCAAAATCTGTGGCACGCGCTGGAGGCGACCGGCGCATCCCGGGGCAATGTCCTGCGCGCATTGGTGCGCACGGGAATGCTGCCCATGGATCGTTCGGCCCTCGGAGAACCGCCAGAGCCGGCGAGCGGCGTGCCACGGCCGATGCGGTCGTGCGGGGCGACCTCTGGACAGCAAGGTTGGTCGGGACTCGACCTCGAGTCGCTCGTGGATCACGACAGCACTGGACAGGAGGAACGCCAGCAGGTGCTGGCGGCTACCGGCGGGCGGCTGGACCGGTACATGAGCGGCATGCATGCCATGGAGAGGTACATCTCGCTGCGAGATCTTGCGCAAGGCATGACGCTTCGCGCGCACGCGGCTGTGGCGCATGCAGGGTTTGCAGATGTCGACGTGTTCGAAAACGCATGGGACTCGACGGAACTCCAGCCCGCAGTGCTGCGAACCGTCGGATCTGGGACATCAAGCCCAAGAAGTGCTCGCCGGTCAGCTCCCGTCGAGGCGCTCCAAAGTCGCGCAACTGGAGCTCGAGATCCTTTCCGGGCGGCCGACGAGGAATTCTGGCTGGCATCCCCTCGGAAACCGCCATCAGCGCGGCAGCCTTCAAGGCATGAGGCATCTCCTGCGATTTCGGGAGCGTCGGGTTCGGGACTGCCGTTGACCTCGCGACCAGGTCTGACCAGGCTTCGGCACCTGCACCTCCAAGACGCAGCGGACGGAGCCGCATGCACGTCTCTACCTGCATTATCGCCCCGGCAAATGAGCGCGGGAGCGCGCCGACCCGCGCAGTCACTGCTTGCCACTGCGGCGAGGGCCGTGCCAGAGGATGCACCATCAGTGCGCCAGGGTGCGCTTCGAAAGCTCATGCGGCGGCGACAAGGCTTGGCGGCGCCAAACGCAGGGGAGGACGCCGGGGGCACGGAGCCGCCTGGTGTCCGTGCGCCTCGCCCATCTTCAAGCAGGCGATCACACCTGCTGCATTCTTCCGCAAGCCCTAGGCCACAGCCCTTGCAGGCGAGCGTCCCCGCTGTCACGGCAGCGAAGACAGATGGCAAAGGGAACGCTTCCGGAGGCGCAGACAGTGCTGGCAGGCGTTCAAATGTAGCCTCGCTCACAGAAGACGCCGCGGCAACGAGCCGCATCGAGGGCAGCGCGGCAGCGAGTCCGGCTAGCAGCGCACGCGGAGTCGCGGTGGCGAGTCCCCTTGCAAGGCCGGCGTCCATGAGGCCCGAACCTGGAGTGCCGGCTGTTGCTGAGCAGCCGCAGGCAGTGAACGGCGATGGAGGCGCCAGAGAGGTCGCGGCGCTTGGAGATGATGAGGACTTTGCTGTGCAGGCAACGGTGAACGGCGCGCATTCGCGCAGTCGCCCAGTCGCGGACAGGGCAGCAAAGCTCGCAGCGCTGCGGCGGGGCACTGCGGCAGCAACAACGACACAGTTGCCTGAGCTGCACCAACCTGCTGATCATCCGCCTCGTAGCTGACGGTGGACGGTCGGGGTGACGGCTGTTCGACAGCTGTCGCGCCAGGTCGGGCGCCGGGTTCTCCACTTTGCTGACTCGACCCTAGCGCATGATTCGCGAGCCCGTTGCCACCAACACGAGTGCCATCGTCCAGCTTTGGTGAGCTCCACGGTCGTTGCACCGACCCGCCTCTGGGCCTCCTGGCGTCGTCGCGATTCGGCACAGGCCATGCGGGCCGACGAAACGTCCCGGCGAGCTCTGCGCGAGCAGCTCTCGAGACCAGAACAGCGCAAAAAGTTGCGCGAAGGAATGTTTGAACGAATGACACTTGTTTACCCTCTACATGTGAGGTGAGGTGTCACATTCTTCGCGTCGTCAGCCATAAGGCTTTGGGACCTGAAAAGATCATGTGTGACTGAGGGGCCCAGGGGCCAATTACAACCCCCCCCCCCCCGGTGCCATTGAACTTCATGATGGCGCCCCAGTGAGGCCCAGGGGGGCCGTTGGCCCGGCAAGTCGGAGGATTCGTGCATTCAACTCGCTCGATCGGAGTTCGATTTGCGGTGTTTGGCGAGCTCTGTTCCTTGCTCGGGATGACGTGGGGATCAAGTTCTCGGTGCATGTCGGCGAACCCTGAGGAGGCGGGGCACTGCGCCGGTCCGGCGAGCTAGATGCATTCATTCCGGGCATGCGCGCTCGCTGTCAGTCTTCCACGCGCGGGGCGCAGCAGGGACACATTTCGCTGGGAACTGGCAGGCCGAACCGCATCCCGCGCCGGGGCGTCTGCAGCCGAGCAAATGATTTTGCAGTGAAACACGGAAGCGGTCTCCTCCACAGCGCAACCAGCAATGCAGCATCGGCTGACACCAGGGTCAATGCCCTTCGCGGACGGAAGTCGTTGGGTGCCAACGACGTATCGGCCGGCTCAGTGGAACGCCCCCCCGCTGAGGCGCGCCCTGGGCTTCGATGGTCCGACAAGTGTCTCATGGATGCAGACGGCACCAACAACGGTGTCCTGCGACGTCCTGGGGGCCCATCTGAGGTTCTTCCCTGCTTCGCTGCGTCCACGGTCCAGGCGCGCGACAGCCCGGCTCTGCTTTCCACGCCTGGCACCGGAACGCGTGATGTTATCGTGTTTGCTCTCGGCGCCCTAACTGCGGCGGCGGCGGTTCTTGCTGTGGTTCGCGGGGCAGTGAGCAAGCCAGGGGCTGCCGACGATCGCGAAGAGCCCCGGCCCAAGGCGGCGTCGACAGGAGAGCCCGTCGAGTGGATCAACATGTCATGGCGGAAACTCTGGCGCGTCTACCTCCTTGGCCTCGAGGGTTGGCTGATGGGCCGCTTGCAGACTGTGTTTGACTGGGTCGTGAGAGACTTTGCGCCGAAGTGGATTCGCGGCGTCAAGGTGCGGCGCGTATCTTGCGGCGACGAGCATCCAAACTGCCCGTGCGCACGCGAAACATTCTGGTTCAGGAACACGCATTCTCCCTGGCGAAATATGCTCGGCTGTGTGTTCCGCAGGTGGCGAAATTCACGCTCGATCACGAGCCGCCGCTCTTCTCCGACATGAGACGCCGAATTTCGCGGCGAGACTCGGACCTATGCGGCGTGGTGGACGTGCGATACACTGGGGGTGCAAAAATGCTGCTCGTGGTGCGAAGCAACACGCACGCCCCTGCATCCACGCGATGTGCGGCCGATCGTGACGTCCGCTGCGACGTGGAGATGGCATGTCGGTGGATTGCGACGCGTCCGCTCGATGCGCGCGACGGAAGGCCGCTTGTGCACTCCCCCCGAGCTGGCACTGTGTTTGACATCTCAACGGGCGCAGGTTGAAGTAGGCGCGGAAAGCGGCGCATACAGAATCAAGCTCCCCATCATGGTCTCGGACCTGGATGTGCAGGGCAAGCTCTGGATCAAACTGCGTCTTGCACCGATGCCACCATGGATTGGCACGATCTCCATTGCGTTCGTCGAGCCCCCGAACATCCGCGTGCAGCTGTCGCCGTACAATCGCATACGCTTGATGCGCATCCCCGTGATACAGGCAAGATCTCCCCACTCCCCAGTTGGCTTGAGCACAAAAGCGGGCTCGGGTAGGAGCCGCGATTCGGAAGACTGTCGACAGATACGCACGTACAGGCGGAGTCCGCCCTGCCGCACAATAACTTTCATCATCCCGCGATCGCCCGCCGCAGACTTACTTGAGAAAGCTCATCACAGTGGATCTCCCGGGGTTGATGGTGTTGCCGCGCCGGCTGCAGATCAGTCTTCCGCCGTCGCTTACCTCTGTAGCCGAGGCTGCAGTTGGGAGAGACACAGTGATACGCGCGATAGCAAGCGCAGTGCTGCAGGCTGACGCCCTCGAGACCGCGCTCCTGGCTGCTCTGCCACTTGGCCCGCAGGTGAGCTGCGCGCGCGTTGCAATTGACAACATTCGACTGGCAGGGCATACTTGTACGATGAGGGTCAGGCTTGCGAAGCGGGCCGTGGCCGCTGAGAAGCAGCTTCTGCTCCAGCAGAGTTATGCACTTGATAGGCAAGCGACGCACGTGTTCGCGCGATCGTCTGAGTACGGCGCGACGTCGTTTGAGAGGTTGACGGAGTGCTTGCAGGCTGCGGCCGGTGGTGTGTCGCTCCCAGAGTCGTTCACAGGGGAGCTGACGGTCATGCTCGTGGAGGGTCGCAATCTCCCGGTGTGGGGTCTGCCTTGGCAGACGAATCCGTACTGCTCGATCAGACTCGGAACGCAAGTGGCGTGCTCGAAACGCAACGCCGATACCACTGTGGATCGACCGGGCAGAAATCCTACTTGGAATCAGGAGTTCCAGTTTTTGGTGGTGCGTTGCGCACTTCATCGCCGTCCGCTGTACGAATCTTTTTTTCTTGCCAGTGCTGACGCAGCTCGCTCAGGCGGCAGAGCACGATCAGGTACTGCCCTCGCTGTCTTTAGACCCAAGTTGTTGCAGCTCACTGACCCTACCCCGTCCACTATGCGAAGGAGGACCCGATGGCGCAAAGCCTGGAAATTGAGGTGCTCGACAGCCCTCTCACTGGTCGAACGATCGTCGGGAACGCATCGTTGCCGCTGAAGGACCTCGTGACTGAGCCCACCAAGCGGGTGTGGGTGCCACTCGGGCCATCGCGCCCGGGACAGGCGAGCAGGGGCGACCTGCGACTCGAAGTGTCGTACGAGGCATTCGATGACGACGACGAGGAGCGTGACAGCGCGTACCGAGCGGCACAGCTCTCACAGGTTCGTCAGCATGCATCACACGGTCTTGAATGCACCGAGTTTCCACCGCTCAAGCACGACCGACATGCCACGAAGAAGGACCGAGACGTCACGAATCTCTCTCGACGCACCGCCGTAGATGCTTTCGGCACTGCTAGCAGAAGTTTGAACTTCTGCCTTCGCAAACCTCGGACCGTGCACACTGCGCGCAGGCAATCCAACTGCAGGTGGAACAGATCAAGGACGTTCGATCCGCGGCGCAAGCATCGTCGCAGGCGGGGGCGGCTGCAGCAGCGGCAGTGTCTGCAGTTGCTGCCACCAAGGCTGCGGCAGCACGCGCTGCGGCGAGGGCCATCGTTGTGGCGGATGCCGACACAGAGCCTGAGGAGGCGAGGTTCGGAGACGGCGCTGCACAGATGTCAGTGGAGTTCGCGAGAGAGGTTGAAAGGGCAGGGCTGGCAAGCCGGGATGACGACGACGACGTGGGCCCAACTGGCGAGCAGGGCACTCCTCGAGAAGGTGGCATCAGGGATGGCGGCGTGATCGCGGCGAATCCCTGTGGCGACGAGCTGAAACGACTTCCATTGTCCAGCGAGGAGATGCAAACAAGCGCCGACGCCTTCGCTGACGTGTTCCGGGTGCGCTCACGCAGCGCGATGCACTGATGATTCTAGCTCTTGCAGAACTCGATATCACACATTCGCGATGGCCAGAGTGAAGGCGAAACGGTCCGTGCGTCGCGAACATAAAACTGGCCCAGCACTACGGTTTGTCTCCCTCGCAGCCTCGGGCTGGCAGCGTCAGGCCAGATGAAAGAGACGAAAGCGACCTCGAGGAAGATGGCATACAGGTATCTTCGGCTGGCCGTCATGGAGCCTTCAGCGACGCGCATGCCAGGGCAAACGGTACTTCTCGACCACAACGCTTCAACGTGCCGCCAGTCACATCCCACCGTCTGCACATCGCTGCAGGAACTTCTTGAGTTGAAGCAGGAGAGCGAGCAAGCCGCAGAGGAGGGAAGTAGCGCAATCGTTTTGACAGATCAGACTCGAGCAGAAAGAGACAGCTTCGAGGCGCACGATTCGGTCGTCGCAAGCGGACGCCATGAGGGGGTCCAAGAGGTGCATCATGCTAACGGGAGCCCGGCTCATGTCCCATCACGAGTGGCGCAGGCGGAGGCGACAAGTGAAACATGCGAGGGTGAACCACTCGCACAGGCCCGGATGATGAGCCAAGTGTCTCGCCTGCGTCAGCGACCGGACACAACGAAACATGACGAGGCACGTCCAGGCCGATTCTCCAAATGGGCGCGGTTCTGGCGGCGTCGGGGGGGACGGAGTTCAACCACATCTTCAATCAGGGAACCTGTGAACGGCAGTAGCGGCGAGCACAACGCGGGCGAGCGAGGGGGGACCTCGAGACTGAACGCCGATCGGCGCTCGCCAAAAACGGTCTCGGAACTTCCGGAGGTCCCAGAGGTACCAGTCGAGCAGGTCATGGAAGAGGTCAGTGAGAGGGCAAGCGCTGTGTCGTCCCTGCGGCCGGGTCCCGTCTGCACATGTCGTTGAAGGCGCTGCTCGTGGGCCCCTTGCACGCAATTCTGCGCGAGCGCAGCTCTAGCTGACGGCGCTAGTCCTTGTTCGCAGGTGTACAAGGCCACGTCGCTCAAACAGGTCCGTGCGGAATCCATGTGGGAGCGCTATCTGGAGCAGTCCGAGAAGCCTTGGATCCAGCTGCTGGTTTTTCTTGTAGCCGTTCTGATTGTCGTCCTCTGTGTCGTTGCGTGGCGGCTCGGACGCATAGGTGTGTGATCCATCACAGCATGTAACACCTCACCTCAGCAAAGGCACGGCGCGAACACGCCCGAGATGTGCGCCCCCAGAGCCCCTGGGAACAGGCGGCGGTTTCCAGTCACTGTCGGTCACTTGGACTTCTTGTGCGACGGTTTGGACCTTTTCGCCATTTGAGTGCCTGCAAGCCAGTCACTCTGGTCCCCTGCGTCCTTTTTCGGTGTGTCCGATCGGCGAGACGGTGTCTTCTGACGGCTCTCCTGTCCAAGCACCTGCAAAGGTGCACGTGATCAGCATGGTGCTTCGACATAGCTGCGCGCGGCGGTGGCAACTGCATGCTCCGGTGGTCTGAGCCGTGTGACATCCGGACGCGATGTCGCAGACGAATCGCTCGCTCCTCGAGCGCTGCCGTTCAGCGAGACGAGATGCGCATTGCATGCTCAGGCAAACACAATGAGTCGAGCCACCGTAAGCCACGTTGCACTCCAGTGATTCGGGCGCGGGCGTCAGGAGCGACGCACCCGCTTTCCGACTGAGGTGTCGACAAATTGCTGGGCCACGACGTAGCCCAGCCCAGCGAACACGCCAGCAATCATGACCCACATGAACACCAGCTCCAGATCGATCCATCGGTTGGGCTCCACCATCTGGACGGTCTCGTTGAATGGCGTCGACGAGTACTCAATCCCATCAGCGTTGTAAAAGACAGAGACGGCAATCTTGTAGCCGGCCTTGCGCACAGGCAGGGACGGGTCCGGGTGTGTGACATACTTGAAAGTTGCCTCCTCGCCGACTTCGACCACCTGCGGAAAGCTCCATACACAGGCTGCGGGTATGCATACATACAGAGCCGCGGCGCACGGCGACCGCGTCTGGCCGCTCTCGACGGTGGTCATGGGAGAAGGCTCATCGCCAAAGGCCAGGGTGAACGAGCGAGACACAGGAGTGGGCGTGCCAGGGGAGATTCGTCAGCGCCATTGGGTCCCTGGTAGGTGAAGTTCTGGATGTAGGCATCAAACCGTTCGCCGAGGGAGATCGAGCCCATCATGCCGGTTACATTCAGGGCCTCATCTCCGTCGTTGCGCATGCCAACCAAAATCTCCATGACATCGCCCTGCAGAGTGGGATCTCGGCTGCGCGGTTCGACTTCCTCCGACGCCTCGCGCACTGTGGTGTCGGTAGGGCACACAGCAGCTGCTCACCTGCGGGATGTCGAGCGTCGGGTTTTGCGGCGCGACCCACTTCATCTTCACACCTGCACGCAGCATGGAAGGCGTTTCATGAGGATGCACGGGGGAGGGGCGCAGAGGACGAACAAGGTCGTCGGCTTCTTCCTGCCCCGCATGGGGTTCCCGCGCGCTGCGATGCTCTGGCGGATGCCCGGACACAACGATGCGGTCCGTAGGCGGGTATAAATCTCCGCACCTTCTGCGTCCGGCGGCATGTCAGTGAGGGGGTGCCTGAATGCCGGCATGCCGCTCAGCAAGTCCCGGGTCGCCTCGTCGAATTGTGCCTCCGCTGACGCCGCGCACAGCGCGACGAGCGCGGCAATCAGAACCCGCGCCATGTGCATCGCGCAGTGGGCCACCTGCACGCGCCCCGGAACGCCACGCTGCGTCAGTCTCGGGCGTGACGGGCGCGGGGCTGGCCTCCCTCTGGCAGCGCGCTTTGCCACCTGCAGATGTGGAGACGACGCGTGCGAGGGCGGCGCAAGCATACCTTGACACGGATCGCAATAACCGTCGCGCGACGCGCCGCAACAATCGTCGCCGGAGCCCGCCATAATGGCCCATTAGCGGCTCTGGGGTCAGAGTTCTTCCCTGCAGAGCAGTGCTCTCAGGCCCCCTGAGCCCGTCTCACTGAGACTCAGACGGCGATGCTGCGCGGGCCGAGGGCCGTCGGGCACTTGAGGGTCCGGCATCTGATTGAGGCAGGACAGCGCAGTAGTGTTCTTGCGCGAGTTTCGGGCATTCCTGTTGGCATCAGTGAGCCAGCCGCCCCGGGGCCACGACACAACTGAGTGACAGACACGCCACGCCTCGCATCGTTAGGTTCTAGCCGTCGTCGTATCCAGGACCCCACTCGGAGCAGCAGGGCTCGTTTGCCGAGGGCGAGGCCTGAGTAGCAGTGGTGCACCTGGCGATCCTTGTCGGGCGGGAGCCACGAACGTTGCTGTCGTGGCAGGAACGCACAGGCTCATCACTTTGGTCAGGCACTCACCCATGCTGAGCTCCAGCGACGCCGCGCTGGGCTTGACGGAACGTGAGGACCTGCTGTCCAGGTGTGTGTGCCTCCTGCCCGCTCCGCCGCCTTTCATCGCCACTGCACGTCGCAGTCGACGGAAGCTGGCGCGTTGACTCGCGGGCCGGGATGGGAGGCCATGTACCGCGCCAGCCTCGCGCGGGATCTACGGCTCACGCTGGACAGCGGTTGTGGGACCACAATGCGACCCCCTTCCCGGCGGCCATGTCTGTCCGAGGCGCGTCGTACCAGAAAGGGCTTGCCGTGCCAGCGACCTCGGTCCGCGGACGCTGCGCGGCGCGCTCTGTGTGTTGAGTGCACACACGATGACTCGCCAGCTGCAACGATGGCCTGCAGGGATGTGCCGTGGGAGACGTTCATGCATGCCAAGCTCATCACGGAGCCGGACCTGCAGGTCATTCGACGCTTCGACAAGCGCCCGCGCCATCAACAGCAGCACGTCCTCACACATGTGCGTGGTTCCCGCCTCCCTCCCGCGCGTGGTTCCTCGTCCCTTGCCGGCCTGCGAGCAGGTGTGCCCGTGGCAGCGCCGCGCGCAGGCACCGACTTTTCCGGGCGCCGCTGCTCCCCACGAGTGCAGGAAGGACACGCGTGTATGACGGCCTTTCTGCGCGTCCTGCGCAACGTGACACGTGCAGATGCAGTGCAGTACGTACTCGCGCTGCTCCTGCAGCTCGTGGAGGATCGTTCCGGCGCCGATCTGTGCCACGGCGTCACGGATCCGAACCCATATGCACTGCTGCTGCGCCTGGCGCAGCGTGATGACGCCCGCATCCAGGACCTCGCGCTTCATCTCTACGCCGAACTCGTTCACTCGCGCGGCGTCGGGTCGCGGCAGCACGGCCCGAACGACCGCCCGGGCGACGCGACGCTAACGTCTGCCGCACATGCCATCGCGGGCATGCTGCGCGCGAGACGCAGTAGCGACGACCGCGCTCCGCTGGTCCTGGCGTCGCTGGCGCTGCTGGTCCAGGAGCCGGTGGTGCGGGAGGCGTTCGTGCGGAGTGGCGGCGTGGAGCTGCTTTCTGCAGCAGTTCAGGCGACCCTCGAAGCCGGTTCCGGGGTCGCCGCGTCGGCTGTGCAGGGTCCAGCCATCGCGCAGATGCAGTACCATGCGATGATCTGCCTCTGGAAGCTGTCGTACCACGAGCCGGCTGTGGGGGCGATGGAGGCCTGCGGTCTGTTGGGCAAGATCGTCGGTGTGCTCCGCCTGGCGGTGAAGGAGAAGGTCGTTCGCGCCGCGGCGCTCTGCCTTCGGTCGATCCTGGAGCACCGGAGCACCGAGGTACGGCAGATCGTCCCGCGGGGCGGTGTGTGCACGCGATCGCCTCCCCGGACCTCTCCCTCACATGTCCCTCCGCCGCCTTGCCGTCGTGCAGGCCGTCGGGGAGCAGCTCGCCGAGGCCAACCTGTCGAAAGTCGTCGGGCTGCGGATCCAGCAGGCGTGGCACGACGAGGACCTGATGGAGGCCCTGAAGGTGCTGCAGGAGAAGTCTGCACAGCTGTCCATCCAAGCGTCCTCGCTCGAGCGCTTCCGTCGCGAGGTCGTGTCCGGGGCGCTCGCATGGTCGCCGATGCACACCGAGGAGCGCTTCTGGCGGGAGAACGTCGACAAGATGGGCGAGAAAGACTTCCAGGTCATCAAGATGCTGGTCCAGCTCCTCCAAACCTCGCGGGACGTCCAGGTCCTCGCCGTTGGCTGCTCGGACATCCATCACTTCCTCCGTCACCATCCCCAGGCGAGCACGCCACACACTTGCAAGTGGTGCCCCGCTGTTCCCCTCGGGAGGGTGACGCCACGCCAGGTCGGCCGTGTGTTGACACTCTCTCCCCATCGCACCCTGCCTGCGATGCAGGGGCGCCAAGTGCTGCACGAACTTGGCGGCAAGTCGGTGCTCATGCGTCTCATCGTGCACCCGGACCCGGAGGTGCAGCGGCACGCGCTGCAAGCACTGCAGCAGGTTCTGCTGTCGGAAGACAAGCTGACCATGCTGGCCGCCATGGAGGCGTCTGCGTGATGGCTTGGCGGTGCGATGTGTTGTGTCGCGCTGGTGTAGGTCCTGCCAGCCATGCTTCGCCTCGGTGCTGCAGCAGGTGAGGTGTTACATTCTTCGCGTCGTCAGCCATAAGGCTTTGGGACGTGAAAAGATCATTCGACTAGGTGGCGAGTCATGCTAACCCTCCACCATTTTGGTAGCGACAGGTTCGGCAGCTGTGACAGAGTCAGCCTGAGCAGATCCTCGATGCCACGATCGAAGATCGCCATGCCTCGCTGATTCGGCAGGTTTCGAAGAAGATAACGCACGGCAGCGTTGGCAGCGGCTTCCGAGTCAAGTACTGCAGCACCATGCAGGTCCTCGAGGTGCAGGCGCAGCCGGCGGTTGAGAGCGAATCGGCGGCGCTGTCCAGCAGTTGCCGTGGACGACAGGGGCGCGTCAGCGAAGTGTGGCGCCACCGCGAACGTGGACTATGAGGACAAGAGCAACAACTATGGTGATGAAACAGAAACAGAAACAGTTACACTGCTCGGCTTATAGCACGCCTCCATTTAAGGTGGCATCCAGCAGGGCACCGTCGACGCCAAAAGGAGCGGCGTCAACGGTGGCATGTGAACCAATCCCTCGCACGTCCCACGACGTCACTGCCCACCTGTGTTTCACCGATTCCTAGCCCACCACGACGCGCGGACACCGCCTGGACGATGCGCAGTGCCGCCACGCCTGAGTCACGCATGCAAGGCGTGCATCATGCATCACGCAAACATAGAAAATAGAAGGGAATGCCGAGTCTTGGAGGTTGCGACCACGCCCTCGGAGGGGGACCTCGGGGGCGTCGAGTGAGGCCGTCGTGTATCTGTGAGCGCGCGCCATTCAGCACGAGCTAGACCACGATGGTTGATCCCGGGAAAAACCCAGTGGGAAAAAAGTCGCATGATGATGTGACAAGCGACATGTCGCTGAAGCAGACGCCCTTTGCCAGGCGCATCGTATTGTTCGCTTCAAGCGGCGTTCGTCAGCCCGGCTTGAGTAGGCCGGCGGCCGCGGGCCAGGGGGTGTCACACCGTGTCACACGGTGTCACACCGTGTGAGAGAGTCCGTTTGCCTTCTACTGCGGGGCCTCTCAAGCCCTAGGGGGCGGCGGCGCAAATGACCCCTGGGGGGCGACCGGCGGCGGCCACTGACCGCCCCCGATACCTTATCCGGTCCGTTGGACGGCCCCTCGGGGGCGGCGATGGCTGATCCACCCCTTGGGGCTGCCAAGATCGCTCAGGGGTTCAGTGAAGCCTTCAGGGCCCCTGAAGGGCCTTCAGAAGGGTGGCAGCAAGCGGCGATCACCCATTGGGGGCGACCAGCGGCGGGGCCGCCCCAAAGGGGGGGGGGGTTCCTTGCCCCTGGGGGGTGAGGGGTGTCCGCGCCGCCCCCCCTTAGGGCTTGAGAGGCCCCGCAGTAGAAGGCAAACGGACTGAGTCCGACTCGAGAGCCCGCGAAGACGGCTCAAGGGGGCGCGGTGGCACCGGGTGCTGCCCGCGCGACCAGTTTCGTCAACTTGGATCCGATGGGGGACGCTGCAATGCGCCGAGGCTGCTCTTCTGCGTCCAGGACGCCCGCGGCCAGGCCTTGGTGCAGCGCGACAACGCAGGTGCGCCGAAGCCATGCGTTGTGGGCGCCTTCTAGGCCTTCTGCGTGCCTGAGAGAAGCATATAGCGACAAGTGGGGCTTCACGCCTGGCAGGTGGTACGAAATCGGCAGCAGAGGCCCTTGGCGGGCGCATGCCAGGTGTAAGAGCTCAGCTGCTGTTCCGTCGTCTGTGGCCACAAAAGCGCCTTCATCCTCATGTTCCGGGCTGGTTCATGGGTTGCTGATAGCAGCAGGAGGGAGATTTCTGCGTCTTCGCCACACATGCGTGCGGCTGAAGGTCCTCTGTGGCTTGAGTGCAGAGCCAACGACTGAACGAGCCCGCACATATGAAAAATCATTCCGCCCCAGCTGGACGTTGGGAGGAGACGGTGCGCGACCGGGGCCGTGCGTGCCATGGGGGCCCGGCACGCTGCCCTATCGACGCGTTGTGGCGCCCGTACGGGCCCAGGGCGCAGTGTTAGGACAGGCTTGCCAACCGCAAGGTCAATGGCGCCTATTTCTGCACCTCGTGCGCGACTTTCCCGGCGATTCACGCATCAAGGAGTGCGCTTTGCCCACCTGGAGTCGTAGGAGCCTCCCGGAGGGGTCGCGCTTTACACCGCGAACCAGGCCGCTTCCAGCCGTCGTTTCCCGTTGCGGTCACTCGGGCGCCTCACTGACCGCTCCGGCGCTCGCCTTGCTGTTCTAGCACGATAGCACGCAGTAGGACTTCGAGAGAGGAGGTGTCCATACTCGTCGGAGTGCTCTTACCCTAGCTAACGAAGGATGCCCTGCGTCGCAATCACAAGTTTGCGTTTGTATATACTGACAAATACACACCTAAGCAAGTTTCCATGGTGTAGTTGGCTATCACATTCGCCTAACACGCGAAAGGTCTCCAGTTCGAGCCTGGATGGAAACATCGTTTTTGGCGTCTCGGCGCGCTTTTTGAAGCGTTTGCGCATCCATCGACGCGTCGGGGGGGCGACCAGGTGGTCCACCAGCATCGGCAGCTCTCGGCCGGACTTGTTTCCGCACGCAACGCGCCCTGCTGCACTCGTCACGTGCTTCCGACGAAGCATGAGGACAGTTCTCCACGCCGCGATCGCGACTGGGCAGCCGTTGACGGCCCCGCTTGCACGCGGCTGCAGGCGCCAGACAACCCTGCCCTCCGCGAGCCCCCCGCCACCCGAACGGCAGTCGTGCCGGTCCCGCACACGAACCGCCGCACCAAGCGCCATGCTGGGCGCACTCACGGCATGGATGCCCTCCTGAAGGCGGGCCCGCACGTGCCGCCTCCCCGTGATGACACAAAATCGCCGCCGCGGTACGGCTTCCGACACCGTTCATATGCGCACGACGATCGGCTCGGACAGATCGGCGGCAGCGCGCGCGATGTAGCATGCAGCGGACCAGCACCGAAACGACACCGACACGTGTGAGCCCGCTCAACCAGTCACACGCGCGTCGACGTCCGTCGCGACATCGGACGGCCCCTCTGATCCCCGCAGTCGCACCGCGGCACCCTGTCGCGCCGTGGAATCATCGGGATGTCAGTCCCCCGCGTCCGGAACCGAGTCCGACCGCCACCATGTCCCCCCGACCACCGGGTTGCATTGCCTTACCGCCCAGGGACAGCCCGCGCAGCGACTCTATGGATTGACTGATGCGGTTCATGCGATCCGAGACGCTCGACGCCCTCGTCGTGGACGTCGCCGACGGGCGACCGCCCGAGAGAGAGAGATCGGTCCGCGGGGTGCTGCTCTGCCGCCTGGGGCCCTCGACCACCCTGCTTGTCGACGGGGCCACAGCTTCCGCTGCGCGATCCATGGACACCGGGCCCGATCGTCCGGCGACGGATTCAGCGTTCACCGGGGCACCTGCATTGCCGCCACGGATCGTGCCAGGAGGTATGCATGTGCAGTTCCGCAGTGCCGGCCTTGCAATGCTTCTGGCCATGCCTGCACCTTGCGAGACGCGATCCCCCTGGGTCTGCGCGTCAGGAACCGTCTGGGCAGGGGTCTCACGCTTGGACGACTGCCTCGCGCGCGTTGTCCGCTGGCCTGTGTATGCCGGGCCGTTCACCAGCCTCGCGGTCACGGGGGCCGCTCCGGACCTCTGCCTCTCCACGCCTTGAGGGCCCGTCGCACGCGGGGCGTTCGTCCCTGCGCACACCCCTGACAACGAGGAGGAACTGCCGGGTAGCCCCCCCGGTGCAAGCAACCGCCGCACCTGCACAACACGCACAGCATGGGTTCCGGGACCGTGAGCGGCGGCGCGGCCACGCAAGGCGCAGCCGAGCAGCAGCAACGTCCCTCGGCCACAGCGCTGCGCAAGGCACGGACACGCACCTGCGCTCGCTGCACCGCGGTGCTGGGAGACCGGACCCCCTGGGGGAAGCGCCGGGCGTCGTGGAACGTCTGGGTGCAGTGCAGGGCGGCGGCATACGTGATGTTATACAGTCGTCCAAGCATCACGGCGACGAGGGTGCCGGTGCGACCGTGCCCACCCCAGCAGTGTATGTACAGCTTCTCGCCATTCCGCACACGATTGCAGCAGTCGTCCGCCAAACGGTCCATGGCCTGATCCGACGTGATGCCGCCGTCGTCGATCGACAGATGCAGGAAGTCGATCTTCCGCTGCCGGATCCGCGGGTTGCCGGACTCGTACGCCATGCGGAGGACCCTCTGCACAGACAGCTCGTGAATCGCCCGAGGCGGTCACGGGACGCACCGGGCTGTGCGTGGATTTCGGCGTCGAGCCGCGAGATGAACGTCGCCGCCGAACCGGACGGACGACGACCCGCACGCACCTGTGCGTCATGGATGTAGGGTCGAAGGGCCCGTCCCGAGCGCCATTCGTGCTCCGTCGCGTCGAGCGAGAACTCGGACTGCAGACACACGAACGTCGTGATGCCGAGGCCCAGCAGCAGGCTGAGGATGTTGTCCGTTTCATCGTCGTCCAGGCTAGCAGGGAACGCCCCCGCGATCACCTGCCCTTTAATAGCCCAGTTGCACCACGGTGTGGGCCCCCTGCAAGGTAGCAGAGCGATTGTTGCGTATCGGGCGGCGGCAGCGCGAGCGCGAGGCGTTGCGACAACGAGCAGAGAGGGGCATGTGCACGTCCCGGCCCAGAACTGCCGCAGGAGACGTCACTTTCGCGTCCAACCCTGCGGTAAGATCCATGCAGACGGGGCATGCTGCGCAGAAGATGATGGACCGAGGCGAAAACGCGGTCACTGCAGCCCAAGGCCCCCTACAGGCAGCCCTCTGTAGTCGTCCTTGCTTCAGCACCGAAAACTACGCCGTTGCGTTGTGCCACGTCGCGCCGATAGCTCGCGGGCGCAATAATCGCGCCCATGTGCACAAGGAGTCACTGGAAACGCGAAACGCCACGCACACGCTGCTGCTTGGTGCCAGCACCTGGGCGGCGAGACCGCGTCGACGTTCGCAGAAGGGCCGGCGCACGAAAGGGCGCTCGCAGATAGCCAGACGTAGTGGGACGCGGGTTTCTCTCGCACGCCAAGGTGGGGGAGGAGCGGGCAGCAAGTGGCCAGCCGCGCTGGGGCGAACTTAACAAGGACAGTTGCCACACCCGCACAGACATTGAGGGGTCCCCTGGTCGCTCGTGTGCAACCGCGCCGCAGGAGAAAGCCTACTCCCGCAGAGCGCACCTCATTTCTCTCGCTGGTGGTCGCGGAAGAGGCGGGGGGCGATAACTTGATTGGTGCGCCATGTCCCGAGCGTCGTTCGTTGTCTTTCCGCGTTGCGAGCCCTGCCACTCAGCAAAAGGAGGAGTCGACAAATGCAGGCGGCACCGACAGACGGCTCAGTCACGGGAGCGATTCCGCTTCACCCTCTCGATGGGACGGTACCTTCTCTGCTACTCCATGGCCAACACTGTCGGCTTTCGGACAGCCAGGGCCGCTGCTATGCTCCGTCGTGCGCACGCGCGCGTTCGTGCATACGCGGGGTCGGCCGGGCATCGTGCCCGCCAGCTACTCCGCGGGGTCAGTGACCGGGTGACCCCGGTCACTCAGTGACGGTCACTGACCGCCGGCTTGGAGCCTTCTACTGTGGACACCCCCGGAGTCCGCCCCCTTCCCCCCCGGGCCGGAGGCTCCGGGAGCTGCTCCGAATGCGTTGCGTTTGGGGTCCTCTATATTGGGGGGTATCGAGTCCGGCGCTTTGCGCCGCGGGAACGGTGATGCTCAACGCTTGGCTGCATCGCCGCGGTGTTGCCTTGCGCGCGGAGGGGGTTTTATCGCGCGTTTCGGGCGCACCATCAAGTCCACACACCAAGGCCCGTAGCGGTCCTGTCGCCGCTTTGTCACGTGGTCTGGGGCGACACGGTCGATTTTCGTGAACCAATCTCCAAGTCGCGCGGCAGAAAATCGACGCTTGCGCGTCGAGAGCGCCGCACGAGGCTTCAGGCCGAAACCGCTGTCAGGGCCCGACGAGCCCCTCGGGACCGTTTGGGGGCGCGCCGCTGCAACCAGTGCAGTTTGCAGAACGATTCGTGCCGATTTTCTCCCCCAGCGCGCTCCCCGGGGGGCCGCTTACAGAGGTGACCCAATCCATGTTGGCGCGACGTTGCTCCTTTCGCAAATCGCGTTTGGAGCGGGTTTCGCGCGGCCCCTTGGAAACTTTCAAGATTCCTTGTTCTGTTTGCGGTTTGACATCGGTGTTCTTCGCAGTCAGCGGGGAGAACCACCGGGACAGCCTGAGAGGCTCTGCGCCCCTGTTGAGGCCTGGGAGGCCTGCGGAAGCGGAGTGGGATGCCCTCGCACACCTGTATCATGTCCGAAGCCTGGTCCTGATGCGGGGCCCTGCTCTGCGAGACGGCGAGGGCCGTTCCGGGGCATGTGCTGAAACGGGCAGCGCGAAACTTCGCCGTCACTGCGTGCCAGTGCCGCTGCGCCTCGCGCGGGCGCGCATGCCTCCGCCGGGCTGCCACGTCGCAGGGGGTCGTGCGGCAGGCCACAGCGAGGGTGCGCGGGGCCAAACATGCTGTGTGACGCAGTGCCTTGTTGCAAACTTTCATGTCTCGTTGGTCACTGCATCCTCCGCGACATGCTCGCGAGCATGCGTTGAGACGCTTGCGCATGCGTCGGGCTAGGCCGTGCAAGGCGACTCGCACACGGCGTGCCCCAATTGGTGGCTCCAGAGGGCGGCAAAGATGTGCATGTGCCGAGGCAACGGGCCCCCCAGGCCCACATCACGATTCAGAGATGCGGGGGCGTCCACGGGCCGCTCCTGTACATACGATTCCTGAGAGACGCTGTTTTCGCGCAGAGGCGCACGACAAGGCACAGCGGTCGTCGCGCAGGCTCGCATGAAATCAATGGCTCTTCAGACATGCGTCGTCCTCTTCACTTGAGGCAGAAGAGCGGCCAACAATCTGACGTGTCCCTCGTCTCGATCACGCATGCGGATGCCGCGGACTCACTTCTGCATGAGACCCAGTTCTCGCCCTCCAGGAGCCAAGACCTTCATGTACGGACATCCGTGGCGCCCCGCTCGCCACATGTAGACATTGTTCTCGGGATGTCTGCTACTCGCTGCTTTGGATGGTCGGTATCGTGCTATTGGCAGCTTTGTGGCCACGCTTCGCCGTCACATCCCTGTGCGCCGGAGCACGGTGCTCGCACAAAGCATCGGCCGCTCACGGGCTCAGAGCACGTCGCTCTCCATGAATCGACCCAGCGCCCCCACACACATGTACACTCTAACAGGCGGGTTGCATGTTTGGTGGCTTCCGTGGCGAGAAAACATGTGCTTGAGAGCAAGGGTGAAATATGTGACTCTGAGCCGGCGTGCAGTATGGAATCGCGGCCGTTTCTCATGATGGTCGTGCGTCTCGCTTCCATAGATGGGGAACTCTCCCCGGTTGCTTGCCATTGGCGTGTCTTGTCCTCAACTGTACGCCAGAGGCGCAGGAGCTCCAGAAAGGGGGGTACGCTCAGTTAGAGGCGCATTTCGTCCACATGCGCGAGATACAGCAAAATGGACAGTACGCTTGGCAACGGTGACGCTCGGTAACGCCTCGTGGTGCTGTGGAACGCGGCGGGAATATATCCCACGGACTGCACCGCGGCGTGCAAGATTTTTGGTAGGCGATCGCTACCTAATTGAAGCGGCTGCGCTGACCTGCTCACGTCACGAAACGATACGAACTTCCGCGAATCGACAGAGGAGGTGCAAGAGATTCGTCACACGTGTTTGATTTGCGCGCTCGTGCGATGCGAAGAGCGCTGGAGGGGCCTGAAGTCGCCTACTTCAGGGGGGTGCCAACCTGAGGACCCCATGCGTTGACGATGCACCGGGCGTGAGGAATGGTGCACCAGCGCAACGTCCATAGTCGGGGCCCCTGACAATAATAAGGGGTGGAGGCAAGAGTCACTCGTGTGCAGTGCACTGCGCACCAGGGGGCATCCTGTGGCTGGTCCCGCAGCTGCTTGCCCGACGGGCCAGGTTTGGCCCGCTGGGCGCCTACAGACTTCCACGATACCAAGTCCCGCAGACATGCGGACGGACGGGGTGCCGGACCCGTGCTCGCTGCTGGACCTCCCTCAGGGCGTCCTCCAGGACATCGCCGAACGCCTGGAGCGCCCCGAGCGCATCGCCTTCGCGAGCTGCGCCCGTCAGTGCATGCCTCACGTGCTCGCAGCGCCGCTTGCCTGTCTGCGCATCCCGCAATCGGGCACCAGCCTCCTGGACGACGAGCGGCTCCGGGCGGCGTGCAAGGGCGCTGTCGTGAGCGTCCTTGACGTCGGCGTCGATATCGATCATCTTGACGCCCTACACCGTGCGGCGGCGGAGGGACAACGCGATGCCGCGGCGGTGATGCAGTTCCTGATCCTCCAGGACGCGATCCGGCGGCTCAAACTCGCGTGCAACGACGTCACGGTCGTCCCAGAAGGGCTCTCACATCTCCAGTGGCTCGACCTGACGCAGTGCCGCCTGTCTCCCATCGGCTTCCTCCCGCCGAGCAGCCTGGCGGATCTTCGCGTGTTGAAACTCAACCGAACGCCGATCACCGCGCTTCCGGAGGGCCTCGTCTCCCTGGAGCGCCTCGAGATCTCTACGTGCATCGACCTCCACTTCCCGCTCCCGGAGTCGAGCACGCGGCGGCTGCGCTCGCTCGAAACGATGGGTAATAGCATCACCATGGTCGCCACGTCGGCACCGGCGCTAACGGAGCTCGACGTGTCGAACATGTCGTGCTACGCAGATGGTCCCGACGCGTGGATTCCCGACGACGCGCGCGGCACCCTGCGCGTCCTGCGGATGCTCGGCACCAACGGCGTTGCGCGGGTCCCCGGGGGGCTGAGATCTCTCGAGTGCTTGACCCTGGACATGGATGCCCACGTGGCGCCGCTGGACCCGGACGGGTGGCTGCTGGCATCGAGCGTAAAGAACCTCCGCGTCCTTCGCGTCAGCGGCACCGGGATCGTCCGAATGCCGCCCGACATGCACCGCTTGGAGGTGTTGGAGGCCACCTACTGCACGAGACTCGAGGAGTCGTGGCTGCCCTCGACCTCGCGCCAACGCATCCGCGAACTGAATATGACTGGCGCGAAGGTGTCGCAGGTGCCCGCAGGGCTTGAGAGCCTCGAAAGCCTCGACGTTTCCCGCTGCAGCCACTTCCAGGCGACTCGGGAGGTGTGGCTGCCTGAGAGCACGGGATGGTGCCTGACAAAGCTGTGCATGTGCTCGTCGAGCATCAAGTCGGTCCCAGACCACCTGCGCGAGCTGCGGCTGCTGAACGCGTCCATGTGCAAATGCCTCCACGGGAGCTGGCTTCCGCCGCAAGTCGGACGCCAGCTCCGAGTGTTGCAGCTGAGCCAGACGCACGTCAGGCGGCTGCCAGGCGGGCTGGAAGCCCTCGAGGTGCTCGACGTGTCGCACTGCAGGTAGAGATCTCACAGGCCTGCACTGCACCGTACCGCAACGCACAAGTGCCGCAAGCGCGAACCGCGGCTTCCCGCAGCGCAATGGTGTGGGTCGCCCCATCGTTGCCGGTCATCGATGTGTGGTCTTTGACGAGTCGTCGCGCTGGCCCGATGTGTGTCGCAGGCATCTCGACCACACGTGGCTCCCACACGACAGCAGTAGGCGCCTCATGGTGCTCGAGGCGCACACGACCAACCTCTCGAGACTGCCTGACGACCTGGAACACCTCGAGCAGCTCGATCTGTCGTGGTGCGAGCTGGCGGAGAACTGGCTGCCGCCGGGCAGCCGCGGGATGGTCGCGTCGCTGCGCGTGGCGGGCACATGCGTCGAGCGCGTGCCCCCGGGGCTCGCCAACCTCGCCAGGCTCGACGTGTGCCACTGCAACAAGCTCGAACCTGGGGCCTGGCTCCCACCGTCCAGCGCGGAGCGGCTGCAGAAGGTGTACGCGCACGCCACACCACTCGCGGAGGCGGACGCGCCGGCTCACGTGCAGGTCGTCCGCCAAGACGCCCAGGGGATTTCGCGGCTGTAGTTTCTGTCGTGGAGATCGCGCGACGACGGTGCTCGCGCATGTGAGGGGTGCTCACTGCCGTTTTCCGCGCCATGGGTTGGACTGGACCGCTCCTATCTCTCTGCTGCACCACGCCGTAGTATGATGTCGCCATCATGTCGAAGAACCTCCTCTCTGACAGCCAATACGTCCCCGTGCTCGCCATCTTGCACTTGACGTTCGTCGCACCGGGACCCGGGTGGTCTTTGATAGTTGCCAGCTTCTGTGGCACCGGTTAGGGCAGGCTTCGCCTAAGACTTAGCATGGGGCATGCAATGTGCCGGGTCACCGCGCGCACGCGTGCTACCCAGCAGTCCTGCGGTGAACACAAGCTTTCGGTTCGCGCGCGAAAGTGCGAGGGGGAGGGCCGGGGGACACTCGTCGCAGACCCCCATCACGCGCCCCGAGGCCGTCGGCCACCGATCCTGCCCGTGATATGTGCGCACCATGCTCCCTCACGTCGCCATCTGCTCGGACTGATCGTGGGAGCACGCGTTGGACGACAGCAGGGAGGATGGTCGGCGCGAGATGGGACGCCATGGGGATTCCGAATAACTCGTGCATGAAGATGTTCGTCCGACATGCTGATCAAGATTCCTGTCCTCGAGGGCGCGGAAACGCTCGCACGGTCGCAGAAAATGTCGGGGAACTACGGCATGGGATTCCCACGCCCCAGGAGGGGAGTTCTATAATGAGAGGGGCCTCGATCTCGACCATGCTGGTCGCCAAAGATCAGGGGCAGTGAACATCGTGGATCATCGTGACTGGAAGCGCAGCCCGATTCCAGGCCGAGGTCGCCTGATTGTGAGTATCTAGCTTTTTGTTGGCGGCAGTGCAGAGGGGCGTTGGAGCACTGTCGTGATTCTGAGGACACTTACACACCCTGAACGTTCCGCCACGGCTGCTGCCACATGCGAGGCACGTCGACGCCACGTCAATCCTCCTGAGTGTCGACGACAGTCGTCCCGAGCCCGGCGAAGCTCTGCTTATCCGCAACCGTGACGTGGCAAACAAATTTCTCCTGCACTTGGCATACAGGCAGTGATGGGATGCTGATATCAGCACTGAAAAATCTCTCCGGGCTCATGCAGGGTAGGAGCACGCGCGGTCTCATGCCCGCAAGACGGTCAGCAGCCAGACTGTGAGGGCCAGCCGGCGAGCGAGGGGAGGGTAGGCTGTGCAAATGAGGCGCAGCGCTGTTCACTGCCCATGCCGCGCGCGTTCCCACGGAAATGGCTCGCCCACGTACCTGTGCGTCCTCGTCGGAGTTGTGCTTGCGGGAGACGACGATGCGGAGGCGCTTCGGCACGTTGCGGATGCCTTGCGACCACACCGCCTGGTTCAGCTTCGCGTCCAGCCTCACTTCCTTCGTCTTCATCATCTTGCGAGCAAACTTGCGAATTTCGTCCACGGCGCGAGGCGCGCGGCGCTTGAATGTGACGCCATGGAGCCTCTTGTGCAGGTTGATCGTGTACTCGCGGCTGACAGCCTCCTTCCCCGACATCTGCGCGCAGGTCGGGTCGTTCATTTCATGAGTGGCTCGAGGGGGAGTCGGGGCGGAGCCGTGGGAGCGGCCGCTGGAAGTGCGCAACAGAGGGTGGCAGGAACTCCGACAGAGTGCACCCGGCGTCCTCAAAGAAGTGCGGGTTGCAAGCTGCGGCGCGCTTCATGACGCCGAAAATACCGAGGCGGCGCACTGCTGCGAAGGATGTTGTCCCGCCCGGCATGGGCATGAGCCAGCAGAGCGGAGGCCGGCAAAGCAGTCAGCAGAGCAAAGCGAGTGGCGCGGTGCCACGGGACGAAGTTCATTCGAATGGAATGCCCAGGACGGCCGTCGGCGGCGGCAGAGCATGCGCAGCGTCGCGCGTGACGGCAGGTGGGCGCCGCAAGGGCAGGCGTTCACCTTGCTCAGCTCTCCGCACCGGCGTGGATGGCCCCCCGTGGAAAAGGGCGACATGGCTGCAACTCTTGCGCAACGTTGCCGGGGCCTGTCGCGCCGGCTCGTGCCGCCGCTGAGACAGCACCCCCCTGTCTGACTGTCCCACCCCTCCGAGCTCCGACTGAGAGCATCCCTGACCAACGTCGGGTACTAATGCATGGGGGGGTGGGTGGGGCGGGCCCCTCGTTGCGACCACCCCCCACCGCACCCACGCACTGCCAGTGGGTTCGGGACGCCTCCGCGCACCACCACACCCCGCATCGCCCCACCAGCAGTGCCTTTGAGGCGTGTGCCGCTTCTAGAGGCCAAAGGGGGACATGAAAGGATCTCAGCAGCGTAGCTTTGACCTCAACATGCCGACCGGCCGCGGGCATGCGGGCTGCGGGAGCGCGGACCGGGCCATCAGCCTCGCTCGGGAGCTCTGTAGTTACAACTCCATCACACAACAACTCGCGAAGGGCCGTTTCACCGCCCAGCAACCGGTTCGCGGAACTCGATACGCGGGCAAGACACGCCAGGGGCCGCCCGATCCCAGGCTGTCAGCCCTTGCCATGTCGGCACGCCAACGCGGTTCAACAGAGTTGTCTGCAGCAACCCACTGAGGCTTGCCAACCACTCCATCGGCGGCACTCCGGGAGGTGTGGGGCCGGAGATGGCCTTCGCGCACGATGTGGGGTCTCCTGTGGCCCGGAAAGTGCGATTCGTGCACCGCAACATGCGACAGTAACAGTAACGATGTCTGCGGGGATCCATGGCTCGACCACCGATGCATGCATGCACCGCAAAAATGGGGGTGGGGGTGGTAGCGGAACTTCTGATGCCCCCGCACCGAGGCACAGTAGGGCGTTCTGGCCGTCACACCCCACCCCGCATAGCACAGTCCCCTCGGTTGGTCAGGGATGCTCTCGACTCGGAGACTCCGACGGGCCCGGGCCGTGGCCTGTGCGGTCAGGTCTGCGGCATGTATCGCCCACGGTGGATGATCGCAACTGTTGCTTGGCGGTGGCGTCTAACGCGAGTCGGTTGATACGCAGGCACCCCTGCCATTACTCTGTCGACCGTTGTTCTGAATACAGTTGTCCGGTGGCGGAGCCGCGCGCTGCGACGCTGCACGGCGATGCCAGGACAGACCCGAACTGCATCGTCGCCGCAAGCGGCGCTGATGAGTTGCACAAAAAAGCATATCCTTTGCGCCGCTTGTGCAAGCAAGCATTGTGCGCCGGTGGACTGTGGAGCTGCGCAGAACGTCGCCACACAAGGGATCGGGCTTGACTCGCGGCGCTGGCTGCGTGCGGAACGTTCGGCATGCGGCCTCATTGTGAATCGGCGTTCAAGCGGCTTCAAGCCGGCAAGTTGCCATGCTCGTGGCCAGCGCCGCGACGCGTTGCAGGAAGAGCCAGTGTACGTTGATGCATGCAGCTGTCATGCTCTGGGGATCGAACGCGTGATGTGCTGGCGCTGTTACGGGGTCATGTCACCTCACCGACCGGGAAGGACCAGTGGACGCCGAACAAGTCTTTCTTTAAACACGACAGCCGATCTACGTCGTGACGCGGCGGCCGTAGCAGACGAACCACAGTGGTGCGCACAAGACGGCTTGCTATCTGCTGCCCCACTAGTCCCTGCCGTCGATCTCCGCGTCAGGCTTTTGCTGCCTCGCCAGTGCATGTGAGGCACTCGTCACCATGGCTTGAAAACATCCGTCACGCGCTGGACAGTGTCGCGGAAAAACCTCTGTGCTGTCGTGCGATGTCTGTCTGGCATCCATGGACTCGTGTGGCTCACTCCCGGTGGCTGATCGTCGTCGTGCCCCTCGAGCGTCCCTCCAGACCTGCAGCGTCCCTCACACGGCCAAGTGCGTGACGTCGCGTCGTACGAGCGATCGACGATGAGCAGAGCGAACGATCCGAGGAGGTGATGATGGGTCGACGGAAAACCCACAAGAAATGTGGGCCATATATATGCTGCAACCCTGACCTTTGATCGTCGCCGGCCATCGCTAGTGCCCAGTGATCCAGATCATCCTCCTGCATCGGCTGCGGCGGCAGGACATGCTTCGGAACCAGCACGACGCCGTCGAATTCGACATCTTCGTCCCATGCCTCGGCTTCTCGCCACTGACACGCCGTGACAAGGGCCGAACTGCCGCCGGCCCGACACTTGCGATAGGCCTGACTGCTCATCGCCCACACATCGAGACCGTCGAGACGAAGTTTGGGGTCCGAGCACGCTATTTCGGACGGGAGCCCTGGCCCCCAGGCGCTTGCTTCGGTAGAGAATGCCGTCCCGAAGCGGTGTGATGGCGGATGCTGCAAGAACGTGAGCGTGGAATGGGCGACGCGTAGTTCGGCTAGAGAAACGCTCTGCATCGGGAATGCGCAATCCAACGAGACTCACGTGCAGGACTGGCGATGATGGACTGCCTGGAAGGGCGTTCTTCGGGGGTCCTGCCGGCGCGACGGGGTGGACGTTGGATCTGCAAGATTGGCACAACGCAACTTCGAATCGGGCGTGATCGCATTCGATCGAAAGCACGCCCCTGACCCGTGCGTGTGTGGTCTCCTCATTTAGGTCTCCCAACACACCTGGTTCCCGCTGCGTACGCGTCGCAGGATGTCGAACGCCCGTTCATGCACAGTTTGTGCAGCAGCCGCAGAAGAATTTCGGTCGGCGGTCGTGTAGGCGGCAGGTACAAAGTGCCACACAGGTGTGCTTGGGATGCACTTGTGACCAGCACGGCGCGGTGCAAGCAGCCGAGCGCAGCTCTCAACTCGTGGTGGCGCCACTCGTCCTGCACGGATGGTGAGAGACCAGGCGCCTGAATCAGCACTTACCGATTGCTTCGCGTGTGCGATTGCGCTGATGAGAAGCACACAGTCCTCTTTCGCGCACCCGTGAAGGATTCGCGCCGCTCAGTGTCTCGCTGATGTTTTCGGCGCCGGAAATATACAGCGGCATGTTCCTTGGACGCCCTGCCTGCATCACCTCGCTCGTTGCCGGTGCCCCGAGCCCGTCACCTGGCTGGTTTTCGAAGTTGGCCCACTCTGCGCACGATCGTGGGACGGTGGCGAGACAGCGTCCGCGCCGCACGAACGGGGAGGCCGGAGATCGAGAGCGCAGTTTCAACATGCGGCTGACTTACGCTGTGCGGCGTGTCCTCGCGAGTCGCTTGCGAAAGGAAGACAGAACAAGTCAGCAAACTGTGCCGTGCGTACGATCGACGACTGACAACCGCGATACAACACGCATGATGTACACGGAGGGCCGAGGATGAGCTGGAGCGCCTGCAGCAGATGTCCCACAAAACCCAGGGCAGCCGAGAGGCCATGCGCATCACTGACAGCCTGCAAGAAAAAACATGAAGCGAGGAAGAGAGACCTCGTGAGCAGGTCGCATGGAGCAGTCAGATTTCGTATCGTCTGTCGCGGACACTGCGCCGACACGAACGACGAGGGCTAGTTCACGCCTGTAGGCCGTCTAGGGCCGGTATTCGCCACCCTTGAACGCTGGTGACAGCTGGCATCGCCCAGTCCTTGCGGGCGGCGACTGTCGGCCTGAAGATGATGCAGACGTCGCGGAGCAAGAGCGCAGCGACGCGAAGCTGCTCGGTGCTCGCGACCGCGAAGCAACACGTGTGACGCTTTGCGTCCAGAGTGTGGTACCTGCGCAGACACGTCGGACAGCTACTTCGTCAAAACGCGGGAGCATGATGTACTGCAGCAGCGAACAAGAGGAGGAGCTCGTGCTGCTCACGTGCCTCTGGTGGTCGGCTCCCCAGCGCAGCAACCTGGAGACCTCGCGGCCAGCGAGTGCCAGGTTCTTCCCTGCTGCATCTCTCCGTCTCTTCACGTGGTCGCGTGCCGTTTGCAGTTCGTGCTCGAGCGTCTCTCTCCGATGTCGTAGCCGACGTTTGCGCGCCTGCAACGTCGCATGGCCAATTCGAGGAACACGACCTCCTGTGCTCTCACTGAACAACCAGGGTGTGAACGGCCTCGGTAAAGAGAGAGAGAGAGAAAGAAAGAAAGAAAGAAAGATGTGCGCGGACCTGCCGCTCTTCCTGCGCTTTGATAATGTGATCAAGACGTCTCGCGTCAAGCAACTTCCGCCGTAAACGTTCGCGCTCCTGCCAGAAGCCAAGGAGGCCCGTGAGGCTCTGCCCGTTCTTCAGACATGTTCCGCACACGCGCGAGCTTCGCGCCGCCCCGCACGCGAGGCATGAGTACTGACGCGGAGGATATGCGTTCGGCTGCATCGCGGAACCGCGGCCAAGTCATCGCAGGCCACGATGCTTGAAAGCAGATGCTGTTGCAGAGCTCCTTGCCCAGCCAGGAAACCCAGAGGTGCCGTCGCACGAGCAGGTCTTGCACAGCTCAGCGATTGTGGTATCGTCTCCACACGGGGAGTAGCAAAGAGCCCAGACCCCTCAGCCACCGGTAGGACCCCAGCGGGCCTGATGTCAGGCGGTTGCACAGTTCAGTGATTGGCCGCGCTCTGACGATTGCGACGGGACGCGCCGCAACGTGAGCAGCCCGGCTGAGCCGGCGTCGCACACCTCTGTCCGACGGCGTCGGAGTCGGAGTCCCTCACAGCCCCAACTCGCCGTGTCGCGACACACCGTGAACGGCGACGCGGGGCGTGACAGGCGGTGCAGCTGACAGCGCTTGCGAGGCAGTGCCTCGACGGTCTGCGCTGGACAGACAGCATGCGGCGCTCGCACCTTGGCAGGTACAGCTTGGCTGAAAGTTCAGAACTCTCAGCATAGCTGTCATCGACACACGGGTAAACTGAAGGGTCGCACTGACCGAGCAAAAGGACGGTCGATAGAAAAGACGGCAGCGGGCTACCCGCACGCAAACGAGCGCAATCAGGTGTGTTACAACATCAACCTCATTGCGCTCACCATTGCGCAAGTTCCCCAGCAAGTGATGACGACGCGCTCGGCGTTGGATCACAGCGCCGCCCGAGCTGCTCTTCCGCGAGTTCGGGGCGCTTCCCCTCGAAGCGACTGTGGACTTGTTGTACACAGCGCGAATGAACCCGACCCTGCCCCCCGACTTCCCGCACATGACGGTCCGGGCGTTCACCGCGCAGCTGCTGCTCGCGGCGGAGCCCGACTCCGACGCGTTTGTCAGCCACCCTCCAGCAGGAGACACGGCGGAGGGCGACGCGACATCGTCGAGCGCCGCACGGATGGGCCGCCCTCGTGCGGCTCAGCCGGACCCGTCGGACGGCACGGACGACGATGACGGAGCTGCACCGCCGGGCCAGCAGCGGCAACTACGACAACTCCCCCCGCACATGCAGCCGGGCCGGCGCGACACAGGAGCACGGACCGCCGCTCGCCGAGACCACGGAGCTCGGGCCACCCGATGCAGGGGACGCGCAGCACGGGGCGGCCGCACACCATATCGGGCGCTGCCCTCGCCACCACCGGCATCCCGCAGCACTGAATCGAACCGCGTGACCGCTCGCACGCTGGACCGGACCACGCGAGGGGGATCCCGCGCTACACCGAGGCCGAACTACTGCGAGGACTCCTCGGCTGTCACTGGCGACGACAGCGAATCAGAGTATGAGGGGTCGCACAACGCTACTGCGTCTTCAACGACCTCCCTGACGGACTCGGATGAGCCGGGCCAGCGGTCGCAGCCACGGAGCACCCGGGGACGGGGGCGAGGCGGACGATCACGGGGTCGCGGGCGGCGCGGGGGAGGCAGGAGCGGCGCGGGCCGACGGGGACTACGCACGACGTCGACAACTCGTACGAGCACAAGGCGCGCCGAACACGCAGCCCACCGCCTCCGCAAACGCGAGCTACCGTGGGCAGCGCACATCGCGGCGGCCATCATTCAGATAGGCGGCACGCCAGGGACCCCGCAGCAGCCACACCCTGCACCTGCTGTGGGCAGGGTACGAAAGATCGCTCAGGTCGTGCTGCCGGACCACGAGCCCGCGGCAACCCCGGATCCCCGGACCGAGGTCACTCAGCACGGGCTTGGCCGCACACGGGCCAGGTACGCCTGGTGGTGCCAGCCACCACCGCGCACCATCCCCCCACATCTGCTCGACACCGCGATCTACCACGCGGACCGCCGTGCCCTGTCCCGCCTGCGTGTGGGAGCTACGAGGCTGCGCACCTCCACGATGGCCATGGCGGACCAGGAACAGCAGTGGCAACACACACCGCTGTCGCACCCATCGAAAGTCTGCCGCTTCTGCGCGGACGTGGCGGCCTCGCCCGCCCCGGAGGACCTCCGCCACCTGCTGCTGGACTGCTGCGCCCCGGCGGTACGCTCTCTCCGGGAACGAGCGGGCCTGGCCATGGACTCGTCTGGGCAGCTCACGCTACCACCTCCGCCCGCTGCCGATGCGCCCCTGTCGTCCACGGCAGCTGTTGGACAGCGCCGCCGCTTCGCTCTCAACCGCCGGCTACGCCAACACCTCGAGGACCTGCACGGCGCTGCAACACTCGACTCGGAAGCCGCTGCCAACGCTGCAGTGCGTGATCTTCTGAACCTGCCGAATCAGCGAGGCATGGCGATCTTCGCTCGTGGCATCGAGGATCTGCTCCAGGCTGACTCTGTCACAGCTGCCGAACCTGTTGCTACCATAACGGTGGGGGGTTAGCATGACTCGCCACCTAGTCGAATGATCTTTTCAGGTCCCAAAGCCTTATGGCTGACGACGCGAAGAATGTGACACCTCACCTCAGCTTCAGCCAGCATTCTGTTCGAAGCGAAAGCCCGCACTACCTGTCTGCGCGATCGCTTCGCTGATGACCGTTGATGCGGCCAAGAGCTGTTGTCGTATCAGCCAGGCGGGATGCTGTTAATACACGAGCGCGAGTTATGTTGCATGTAGGCCTTCGACATTGAGCTCTTCGCTGCGACTCACTTCGCCGCCTCGGCGCGGGAGCCCTCTGCACCGAAATGACGGCGAAAAGCTTCGTGAGCTGAACATGCAGGCTCCGGTCGAGGCGAGGACGCTTGCATGCTTCCCCGCACCTGCGTGGCAACTTCTGCGCCAGACGCTCCACTGCGCCTGCGACAGCCGAGCAAGACATGACGACGTGACGTGCGGTGAGGAGGCTCCTGACGTTCAGGCCGATTTGTGGCACGACCAACACGCGCTGCAGATTTCGGCCCGCGCGCCGCAGAGCCCGGCCTTCTGGCGTTGCGTGGAACGCATCGACGAGCAGGATCTTGGCGTCCGAGGGAACGCCCATCATCTGCAGAGCAGCATGGGGGAGTGTCAGCAGTGATGTTTTCGTCACCGTCAGGTTTGCTTGGCGTTTCCGCGAGCACGAAGGGAACGCGCCTCGTAGAAGGTGCTCAGTTCGGCCGTTCGCGCGAAGCTCGCCAAAACCTGATCCTCGACGACCAGCAGGCGCCCCTCCCAAACTTTTTCACTCAGTGTCGATCGTAGGGCAGCTCTTCGAGTCGCCTTGTTCAGCGCGAAGCTGAGATCGCGAGGCTTCGGACCATGTGCTACGCCACCATGACGCCACAGGGGCGACCTAATCGACCCGTGCCGCGCACGGCCTGCGAGCAGCGAAAGGGGTTCGCACAAACTGCTCTGGTGTCACCCAATTGTTTCCGACATCCGCCGCCCGCGAAACGTGCCGCCCGCGCCGGGGCCACGCGGCCATCTGCCGGGCGCACACCTGTCCGTTTCTGCGGCCATGGCTTACGTCCTCCTCCCCGCACCTCGGCCCTCGTTTTCGTTGATGCTGTCCCGGCGCGCCTGCTCGCATCCTGCCATCGCACGTACATCGCCATCAGCGATCGGTCCACCTTCGTATTGAACACATCACCAGGCAACGCGATCTGACCAACTGGTTCCAGCCCCGCGCCAAACAGAGTTGTCAGCACTGAAGTTCGGCTACCTTGGTCGGGGAAGAATCGCGGCACTGCTTCCAAAGGAGAACGCGCGTGGATGCCACCAGCTGGAGCCTGCAGGCGCCAAAAACAGTGAAAGTGCGTTGCTGCTCCGAGGTGGTGTGTTGGTGCAGGGCTGCCTTCTTGATCGGCGAGCACGAACGCCTTCCTGGACTGCATGTTTTCACGTTCGCACTGCCTCACTGATTCCATCAATGTTGCAGGGAGCAGCAAGGTGGGCTCACCTGTCGGCATCCAGCGCTGCTCCCGGCCTCCCCAGGAGGCCGCGTCGGTGGCTTCGTTGCGTCCACCGCATCGACGATTTCCCTGATGATATGGACTGCAGTAGAGAGTTGTCTCCAGCAAGCGATTCCCGAGCTGGCTGCAGCCTCGATACGGACAGGAGCGCGATGTAGGGCCAGCCTGCAAGGCAGGCAGGTGCCCTGGAGCAACACGCGAGACACCATCGCCATTGAAGCTTCACGAGATGTGGATCCGAAGCTTCGGTCGAGCACACTTTTCGCTCGCGGTCCAACGCACGCGCCGTGATGGCCTGCGTTTTCGATGCGAGACACCACAAAGCTGGGCAGCAGGCCTGTCTGATGGGGACCGCGTGCGCGCCCAGCTTCGACACTAGTAGCTCCACACCGGCTGTGATCGCAATGACGCCGCAGGGATGCCCGCATCGAATGCCATTCGCTTGAGTTCAGCCTCACTGACTCAGTCTAAGTTGTACCCTGAGTCCGTTTACAACCCTGCACTGCAGTGCAGGCCAACAGCGTACCACGACGCCGCGGAGTATGGTTACCGGGAGCATGCACAAGCTCGATGGCATCCCGATAGCCTACGTAGGATTCATATTCATTCATGCCGGACATCTCTGCCGCAGGTCGTTCAAAAGCCCTTGCCGCGTGTAGAGTACGCAATGCGACAGCTCCGCGCCGAAACGGTTGGAGAAACCACTCCTGCGACTGCTCAACACCGCATGCAATCTTGGACAATGTCCTCGACTAGGGCGAACAAGCGGCAATGGCAATGGCCTCGCTTGCCGCGAGGAGCGATGCGCCACAGAGCGCACAGCTGTCGGACACAGCCGCATTGAAATCGCTGGCCTTGCCTGCCCATGTGTCTTGATCCGCTGCGAGGCTTTTCGGCATACGCACAGAACGGCAAATGATACCGGCGCAAGTCAGGGTACACAAGGTGTAGAGGCCTGGCCAAGTAACGGGCGTACCACGCGCCTGCATGACCGTAGACGAGCCTGGGGTCGTCTTTCTCACAATTCGGGGCTCGAAAAGGACTCGGCCCCCAACAGTGCGTTGCAAGCCTCTCAGAGCTTGTGTACGACACCGCATGCCCCTGTTCCTACCGTGGCGAGATTTCCGACAATGATTTGTGCAGACGCCGTCTTGAGGGCGTCGCTCTGGCCTTTGAGAACAGCATCTACGAGGAAATTGCATGCTGTCTCGAATGACATCTTGAGGAACGGCGAACAATGGGTGCTGATGCCGATGCGGCTGCAGCCGCGGTAGCCTCCGCTGCTGGTGACGAAATCTGCCACGAGGCACAAGTGCCGCGAGTCCACCGCGATGCCATATGCGCCAAACACAGCTTGGACCTGCAGAAACAGAACGGATAGGCCACGCTGCAGCGTTCTCGATTCTGACAGGCGGGGATGATTGGCGTGGTAAAGCTGTGCCACACAGTCTGCATGTTCCGCGGCGTTGCGCAGTATTGCTCGATGCCGCCCACCTCTTTGACCACGGTGGCCCGCGCAGCCTCGATGCCATAGTGTTCTAGCATGAGACCGACGTCATTCGACACGACACCCGCCAGCCTCAGGACATCGCCATGCTGCCACACTGCCTCGAAGTTCGCCCCTGTCGTCTGGATGCGCTTGCCCTCGTCCACGACGAAGCACCTGTCAATGCCCTTCACCTCCCTCACTGGAACGGCAACGGCGCTCTGCTCCGCCATTTGAGACATGAGAATGTTCGTGTACTCGAGGGGAACACGGATGAACGCGCTGCAAGTGTACTCCTTGTCATCTGTGACGCCCTCAACTTCGACTTCATGTTTGACCGCCACCTGCGAAGTCCACGCCCCAAATCTCGACGTGTGATCGGAAACGAAAGCAAGAGCGGGACAGCACCGAGCTTGAAGTCGGCTGCAGCTCGTCGAGCAAGCGCACACCTGCTGCGGCCACTCCTTCGCCGACGCTTGGATGTGTGTGCTTGCGCCTCTGTGCGGGGAATGAGAGGAATTGCATGCAGCACCGCCCGAATCGGCGTCCGAGTATTCCTCCTCTTGCGAGATGCGCTTCGCGTCACTCGAAGCCTCGATACTTTCGCGCTCTGAGTAATCCTGCTCTCCATCGCGGTGCCCAGGTCCTGCCCGTTCGCGCTCCTGTGCAAAACGTACCGATCAGTGCCGGCAAGTGTCAAATAGCATGAAGGCAGGATTACGAGAGACGCACTCCCGACCCCAGCACGTAGGAGATAAAGGGGTATACCTCCTCTCTTGACGAAGGGTGTGCTTGCGCGGATCCGCCACGCGTGCCGTCATTTTCGTCACCGGAAGGGCGTCGACCGCGCGTTGCTCGTTCTCTCGTCGACCCTGGACTAGCATTCTTCTGTGCAGCTTGAAGCTCATGTTTCAACAGGGGGAGGAAGCTTGTCTTGAAGGCAGCCTTCACCTCCTCGAAGGAAAGACGTACATTTCTCGGGAATGCGTGGGGGGGGAAGAACTCCAGGACGACTGCATACTCTCGCATTTGCTCTCTGCCGTCGTGGTTGCACGCATCAGAGACCTTCAGGGACTTCAACAGCTCTGCCAGGCGAAGTTTTTGAAGCTGCGCGGCGAGCCCCTCCGCTGTAGACCGGCCGAGGGATTCCAGCAGCGGCAAGTCCATGCTCGGCGTCTTGCTACGCATGGCAGCAGTCATGAGGATCTCGCGGAGTCGAGGAATACCCATGGTGACGTTCGCCTCGCCGCGGCCAGCCATGTGGAAAGTGTTGAGCGTCATTTGCGTCGAAGGTTCGCCGATAGATTGGGCCGCGATCACCCCGACCGCCTCGCCGCCCGCAACAAGCCCGCGAATCCATCGCAGCATCATCAAGTGACGGAAGCGAACAGCCCAGGTGTGCCGGGGGGCGCAGACGCGCGTTTCCTGCGTTGAAGGAGAGAAGTATGGGCGTCGAAAGCACTGCCAGGGCGCGTTCGAACACATGCTCTTCCGCGCCAGCGCAGTGCACCGTGTCCGACCTGGATGAACGATGAGACCATGTCGAAGTAGGACTCCGACACGGCACCGACTAGCGAGTGTGGAAACAGCGCCTGAACTGGCTGCGCAGCCCCCAATTCAGCCACAGCCGTTCGATTGCCATTCGCGGCTAGTTCAAGGAGCGAGGATCGGCATCGCCACGCATCCGCCACTTCTGCCTCGAGAGCGTCGATACGAGGGTCCTTTGTGGTTCCACAACTTGTCCTCGGATCGAGCTGTTCGCCGAGGCGCTGAAGATTGCTCAAGCAAAAGCTCATGCGCTGCAACCCGGATGCATTCGCGACGTCCTGGCCATCCTCGCCGTACAGAAACTGCACAATCAGACCGTCTGCATCATCCCTCACCGTGCCGTCATATTGCACCTGCAGGATGCGGTACTGTGTAGGCTACGTGGTCTTGGAGTCATGTTGAACAGCCATGTTGACATGTCGGACGATGCGATCGCTGAGGTGGCACAGCCGCACCTTCAGCGACTCGAGATTCTTAACTATGCACCGCTGCAGGTAACCGGAGCGCGCAGTCTTCACGGCAGTATCGACGAGGCCATCTCGCCCCGCCATGCAATGAAAGTAATACTCCTGAGGGCGTAGCCCGGTGAGGAAGCGGTCCTGGATGAATCCTCCGGAGCGCGCGCCCGCGTCGAAAGGCTGGAAGCACGGCAATGTACGCCCAGAGGACGCCCTTGGCACGCGTCGGCCTTCGAGCTCTTGCTGGCCCAGAAGGCACGAAATTTGCGAAAAATTCACCGTTGACCCCTTCGCGCCGGTCATCGTCATGAGCGAAAGGCAGTTGTGCCGAAAACTGCGCATCTGCCCCGCGGGCAAGGACGCTTTGACGACGCTGCTCGAGAGGGGGTGCATCGCCCCTGAGCACGCAGCGTCGTGCAACACACCCGTCGCGTGGAAGTCTGCGCGATACCTCTCGGCCAGATTCGCACATGCACGGGCAATCAGCGTCTGTTTGGCACTGCGCCGACCGCCGATCCCCAGGAAATCGCAGGACGCAATGGTGCAGACCTTCTCTGCGGACGCGAGTGCCGTTGCGCGATGCTCCTCGGCAGGCACGAGCAGAAGCGCGTCACCGATGCCGCACGTGAAGCCATGAGTCTGCATCGTAGTGCCGTGGGGGGCGGGCGCCGTCGAGGGTCCGACCAAACAAACAGGCACACATGTGGTTGAATTTGGTTTTCGTTTTTTTTTTTTTTTGCAAAACAAAGTCGTGATGTTGGTGTCCACTCGCGCACCTGAACAAAGAATGTCAGGAGCCGCGACAGTGTCGAAGTCAGTTGTCCAGCACACGCATCCCCGTAGAGGTCTTGGACGGAGTGGACGAGCCCAAACTTGCCGAATTGAGCCTTGTCGAGCACGCCGGTCACTAGGTCGCCCGTGCGCACAGCGAACTGATCCTCAAAACTCGACGCTCCCCAGAGTTGCGCAGGAACCTTGGTGCCGGATTCCATGGTCAAGGGAGAGCTGCTGCGCAACACTTGCTGGAGCACCACGCTCAGCACTTGCTTCCCTGTCCACATCGGAGCAGGGCGCAGGATCGCCGGTGCAGGAAGCTGCGATGTGCGAGGCACCAGCGTGCGTGCTGCGTCAGCCAACATGCTGCGGCGGCGTAGAGCAGGACGCATGCGCAGGCGAGCGCGAGCACCGTCCGCCAGTCGTACCGCGAATGCCGTTGTGGCCATGCGAGTAGGTGCACAAGCGACGTAGATGAGTTGCGCCGCGTCCGTGTAGCTGAGGAAAGTGTCCTGTTTCGTCAGCAGCACCCCTCCGAAAATGTGGTCCTGGATCAGTCCCCGAATGGGATTTCCGGCGGTGGGTGTCGTGAACTGATGGTCTGCGTGGACGAAGATGTGACACTCTGCCCTGCCAAAGTGGTCCTGAGGCAGGTGCAAGTTGATCTCATCTCCATCAAAGTCGGCGTTGAAGGTGGAACAGTTCGCGTAGTGCATGCGGATGGCTCGATCCGCTCGCAGAACCCTCGCTCGATGCGCCATGAGGCCGGGCTTGTGCAGCGTCGGCTGACGGTTCGTGAGCATGAGATCTCCATCCCTCAGATGTCTGCACAAGGTGCCAGCACAGCATCTCTGCGTGTGACATGGAGGAAACGACGCCCCCAGAAGACCACATGCACTGGATGCATGGCGGTCTCTTCGCTAGGCTGACAGATGCAGCACGCGCCCGAGCGCCCGCGAACAGATGTGCGGCAGTTTGCTGCCTCGGCGGCCGCCGCGACTTGCCTGTGAACGACAACGTTGTCGCCGCGGTCCTGCACGTTGCGAGAGTCGCCTGCAAGAAGCAATTGCTTCGCCAGCGCCGTACGCTTCTGTGCGTCAAGATGCACCAGCGACACCAGCCGCCCACTGGCGTCTTCTACTGCCACTGCTCCTGGATACTCGTGCGCCCCGCGTTCCACTGCCGCGCGGAGCATCTCGACGTTGAACGGCGTCACGCGCTCTGGGAATGACAGCTTGCGTGCGAAGTAAGGCGGGACCCCGATCTCCCCAGTTGCGATGTATGGATCGGGCGAGATGACCGAACGGGCAGCAAAGTTGACGCGCTTCCCCATCATATTCATCCTGAGGAGCCCTTCTTTACGTTCAAGCTGCTGTCGAATACCTTGGGCGGCGGCACGCTCAGTGGAGAAGCTAGAGTCCATCAGGTTGTTGACGGCCTGCTGCAGATTCAGCATACTGTTCAGGCCCGATTTCAGTCCCGATTCGTCTGCTGCAGACAAAGAGTCTTTCATCGGCGCAGAGACGAAGTTCATACACTCGTTCAGCACGCGTGTAAGCAAGACGCTGTGAAAGTGCTCGTATTTGTCTCCTGCAACGCTCGACACCGGCCGGAACCTGTTCGGTGTGACCGGGAGGCATCGCACGAAGAACATCTGCCATCCATCGGGTGGTTGCCGCGCGACTGCGGACGACGTGCGCGTCGTCGTCGCAGATCCTTCGCCTGAAGCACCTGTGGTGTCACCTGCAGCACCAAGCGCCGCCGCTCAGGAGTCACTCCCGCGGCTCGCGCAGTACGCTGCGCGCGACAGCCTGACTTCAGGGAAGGTCCGTTGTCAGCCGGGACAGGCAGTGCGGGGGCATGTGAGCCAGCAGCAGGGTCTGGGTCGTCACCATGAGGAAACATGAGGGAGAGAAGCCTGGGCTGCGATGCCCAAAGTTTCCTCACGATGCCGCTTGCATCGCGTGCTGGTAAGTATGTCCGCGACCCTCCCGGGCCTTTCGACAAGAACAAGTTCGAAGCGCCCTCTCGGCCCACGTCGGGACATTCGAGCTTGCAGTGCTCGCATGTCTTGGCAGGATTTTCCAGAATCCGCGCGAGGTACTCGTTGATCAGTTCGTTTGACCGCGACGTCAGCGCGCACGAGCTGCGGTCCCGGTGCGTGTCGTCCGCAGCTTGGAGTGCTTGGGATGTTCTTTTGCACGTCTGAGCAGCAACCTCCTGCGCACCTGCGACACAAGTGAGACGCCCAGGATTCGAGTGGTTACCCGATCGCAGCACGAGGCGGTCACGCGTGTAGACCAAGGCGGCTCATCGTAATTTGGTGGCTGGATTTGTACCCAATGCAACAAGTCGCGTATCAGGGGGGTGCGTCGCCACCATTGCCTTCGCGAGCAACGCACCCGACAACTCGCCGCTCTTGACGAGTTGGAGGACCCGCGTCCAGCCATCAGCTGTCTCTGCTGGCATGCGCAGTCTGCAGCAGTGCAGGCAAGTGCACCTCAACAACTTGTGAAGCGCGCCAATCAAGAGTGGGTGGTAGGTAGGTACGGGGAGATCGATGTGACCGTAGTGGCCGGGGCACGAGCTGAAGCCGAGTCCGCATGTTCCACACTGCGCACTGCAAAAACACGGACCAGCCCGCGGCCAGGTCGAGAAAATCCTTCGTCGACACACGCTTCAACAGTACCAGCCGCCCACTGTGGGCGGCTGCATTGCTGCTAGCAGGCGCTGGCACGGGGCGCTGTCGTGGGGCGCAATCAGATGCCTGGGCGAACCTCGAGTCTATGGGGCCCAGGCGCTTGTCGTACAGCCCGCCCGCTGTCGGGTTGTTCTGGCTGTCGAATGCGGTCGGGTTCGTCACTCGAAGCACCGAGAGCTTGCGAACCTGCTCGGCATTCATGATGGGATGGCTCCAGGAGGTGGCTCACTATCATGGCAGCGCACGGTTCAGTCAAGCGACGCGCCCGCATTCGACGACAAAGGCGTACATTCGAACGGCCGCGAGAACGGCCGCAGGTCGATCGGCAGGACGACGTGCACACGTGGCATCACCTCGTCCTCACTGAACAGCGAGAATCGGGCATCCTGTGCCCTCTGCACCACGGCCTCGGGGCGACTGAGCACCATCGTCAGCTTGTTCCTCAGTACCCAAGCGAGTGAAGTGCCTTGCTGCAGGAGGCGGGCCAGGTGATCTCAGGATCGCCGCGGCGACTGCGCAGCTCATTCCTTGCCGCAGGCGAACCGTCGGATTGCCTCGATCACTGGGGTTCCAGGAGAACAAGCAGCCTTCAGGATCGCGACTTGGGACGTGCGCGTTAGAGGCGGTGCGCAATCCGGACAGCACACTGTTTTGGTCCGCAGCACGCCGCCGCCGAACCACCAAAAGCGTGAGTTTCCAGAAGATGTTCGCTAGTCGACAACATGAACGAAGCCCGCAGAGCCTTCGCTGTCAATGGGGCCGACCGGCGGCCGGCGCCAAAATGGCCGCCAACCGTGTCGTGCGCCAGGCTGACCGAGTCACGGCGCCGGGAGTCGCACTGTGCCGCACAGCACTGTACCCGCTTCGTGTAGATGAGCGTCGTTGGCCGTGTCACCGCGCCACTTCCAAGTAGAGCTTGTGAGAGCAGGTTGCTCGACAGTTGTGCGGAAGCGTCCTGCTTCCGGCCGGGCCAATCGGGCAGGGCGCCTGTGCGCGCTGGCACGGCGGTGCAAGAGGTTCACACTGCGTGGGTGCACGGCTGCCCCTTGAGCTGACACGAGGATTGGATTGGTCAGCCTCACGCAGCGTCGGAACGCGCCGCGCAGCCGATGCCAGCGAGGCAACTGCGCCTTGCGGCTCCCCAGAGGGGCTTGTGCTTGCCGTTGGCTCCGCACATTGAGGTGCAGTTGTGGTGACAAGGGCGCAGGAGCTGCTGTTCCTCCAAGGTGCCGGCGCGCCCCGCTGCTTCCGCGCAGGTGGGCTGTCCCTTCAGATGCACCACCTTGCCGTGCACCGCGCCGGCCGGCCTGTGTACTCAACGCCATGCCCGGTCCAGACGCTGCTGCAGGTGTCTGTCCCCCCTGGCGCGTACCTCCGCGTCCTCTCGTGTTTCCCAGGCCCGGGGGGCCTCTTGGTGGCTGCGGCAAGATAGCACCGGCCCGGACCGTCTTCTCTGCGCCTGCCGGTCCGGAAGTATGGCACGGTCCGGCGCCGACAAGCGCAGAGAGATCTGCGAAGCGTACGTTACTGCGCTTAGATCCCGCGATGACATTCACGTAGACGCTGAACTAATTCAACAGGTGCGCAGCAGTCTGCTCCCTCTCTCTCTCTCTCTCTCTCGAGCATCTCACTACCTGATCACATGGCTGCACCGCTACGCGACAGGAACACACGCCTCGTGCGTTTGATGCGACATTGTCTGCAGCTGCGGCAACATTTCAGCCTCCTCCCCACTCTCTACGCGTTGGAGGTCAACACTGGCGACCTCGACGTCCTCAACCACAAACAGCTGCTGGATTCTGCGCGCATCAACTCCGAAGCGGTGTGCTTTCTCGTGCGCCTCGTGGACGCTCCGACCGCCGTTCGTGGCGATCACGTGAGCAGCTACCACCAGGCATCACCCCTCAGCCCGGGCCGTTTGGGCGACGCCTCGCAGCCAGCTCGGTCTGGCAGCGCCCTCCCGAAATCCATGTCGACAAGGAGTCTGCCCCGCCCAGCGTTCGGGAGCAGCCCAAACCTTTCGGCAATGGCGCATGCATCCATGGGGGACGAGAACGACTCCGAGCAGCACCAGGAGCCTTGCTTTGAAATCACCGTGGCCACGCGGGACACCCCCAAGCTTCTCAGTCGACTGACCCAAGCCTTGGGCGACCTTGGGTTGAACATCCGCGAGGCGCATGCATTCAACACCAAGGACAAGTACTGCTTGGACGTCTTCATCACGGACGGCTGGGGGCTCGAGGCCTTGGAGACTCTGGAAGATGCGCTCGCCGAGAAGTTCTCCACCTTCTTCTCGGCCGAGCAGGGAGGCGGTGAGCAGGGCAGGACGCTCGTGCTACCAGTGGGCCCGCAGGGAGCCTCAGGCCAACTCGTGGCACCACCAGACGGCGCCGTCAACCGCGACCGCGGAGTGGCGGTCGCTGACGCCCTTCCGGTTGCAGAGCGACACGAAATACACGCGGACTGGGAGCTTGATCCACGCGAGCTGAAATTGGTCAGCATCATCGGCAGCGGATCGTTTGGCGATCTCTACAAGGGAACCTACTGCTCTCAAGAGGTGGCGGTGAAGATACTCAAGGATGTACACGAGGATCTCGCACAATACCAGGAATTCCTGCAAGAGGTGTACATCATGCGCAAGGTACTACACATGTCTGAGCTCACTTTCGACCTGACAGCTCCACGCGAGCACGGGGACTGTTCGATTTGCGCGCTGCTTGGCCGTCGACCGCTGCTTGCGACCCTTCCTGCCGTCGCAGATCCGGCACAAGAACGTGGTGCAGTTTATCGGGGCATGTACCCGCAAACCCAACCTGTGCATCGTGTTCGAGTTCATGTCAGGCGGTTCGCTCTTCGAGTACGTCCGTAGTCACGGCCCGCTGTCTCCTTCGCAAGTCCTCAAGGTCGGTCTCGAAGTTGCGCGAGGGATGGATTATCTACATCGGATGCGCATCGTGCATCGCGACTTGAAGGCGGCAAATCTTTTGCTGGACGAGCATGGCACGGTCAAGATAGCCGACTTCGGGGTTGCGCGAGTCCTTTCGACGTCTGGCGTCATGACTGCGGAGACCGGGACGTACAGGTCGGTTGCCCCTGTTGCACGCTGCTGATATGCTGTGCAGTGATCTTGCGCAGCATCTAGGATTTCCCGCCCCTCGAGCCGGCGCTGCGGTGCGCTTGAAAGGTTGGAAGCATAGCCGTGGACGGAGATATTCACGTATTTCTCAAGTGGGTGCAGGTGGATGGCGCCAGAGGTTATTGAGCATCGCCCATACTCGGAGCGTGCGGACATGTTCTCCTTCGGTATCCTTCTGTGGGAGCTACTCACCGCGAAGGTGCCATACAGCGACATGACTCCACTGCAAGCTGCAGTGGGCGTCGTGCAGAAGGGGCTCCGACCTGTCATACCATCCAGCGTGCCCGAGGGGCTAGCGAATCTCATGCGCGACTGCTGGAAAACGCGTGCGGATGAACGACCGCAATTCGGCGAGCTCATCACCAGGTGACCCGCTCTTGCACGTGTTGCGCATTGCGATCGACGCGATCTGGCACCGGCTTTACCATACGGGGCCCTTGAAGCGCCTCTCTTGTACCTGCAGACTCAATCAGCTGAAGGACGAGATAAGGAGTGAGGAGATGGAGGCCGAAGAGGCAGCTCGGGCAGGTCAGAGCCGGCAGGTCAGCGGTGTCGGAGGTCTGTTCAGTCGGTTTGGCAAGCACAAGAGCGCGTCCATGCGGAGGTGACGAGAGGGAGTTTGGGTGGGGCAACATGTTCACAAGTTACGGCCATCGTAGAGTCCAGCGTGCTGCGCGCCAGGGCATCCATCAAGAGTTGATGCCTTCGCAGCGTCCTTGCTTGCACCCCTTTCAGCGTCCCACTCAGATGCTGCTGTAACGAGCTCGCGCTTTCGGTTGAGAATGTATCCCAGCTGCGGATCGTCGCCTTTCGCGACTGAAGTAGCCAGTGTTTCATCTGACATGGAGAGCTTCTAGATGTCTTCTCAGCACTGCCTATGCGCAAGACGGCGGCGCATCGGAAACCCGCGGCGACTTGCGTGCGCACTCGAACCTGGCGATCGCAGCCGAGTCCAAGAGCGGAGTGTTGCTTTGCGGTCAGACCAGCTGGTTGGTTGCCCTTCCTCAGACCGTCTGGCGGTCAGTGACCGTCATTGGCGGGCCACAGTTGGCCTGGATGACAGCGGGTGTGGTGCACTGCGCACGCCGACGTAGCGGCTGTCTCGGAGGCGCGACGGCGAACTTCCGCCGCCCCCTGCACAAATTGCTGACCAACAGCTTGGAAAGCGTCCTCAACGAGAGGGAGACCGTTCAGACTGCAGCGCTCAGGCAGGACCTGTCGGAGGTGTCTTGTCTGCGAGTCCTCGACGTGCAAAGTTCGGCGTCGCGATTTCCGCAGGGGGGCACGTCGTGGCCGCCACGATGGAGCAGGTGAGTCGTGCATGGTCCACGAAGAACAGCAACGAACGTTGACTGGTCAGCCTGTCAGAATTCGAAGTCTGTGAAGCGGGGCGCGCGATTTGGCGTTCATCTGCGCGGCGATTCCCCGCCTCACGCAGCCCAGAGGAGTGGGAGGCAAAGCGCGGCAGGAGGGACGTGGACCGTCAGGGGGAAGCGGCGCTGATATGGACTCCTTCCTAGCACAAGTATCTCGGGTCAAGGCTATGTTAGCGAATTTGCGTCAAAGGCACGTCAGCAGCGCCCCCTTCCTGGTTGCTCAGGCATGGGGAGCGTGAATCGTGCAGCGGCCTTCGGGGTCGTTCGAGCGACGCGAGGGCAATCACCGCTGCTCGCAGGCAGCGATCGTTGAACGATCTGCACGAGAAGACCCGGGTGGCCACGCGTGCCGGCGAGATTGCGAGCCTCAGGGAACAAATGCAGGACGAAATGGTCCAGGTTTCGCGCGCGGCGGATATCGTGCAGCGCGATCTCAAAGCGCTCGACGAGGCTGCACAGGTAATGTGTCACATCCCGGACCTCTGCCTCCTCGACCGGGCAGTTCCTTGTGTGCATTTGCACGTCTTCTGCACGTACTTCTCCTTCGCGCCCCCGCGCGGACGATCGAAACTGGACGCTTCTTCTCTGCACTGCCTGCGTAGTCGGCGGATGACGCTCCGATGTCGGCCGGACAGCGCACCAGGGCGTCTTTGATTGCCGCTTTGTCGAGGAAGTTGAAAGAGATCTACGGAGAGTTCAGCTCACTACGGACGCGTGTTCGCGAGGAGCATAAGGAGGTTATTGAGCGACAACTGTACACGGTCACCGGTGCGTCAGCCGCGTTGTGTCACTGAGTCGCACAATGCCCATTCTTTCCAGGGCTCTCCGCCGCCTTCACGTGCCACAAGTGTGCCGTTTTGCCACAGGTGAGCGGCCTGTCGACAAGCAGATCGAGCAGCTGATCGAGTCCGGCGAAGCGGAGCAGGTGTTCGAGAAGGCTATTTTGCAACAGGGCAAGGGGCACATATTGGACACGCTCTCAGAGGTCCAGGAACGTCACGCGGCGATTCTAAGCCTGGAGCGGTCACTCGGGGACCTGCAACAGGCGTTTGTGGACATGGCAGTGCTGGTGGAAGCGCAGGGAGAGCTGGTTGACAACATTGCAAACCACATCAAGCAAACAGTCAACTACGTGCACAAGGGTACCCAGTCGCTACAGGCCGCGCGGCGGCTTCAGCTTAACACGCGTAAGTGGATGTGCATCGGCATCTGCATTGTTCTGGTCATAGCAGTCGTCATCATCGTTGGTGCGGTGCAGCCTTGGCAGTGAGCATTGGCGGGGTCGCAGTGCCCTGAAAGAAGCGGTGCAAGGATGTGTCGCACGAGGCTGTGATCATGCGCCAGATGCACGGTGGCATGCACGATATCATCTGCACTCCCGGCTAGCTGCATCAACAACAGCTCCGAATGACCCACAGACAAAGACACACCGCTTCGCTGTAGCGGCGCTCTCCTTAGCCGCACGCGTTGTTGCTGGCCCTCGTCGAGCTCTTTTCGTGTCGCGAGGCGGCTGCCCGCGGGCCAGCATCACGTCTGCTGCAGAGCTTGAGGAGCAAAGCAGATGACCTCTCCCGCGCTTCGAAACATTGGGCTCGATTCCGTAGCTGCGCCGTTCAAGAGAAAATGTATGGTGTCTACATCAATCGACCTCCGCTTCGGGATCCTGGCGAGACAAGTCATCCGGTTCGTCGTCAGAGCTCGCAATCAGTTCTCACGATGAAACGCTGTGACCGTGTCTCATCAGTTGGCACCACTGCCAAGAGCCCGCCGCGGCTGAATCGGGCAGGAACCTGCAGGGTGCGGATCAAGTTTTTCACACCGAGGGTGGCTGTCTGAGGAGCGTCCCCACAGCAGCGCCCGTGTTGTCATGCAGAGCAGCGCGTTTACGACGCGGCGTACACGCGTCGCGCAGGGAGCTGCACGATCTGGATGGTCCGTTTCATGCGTCGCACGGCCGCATCCTCGCCCGTTGTGACAAACGATGACGACGGCAAAGAAGAGAAGGAGGGCACCACCGACGGCCAAGTCGAGGGGTCGTCAAGGCGGCCCCACTGTTCCACGCAGTCGAGGTCGTGCTGCTCCGAGATGAAGTGTACGAAGACCTCTGCCGTCTGCAATCAGAGGGAGGGCGCACAAGGTGTGGTGCAAGCGCGAGCGGGGGCACTTTCGGGACCGCACTCGCGCTGCACAAGAGGGCATCGGCGCAGCGCAATGACTGGAACGCAAATGATGTGTTGCGAGTCATCGAAGTTGGGGTCGTGCCTGCAGCTCTGGAAACAGAGCTAGAAGCATGCGGTCTGCATACCGGATGGCGTCCAGGACGAGACTCATCTCTCGACGGAAGATGTAATCCCGTAGCCTTGCCGGTGCGATCCATCGCGCTTCTCCAGAAATGTGGCACAGCAGGTGCAGCGTCGGCTGCCCTCGCGCTCCAATACGCCACTCTCCTAGCACCTCATCCCGCAACAGTCGCGTGTACCATCCCGAAATCTGCCGCCCATTGAATTGCGACCCGACCGACAGCAGCAGATGACCCGTCAGGTCGTTGTGCGTCAGCGTGTAGCACCTGAATGCGGCAGCAGTCGAAGGGACTCGAACTGTCAGCACCTTTTGGGCGTCTCGCGGATTTCCGGCGCTACCAGTGTGCGCGGAGCGGCAGACGCCCGAGCATGCGGCCGACGTGATCGCTGCAGTGATCGCCGCTGAGTCCCGGCAGAGGCTCAGCGTTGTGGCAGATGCTCATGTGGCCTGGGCCTCTCGCACCTTCCCGAATACGGCGCTCGTCGCGGAACCGTTTGTAAAGGATCTCGCAGTGGCTGTGATCCATACCATGCTGTGCAAGGGAGGAATCGCGCTTCGAGTTTTTCAGGCCGGAACTTGGGCGGATCAAAGGGCAACCTGGCAACCTGCAGCGTCATGTGCCGCGCGGCGAAGCTAGCAGGTAAGTCGACAGGGAACGAAATTGCCCGGCCAACGATTGCAAGAAGCATCTCTTGCGGGAGCGGGTCGAGCGGGCGCACGCGTACGCGGAGAAGCTGGGTGGTCGATGAGTGCAGCGGTGCAGGCGTTGCTTGCGTCGCACCGTCGCTGATCGCCGTCCTCGATGCACTGCAGTCTTCGCCCCAGGTTCCGCGTGAGCCCTGCGGGACCGCCCTACGCGCGCGCAGTGCGACCAATCGCCACCGGATCTTGGACTGGCCACCCGTCGAGCGCTCCCTCCGGGGAACGGGGCTCGGCCACAAACTGCTCGCCCGCCGTGCCCAAGGCCGGACAGGGCACATGAGCGATGCATGTCCAATACGCTACGCTAAACCATGCAGGCAGCACGCGGTGTGCGAGGCGCTGCGCAGGATTGCTGAGATCCGCCGGCGGTCTTCCGTCGCGACGGCGTCCGCGGGGCCGAGGTTCAGCGTTCTCCTTGTGGCCTCGGGCGTCGCCAGGGGCAGCTTTGGCGCCGCCGCAGTTGTGCGGCGGCCACGATGGACGCAGTGTCCAGGGTTTTGCTGATGTGCCCGGGTTGTGGCCGGGAGCGAGAAGCAAGGCAGCTGCACGGATGCCAGGCGTCGAGGGGCATCAAACGCACTGCACGCAGGCCTGGCAGTGCCAGGGATTCTAGCAGTCGGACCTGCTGTGGCTCAGGTCGGGCACGAACGACGTCGCCGGCGGGGACTCCGCCTGCCGCATGAAGGTTGCGCGAAACCGTCGTCTCGTCCCTCTTTCGCGAACGCAGCTGCGAACCGCACGCCATGGTGCTGAAGACGCAGCTCTGCCGCTTCAGCGGCTTGCGCATTTACCCGGGTCGTGGGACCATCTTCGTGCGGACGGATGGCCAGGTGCCGACGACATTGCCGAACGAGCAAACTTACGCACGGAGCACGCGCCGCAGCGCGTCCCTCACCCTCGCGGGTGCCGGCTGCTGTGCAGGTCTACACCTTCCTGAGCAAGAAGTGCAAGCGGCTGCACAACCAGAAGAAGAGGCCCGCGAAAATCGCATGGACCGTCGCGTATCGGAGGGCGCACAAGAAGGACCAGACGAACGCGGTCACGCGCCGCAAGCGCAGGGGCACCGGCAAGGCTGCTCACCGCGCCATCGTCGGAGCGTCGATCGAGGTCCTTCGGGCCAAGCGGAACGAGAAGTCGGAGGACAGGAAGGCTGCTCGTGACAAGGCCATCCAGGAAATCAAGCAGCGGAAGGCGAAGGGCGGAAAGAAGTGATGCAGCCATGGAAGGACCTGCCTGGTGACGCTTGCCAGGCCTGCTAGTCACCGCAGTATCTGCAAAGACCATATGCGCAACGGCGCAGGCGATGATTACGGGTCCACGCGACAAGCGCATGTGAGGCGGTTGCAACTGGGTCCTTCTCCGTGCCTTCGTCACCTCAGTGGAGACGACAGCTCTGACCGCAGGCGTAGCCGTGAGCTTCGATCATGCAGTTTGATGTCGCCTATGGCAACGGCGCGAAGAGAGTGAATCTGGCGCGCCTCCACACACTGCTTGATTGATGCTGCTCAATGCGTGCCATGCAAGCACAAGGTCGCCCTGACGACATCGGAGCGTGGCGGGGAGCGCGGGTGACTGCTCGCACGCCGGGGGGCTCGTCACTCAGGCCTTGTCCAAGCTGGTCGCGCAGATGTCGGGCCAGCGACCTACTTCACCGCTTCATGTGCGGACAGTCCACCGTTGTGGCTGCTGCTCAGCCATCACCTCTCCTCGGCGGTGCTCTGGAGAATGCGCCTGTTGGCCAGTCGTCTTTTCGCTGACAGATCCCCCCTGCCCTGAACGTTGTTGGCGCAACTCAACCACTCGCGACTCTCATCGGCGCGGTCACCTTGCCGGCCCGAAGACTGCACTGGTGTCTGGAGATGTTGCACTGCGTAAGTGTCTCGTGATCGGACCCCGCCGCCGATTTTGCTATTTTGCATTGAATGAAGGAATGCCGCTGTGCGCTGCTTGCCCAATCTAGGGTAGGCAGGCTTGCAAACCAGCGAGGCACGCCCCGCCTTGCCTGGGTGACCGAGAAACCACCGCAAGGAGATGCTGTCACAATCGCCTAGCGTGTCAATTCTGCAACGGCGGGTGGTCTACGGACGCGAGTTACATCTTGTCGGGTCTTCACGGTTCATTGCGTGCAATGGGAAACATGTGACACCTCGGCTGGCATCGCGTCGTTCATGCACGACACGACGAATGTCGAGGCCAGGGTGAGGGTGAGGGCAAGTGCTTCACCTGAGTGGCCTGGTGAAAATCAATCGCAGCATCGCGGCTGCGTCCGGCATGCTGGACGCCGCCATGCAACAGGCCCGGCACTCGTATGCGCTCTCAGGCAGCGCACCTCGGCATCCCGCCGGTGAGCAGCAACAGGCTCGACACCTGCCCTACCACACGGGAGGATCATCCTCCCGAGCATGATGCTCGGGTGCCGCGACTTGGCCGTCATCTGGCCGATGACCGCATTGTGGCGCAACAGCGCACGGCCAGGCCGCAGTGCGAAAGCCAATGACTGACATCCGCACAGAGCATAGGGAGTTCCTGGAATGACGTGCGCTTCTTCTTCGTGATGGCCCGCGTGTTCAGGTTCGTCGAGCAAGACGCGATGATGGGTCCGAGAACCTCTGAGGCCGCACACTGCCGTCATCCCGTTGCGACGCAATCGTCGGCGGACTGCACCAGCTGCGGCGCGGGTCAGACGAGCCGGCATGCAGCTACGCTGCACTGCGAAAGGGTACTGCTTCCTCACAGCAGATGGACAAAAAGGCGACAAACCAAACTGGCCGACCACGAGGGCGGAGAGCAAGTGCATCGACCCCTGTCATCATGCTGCCCCGGCGGCAGCGAGGAACTTGTTCTTGGCCGCGGACAGCCTGGCCTTCCTCCGCGCTGCCGTGCTCTTGTGCAGCGCGCCCTTCACAACAGCCTTGTCGATCTCAGAGAAGGCTTCGGAGATGAGCACCTCCACATCCTTGATGTCTGCCTCGGTCTTCGCGCTCTCTTTGCTGCTTTCAAGCGCAGTGAATACCTGCGGTCTCGACGTGCACAGGAACGCGCGTCGACAAGGGCTGCTCGCGTGTGCCAGGCGCCAGCGGCGACGGAGGCCTATGGCCAGGAGAAAGTGCTGGTCGCCACTGCGCCTGCCGACGTCAACCGCCACGCCGCGGCATGTCCCGGTGCATCGATCGCCACAGACTCTACGCCGTTGCCCTCAAGGGTGGACACCGCATTGCCAGCCGCAGCAGGTGTCAGTGCCTCACCTTCTTCATCCTCGTAGCGATGGCGGACTTGCGCGCCTTGTTCCTTGCGCGATTCCGCAGGGACACGCGATAAGTCTTCTCAACGGAGGCCTTCCCGGTGGCCTCCACGATCACCGCGCAGCGACGTGCGCAAGTGCTCATGACGGACGGTCGTGGGGCTGCAACGGCGCAGACGGGCGGCAACGGGACTGATGTGAGGCGAAGGGTGGAATATGTACAGGGCGGTGGGCGACTGCAGCACTCCGCCGGCACGGGGGCGCGTGCAGGCTCGAACGGATGAGGTGCGGCTGGCGCCGATGCATCGCATGAGGCATGCGGGCCACCATGCATTCACCTGCGATGGCAGTACCGCGAACATTCGACCGACTGGACAGCGACAGCCGGCTGAAGGAAGCGGTCAGGGCCGACATGCTCGCTCCTGTGCACCCTGTGGACGTGAGGCTCGAGGCAAGCACGACTCTACAGCGCTCGAGGCAGACAGGTCTAGAGGTCGCCGCGTACGGTCCAATGAGCTGTGTCGCCAGGCCGGACCCCGGGTCACCCGGTCGGACCGTGTTGAACACTGACAGTGTTGGGGTCCCCAAGACAGAGACTGTCTCTGACTAGTAGTCACTACGCCGTAGCACGGCAAGTCAACGTAGGCCGCCTTAGGCGGGCCGTGCTCTTAGATGCCGGTCATGTCCGCTTCGTGGTGGCGATCGAGCACGGATACCCTCGTGCCGACACGATGCTTGCCGAGTGCGGATTGCTTTTGCGCTGTGGGCATTTTACGTGTGACACCACGGCGCCGCGCACATTCGTGCTGGAGAAGCGGCGGGCTCGGAGGCGACGCCAAGCCGATGCAGGGGCAGTGCCGGGCCCTGGCCGCGGTCCTGTCTCAGCACCTCCTCCTCCTATGAGGTCGCCAGCGGGGGGCGAACGGCCTGGATACTTTCCGGTATGCAATCGTGCACGTATTGAAGGGCGTTCCACGTCCATTTGACATGCTCTCGTGCAGCGCACCCTTCACGACAGCCTTGTCGATCTCAGAGAAGGCCTCAGGTGTCTCTGTGCTGTGCCACAGAGACAGCTGCACGGTGCAGCCTCTGTTGGCTCCGCGCGGTGGTTGCTGGCAGAGGACAGGTTGTGCAGAATATCATCTTCGAGGAAGGGATGCAGGGCCGCCCACGCGTCGAGTACGAGGCCGTGCAGGAGAGATATTCGCAGCGTGATGTTCTCTTTGGACGTCCTCGTAATCAGCGCGCCGGCTGTCCCAAAGCCCTTCTCTAAGATCATATTGTGCATGATACCTCACCTCCAGCAACCAGCGACTCCCGCGCGGCCAGAGAGGCTGCACGGCGGAGCCACCTGAGATGGACGTGAAACTCACGATGCCGGAGTCGCCGCAGGGTGTGCTGGCATACAGGGAACAGATGCCATCGTGGGGATGGCACCGTGGCCCGCGCTTGCCACAAGGAGCGGGACTGCACATCGGTTTGAAGCTCGGCTGCCAGGTGTGCGCCCACAGCTAGACGACTGTCCCGGCGTGCTTGTCTCGTCCCACCTTGACTTGGTTTGCGATCGTGGAGGGGTGGAGCAGCTGCGTATCGCATGGAGTGCGATCGCGCGGCCTACGAGCGGCGCAGCTGGAACGAAGATGTGCAAAGTAGTAATTGAAAAAAAAAAAAAAAAACGAAATGTGGGTGTGCTATCGTCCCGATCAAGACGTGCCAGGAGCACTCGCGCGAAATACCATGTGGGCATGTCATCATGTGCCAAGGGTAGGGAAGGCTCTGACCTGCGAACAGTAAGAGTGAGCGGCGTGCGTCGCCGGTGTTCAGCCAGCGGTCACGGAACTGGCAGAGGAACGCAAGCTCATGCCTGAACACGTCGCAGTTCGCGAGGTGGGGAGAGCATGAGAGCCCCATGGGCACACCGCAGCTAAGGTATTGAACATGCAATGACAAACGTGTCAAACCGGAGGTCACCATAACCAAGAAAAGGGTGGCCGAGAGCAACGACGCGGTGGAGTACCCGCACGCTGGATGAGCAAGCTGCAGCAACAAGTGTCGGGGTGCCAATCACCTGCGCACGCAGCTTGAATGAAGTCTTCGATGAGTGACGAGCCCCGCGGGCGTGCGGGTACTCGCCGGCAAGCCCCACCACGCGTCCCGATGTCGTCGGCCGGCGACCCTGCCCGGGCAAGACAGACGCATGACATCACGCATGTCAGGTGACAGCCCCTCACGTCACCCGCTACTCGGGCCGCTCCTGGAAGCACACGTTGGGCAGCGGGTCCGCGTGATGGTTGGCAGGGGGTGGGGGTGCATCGCCCAGGAAGCTCGTGCGTGGACCTTGAACACACCGATGATGTTGTCATGGGACTCCAGGGCCGCGGAACACCCGCACGGCCGCAGGATGGGGGAGGGAGGGGAGGGGGGTTTCGGTGTGGGGCGGGCGGGTGAGGGGGGGGTTGTCGAGTCAGGCAGGGGGGGGTATTAACCGTAATCGTTTACGGCGAGATCGCTGAAAGCCACGCTGCCAGCGCCGGGGCGTGGTGCGACGGCGCGTGCCGGGTGCTGTCGACGGGATACGCGTGGTTGGCGGGCGCGTGGGCCGCGTCAAGGCGCGCAACTTCGCGGACAACGAGGTCGTGAACGCCTTCTTGTGCGACCCCTCGTAGGCTGACTGACTCGGTGTCGTCGCCAGTGGCGGCCGAGGTGTCTTCGCAGTAGTTCGGCCTCGGTGTAGCGCGGGACCCACCTCGCGTGGTCCGGTCCAGCGTGCAAGCGACCAAGCGGTTCAGAATCGCGGGATGCCGGTGGTGGCGAGGGCAGCGACCGTGTGGCCCATTGGGAGTAGTCAATCTGCCCCTTATTCGGAGGTGTACCCCATGGGGATGAATTTGATTTTTGTGACGCTCACACCCCAGTCCGATGACTTTTGTGAGCTATAGTTGCTAAGGTGGGCAAAGAAGCTGCATCCAGGGTGCACAAAATGTTGGTTTGGCAGTACGGGAGGCCCTCGCCGCAAGGATAAATTTCCTGCATAGCGCCATGCTCCAAGATCTCCTTTCCAACAGTGGTCAGACGTTCCACGTCGAAGCAGGCATATCCTGCGGACAAAAACATGTCGAAGGTTTCGACGTAGCCGTCGTTCCACCCCAGATCGTCCGTGTAGTATGTAAACTCAAAAAGCGAGTGCACCACTTTCTGGCCCTTGATGAGTCTCGTCGCTGCGCGGTAGACCTCCGGTTCGTGCCCCTCCACGTCGACCTTGAGGTAGAACGCTCCATCCACAGCGTCCTCCAAGCGAATCGACGGCACGTATCCGTCGGCGTTTGTCGCGAAATTGTTGGCCACTGCGGTGTTTGTTATCTCCCACCCGTTGAAGGACATGTTTCCTGACTGAGTTGAGATGACGGCGTTGGTGACTTCGATCTGCTTCTCCATCCCTGGATTCATTGCGATCGAGGCCCGCAAGAAGACGAGTACCTGTGCAGCCCCGTCGAATGCCGTGGCGCGGCACCCGTACGAGGCTGCCATGAGGGAGAAGTATCCCGTGTTGCTGCCCACGTCCACCACCAGGTCTCCCGGCGAGCAAGCTGCGAATATCTCCTGGACCAATTCGCACTCCGCGCGAGGGCTGTCCCACAGCCCCTTCTCGAAAATAAAATCTTGGACGACCTGTCCTTTGTCAGCAATCACCGCGCGGCCCGAGTCTCGGGGCCCGGCGGGCCCGGGGCGGCCCCGGGGTCCCCGGGGCTCGGCGAGAGACTGCGCAGCGGCACAGCCATCCAGAATGGGCGCGGAACGCCCTCCGAGATATGCACGATCGCATACCGGAAAGTGTCCTTGCCGTTCGCCTCGCTGGCTCCCTCGAGGGAACCCAAGGCTTGCGAGAAGGCCTCCAGGGAAGGGCCGCGGCCGTGGCCCGGCGCAGCTTCTGCGTTGGCGACGTGCGTCGCTTTTGCGCTCGCCACTCCAGCAGAAGAGTGCGCGCCGCCGTTGTAAAAGAAGTAGATCGCGCAGAGTGCGACGACCGCGAAAGCGATCCACATTGTGCGCTCTCGCCGCAGGGTCACCTTGCGCCCTGCAAGCGTTAACGGCGCGACAGTGTATGTGCTCAGTCGTAAACAAGTGCACTGCCCGGGGGGCAATGACATCAAGTCGCGCTGTCCGCTGTGCAGGGTGGGCCAGGCCGCCCTGTAGCACTGCTGGTGGCGCTTCAAATGCTGCATCAAGCATGCTAACTTCGACTTTTAACTTTGCATGATGCAGCCAAAAGCATTTCGCCGTCGGGTTGCTGCGCTATCAGCGTTGATACCGCAACATGATAGGTCGGAGTGCAGTGCAGCATCAGGGCATCGCCGTGAGCTGAGCGATCGGTTGAAAATGACCCTCCGTGGACGCCGATCTGCTTCTTATGCGCGGTGTGCATGCGTCGATATTGTTGTCGCAATCGCTAATGCCACTTCGGCGACTGTTTGGGCTGCCACAGGGCAGGGCAAAGGGTGCGCGGATGCTCACCCCTGATCATCGTGCCCACGGAGAAAGGAAGCCTGCCTGCACCTGCATGAAGTATTCTTATGACCGCTGTCGCAGGCCGGTGAGCGCAGGGTTCCGAGGAGGAGGGTCCGTTCGTTGCCAACGGTTGGCAAGCAACTCAGTTTCCGTGCGCGTACACTGCACGTGCGAGACTAGCAGAGAGTAGCCACGAAGATAAAGCGGCGACTGCCGCTCTTCTGTAGGCCACGCGCCGTTGAGAGGAGCGGTAGGCTCTGCTCTGCTCAGAGCTGAGCGCATACGAGCCTGCTCCCCGCGCTTTGCGCTCGAAACAGGCGCCGACTGCGCAGAGGTCGCTGCAAAGTTTTCTCTCCACCGATTACGGCAATGCAAGCGCCATTCTACCAGGATCTACTGGACGCCATCCCCTAGATTGTGAGAGCATCCCTGACCAACCGAGGGGACTGTGCTATGGCATCGTCAGTGAAGGATTTTACTGTGACACGTCCAGCACAGCGATCGTCCTCCGCGCCTCGGCCGTGTCACTGGTGGGTGTTTGTCGCGTGTTTGGTGCAATGTGCGCGTAATTTTTCGCGGGGTTCCTCCCCTGTCGGCCAGGTCTCACCCCCGCGCGTGCCGACAAGTCGCGGAAAAGCCGTGACTGCGCGACAAGTACGCGTAAATGCGGACATAAAAACATGTGCACGCACTGTTCCTTTCATCGAGGTGCCGACGTCGCCGGCGCCACCAGATGCCCGTCTGGCCCGGCTCAGGCGCCCTTCCCACCCTGCCCGGTGATTATGAGCGTGCGGGAAGATGCGTCGCGTCACCAGACACGCCGTACGGGGCTCCTGGCCCCGCAGCTTGTGCACGCCGCCACCGCTTACGAGGTGCACTACGCGCCCGATTTCACCTTCCGTAGTCTGGCCCGCCCGACGGGTGTTCCACCTATTCGACGCGATTTCCGGAATGATGGAGTCTAGAAACGTGAGGGCCGCGCGAAACCTTAGTACCCCTTGCCCCTGCGCACGCGCTGGCCCGCCCCCGCCGAGACTGTCCGCACTCGCTGCCCGCGCGCACCGTGCTCGCGCGGAATGTCGCGCCAATATTCATACCGCCCTTATGTCGTCGCAGGGAGGATTCAGGACCGCACATCGGAGCCACCGCGGCCCCCGACATTCCCTGGCCTGGCTGCAGTGAGGATGCGTTGTACACGCCCGCCGGTCGGGTGCCGCGCGCATGTTATCAGCGCGATCGCATCCATCACATCATATCATTCGGTCGGTGTCACAAATTCAACGCGGACGCGCATGATCGTGCTGCAGTGGCGGCCGGACCTATTCTGCTGGCAGCAAAGTCGCGATCCGCGACGTGCACGGGGCACGCACTGCGAACACAACGTCGCGACATTCAAGCCTCTAAGCGGAACTGTGCGATCGTGTGCGTCACTCCGGCAATCGTAGACCCACCGGCTCACGTTCGGCGCTAGAAAGCTACTTTGTAGGGGTAGAATCCTTCACTGACTGCGGGGTGGGGTGTGACGGCCAGAACGCCCTACTGTGCCTCGGTGCGGGGGGGGGGGCATCAGAAGTTCCGCTACCACCCCCACCCCCATTTTTGCGGTGCATGCATGCATCGGTGGTCGAGCCATGGATCCCCGCAGACATCGTTACTGTTACTGTCGCATGTTGCGGTGCACGAATCGCACTTTCCGGGCCACAGGAGACCCCACATCGTGCGCGAAGGCCATCTCCGGCCCCACACCTCCCGGAGTGCCGCCGATGGAGTGGTTGGCAAGCCTCAGTGGGTTGCTGCAGACAACTCTGTTGAACCGCGTTGGCGTGCCGACATGGCAAGGGCTGACAGCCTGGGATCGGGCGGCCCCTGGCGTGTCTTGCCCGCGTATCGAGTTCCGCGAACCGGTTGCTGGGCGGTGAAACGGCCCTTCGCGAGTTGAAACGGCCTCGCCACCCGCTCTCCATGCCGTCAGGTGCGCCAGCGCCGTGACGGCACGACAACAACGCCGCCGCGGCTGCGCTCCGCGCCCGGTCAGGCGGGGCCCCGGCAAGCACCTGCTTCCCGGCCGAGGGCCCCAGGGGGGGAACCGGCCCGAGCCCCCCCACCCACGTCGGCACCCCCGTTTGCCGACGTTGCATGCGAAGACAACGATCCGCACCACGCGCGCCCCCCCGCGCCTCTGGAGCAGCACCGACCGTCACCCAGTGGCGGGGACCCGGCGATCGCTGTCGCCCGGCAGGTGCTCTTGGTGTCTGTCTCGGCGCCGCACGGTTTAGAGCAAGGCCGTCGCGTGCAGTCGTAGGCATTTTTCGGGCACCACCCACGTCCGACGGAGCTCCGAGGCGCCGTCAGGCGCCCGCGGCACGCGGCACATGCGCCGTCTTTCGCAGCGACGCGGCACTCAAGGGCGTCCCCCGCCCTCCACATGCTGTCCATGCCCTGTACCCATGCGGTGGACGCGCCCCCCGCCCGACCAACCCTGTCTGTCTCGCGTGCACGCACCGCGCCCGTGGGCCGTCTGGGCCTTCCCGGGCCCCGGGCGCCGACGATAACGATGATAAACCCAATAGCAGGTCGGGTCAGGGACGTGCCACCCCCGCTCCCTCGCATCGCGCCGCCCCGTTTGCGCGACTCTCGCTTTGGCGCCCGTGCGCCCTCGAGCCTCCGGCCGCGTGCTTGGAGACCTGGGCGCTACCGTGCGCTTTCATCCCCACGTTGGCATCGGGCTTTTGATGATAACCCCCCCAGTCGCACTGTCGCTGCTGCCTGGTCTTCCGGTCACACGGATGCGGGTAGTGGTCGCAGGAGTGGCGCCTCCGCGGAGTGGTTGCGGACTGTGAACTGACTGACTGACTGACTGACTGACTGACTGAGTTGTTGTGTGATGGAGTTGTAACTACAGAGCTCCCGAGCGAGGCTGATGGCCCGGTCCGCGCTCCCGCAGCCCGCATGCCCGCGGCCGGTCGGCATGTTGAGGTCAAAGCTACGCTGCTGAGATCCTTTCATGTCCCCCTTTGGCCTCTAGAAGCGGCACACGCCTCAAAGGCACTGCTGGTGGGGCGATGCGGGGTGTGGTGGTGCGCGGAGGCGTCCCGAACCCACTGGCAGTGCGTGGGTGCGGTGGGGGGTGGTCGCAACGAGGGGCCCGCCCCACCCACCCCCCCATGCATTAGTACCCGACGTTGGTCAGGGATGCTCTCTTGTGCACATGCAAATGTGCACATGCATGCAACAATCATGGCGCGGCGGTTCCGCGAATCTTCCAACTGCGGTTCTCGTACACGTCGCGAAGGGCACGGTAATCGGAGTTACACGTTCGCTAGGGCGGAATATATGCTGTGGTAGGAGCTGTGCTGTCGACGCAATGCTTGAAGCCGCATGATGCTGTATGCGTTTCGCCGAGCATTGCGAGGTGTGTGATCCTCTGTTTTTTTTCGTTTCAGGCAAACACAGAAAGGGAACACATTTACACTGCTCGGCTTGTAGCACGCCTCCATGTGGCATCCAGCAGGTCACCATCAGTGCCAAAAGGGGACGACGTCAACAGCGGCGTATAATCCAGATCCAGACATCACCCTTGCAGCACGCCCCGCGGCGTCACTGCCCACCTCATCATCTATAACCCGCCCATCACGACGCGCGGACGCCGCATGTACGATGCTCAGTGGCGCCACGCCTGAGTCACGCATGCGAGGCGTGCATCATGCGAAAAAAAAACAAAAGGGAATGCCGAGTATTGGGGTTGCGACCACCCTCCGAGGGGTATGCGAATGAGGCCGTCGTGTATCTGTGAGCGTTGGCCCGTAGACGACGATGGCTGATCCCGGGAAAACCCCAGTTGGAAAAGCCCCGGGGCCGGCCACTCCTTCGGCGACACTCCGGGAGGCTTAGAGCAGCTGAAGCCGGCTCGGCTGCAATCCCACGCCGCGCAAGTTCAGTTGGTGCAGCACAGGCATGGCAACAAGTGCCCGGCGGCGTCGCGTTTCTGATGCACGCGGGACAGAGTGCTCCTCCCGGTGAGGCCCGGGGCGGTGCGAAAAGTCCCAGGAGCTGCCGTTGAATGGCAGCGAGACAACCCAAAGTACAACAAGTCTCGCGCGAGACCAGTTTTGGCCCAGCGAGACCAACTGGATTTCCGAGACCAAATGGTCTCGCCAACATCTACGCCTACACCGACGCGTAGTTGGGCACTTTGGCCGTCAGACCCCGGGGCACACCCCCCCTCGGTCAGAGACTCTCCGTGACGGTCTGAGACCGTCTCTCGCGTGCGGTTGCAAGTTTATTGGTCCGTGCGACCGGCGCCTCATGGCAGTCAAATGGGGGGAGGCTGCAGTGCTTGAGGAGTTCAAACATTGCGTGTTCGAGCGATTTTGAGGTAGGGCAAGCACCCCTGGTGAGTTGCCGTCCATCGCTCCGACTGTGCGCCCTGCACGCACACGATCCCTGTTCCGGCTTCTCCTGGCATCGATCGATTTCTTGCGTGACTGAGTGAAAGCATCCGTGCCTGGTTGAGCGGCGCTGCAGCCTCGTTCCGCAACCACTGATTGCCGCGGGCGAGCGTCCACCTGGACGCCCCTGCCGGATGTTTCCGACAGTGCGCTAAGTTCTTTTTCTGCAGAATTCCTCGCGGGACGAGCGCGACGAGCCAGGGCATCCCTGGGGGGCCCGAGTGCGAGTCGCTCGGGGGCACTCGCGGAGCCAGCCAGCCTGTCAACGAGGCTGCGCCGGCCTCACTCGCAACGATGCACGCGCGCGCTGCGCTTAAGCGCGGCGCCGGCACGACTTTGGCGCGGTGGGGCACTTTCTTCCTGCTGTTTCTGGTGGGTCTCCTGCTTGGGCAACGGCAGGGCGCCGGCCAATCGGGGCGTGCGCACGTGGCGCCTGACTCCCTCTCACGAACAACCGACAGCTCTTCGGCTGCTCGCCAGAATCATCACTGCACACGCGACGTGGCCCATGGGTACTACTTCGACAGCTTTTGGCCGTTCCCGCCCTTCTGGCTGGCCATGGAGACCGAACCCGGGACGTGCAACAAGTACAGTTACCAAGGGCCCGAAACATGCGAGAGGATGGCGCACGGGCTCGACTTTGAGCCGGAGTGGCACGTGCGTACCCCATGAGCTGCCAGTTTGCGGCAAGCGCGAGAGATGCGCGGTGGGGTAACACCGTGCGTGGTACGCAAGGCATGCGTACAAGCTGTTTCGGCCCGACCTTTCTCGCGCCGCGCGTCCGAGCGCAGGTCCGGGAGGTGCTTGCCAGCATGCTCCTTCAGTGCAGCTCTCCGCTTGACTTGACTTGACTTGTTACATCCCGAAGAACGGGTCGCACCGCCAAGGCAGGTTCTACCCCACCCTATAACGGCACTAGTTTATAGAAACGCCACGGGACCAGGTGCCCATTTTCCTGCCGATGGCACAAAGGGAAGTGGCAGACAGCCCGCGCGGGGGCGCGGCGGGCGCAGCGAGGGCCGCTGCGGGGAAACGTGGGGGCGGGCGTACCGATGGCCGACACGCGAGCAGCGTTTACGTTTGCAGGCACTTGACAGCCTGGTGCTAGAGCTCCGCAGTACGCGCGACCTCGGCGCCGAAGCGACCAGATGCGCGCGCACCGCCGGGCTCTGAGCATGGTTCGGCCACGGGTACACCGCACCGCATTAGCACGCGTGACAGGGCAGTGTGAGGGCATGACATTCATTCTCTGTCACCAGTCGAAGCGGGGGGGCACGGGTCGCTGGAAATACCGCTCGGATCTGGTCGACAGCATGGACATGCACTTCGGCCGGCAGCTACGCTGCGCAGAGCCGAGCGCGCCCCGCAGGCGCCGCGCGTGCAGCTTCATCTCGCGGCTGCGACTCCGGGCCCGCGAGGGCGCGCGGAGGAAGACTTGAGTCGACATTCCGGGGCTCAGCGTGAGCCGCGGCGCGACAGGATGCCGGGCTCCGCGTGGGAGCGCGCCGGCGCTCGCAGCTCCGTGATCTCCGTGTCTTCGTGGCGCTCGCGAGCGCGCCTGCGGCCATCTCCGACTTGAGGGCGTTCGCGAGCACGCCGGGCCGCATCCGGTGTCCACGGGTTGAGGTCGAGCGCCTGTTCAATCTTCGCGCCACGCAGAAGGCCGAGGTGCGAGTGTTGACGATGTCGATGACCGCGCGAAGTCCAGCCACTGTTGCCCTCCAGGCAGACGACGACGCAAGTTTCAAGGACAGCCGAGTGCGGCCAGGCCCAGGCGGGGGTGCGCGGCCCCTCGGTCCGCCTGGGCCGGCCAGCAGCGAGCCGGGGGGTGTCACCAAGTGTCCCCCCAGGGGCTCTCTCGCATAGTCCACGCCCGCCGGCTGCACCTGGGCCCACGCGCGGTAGCAGGGACCAGTCTGCTGCACGACACGCGGCGGTACGCTCGTGCTGGCGCGCGGGGCCCAGGTGTCGCCCGTGCACGACGACCAGTGCACGGGGGCGCCGGCTGCTGGGGCTGTCCTCTCGGCACCGGCCATCCCCCGGTGCCCTCGCGTCGCCGTGTGCACAGGAGTGCTGTCGTGTGGGATCTCCGGGACGGCCGAGCACCCTCGTGGCCATCCAGCCACGCGGCGGGCCGGTTGCAGTCCTGCGGCCTCTGTCGCAGCGGTGTCGGGGCTCGTAGCCCGCGATTGACAGACATGGTGGGCGGGGATGGGTTCAGTCAAGCAGGCACAGGGCGCGGGTGCGCGGTGATTCGATGCTGGTCGCGACGCCAGCCCAGACGTGCCGGAGGAGGCGCGCCCAGCCATTGCGGCCGGTGCGTCGCCGCAGGGGGGGACTGGGGGGGGACGTGGGTAGCCAGCCAGCAGGTACGGTCGTGGAGGTCCCGAATCACTCGTCCGCGCCGGGGGTTGGGTCGAGGAGGTCCGCGCCGGGGTGGAACGCTGCAGCCATCTTGTTGAGCCGGTAGAGGACACGGTGAAAGACGGGTCCGCCGTCGAGGAACAGCAGGCGGACCGCCGCGTCTCGCCCATCTTCACCGCCCGCCGCCGCGCGTTGCTGCAGGCCGTCGATGAGCTCCTGGGCCTGCTGGTTGAAGTACTTCGCCGCCGACGACTCCATGCTGTTCGCCCACGTGCGGCCCCACGGCTGGGCGGGCGGCAGATCGGCCAGCGGCGCGCGGGCCTGGACGATGTCCGCGGAAGTGCACTCGGTGAGGAGGTGCACCACATCCTCGATCGCCGTCGTGTCGCCACAGAACCTGCACGTGCGTTGCGACAACGGCTCATGCGCCCACGCGCCCCGGTTGGCACGCAGGTGCGAGGTGCCAAGGCGGACCTGCGACACGCACTGGAGGACGCGGGTGGTCGAGTGAAGGTCTCGCAGGTGCGGTGCGCAGCGCATGTATGGCGGGACGTGTAGGGTAACCGTCGCGGGCGTTTCATGACGGAACCAGACCCTGTCTGGGACCTGCAGGTAGTGAGCGTTGTAGGCCGCGGCGAACTGGCCGCCGATCGGCTGCGCGGTGCGCGGGTGCGTGTCGGGGAGGTCAAGTTGCAGCTTATCGATGGCTAGACACATGCGGCGGGCGTCGATGCGGGTCGGCGGTGCCGGCGCCGGCGGGTGGACGCCGAGGGTCGTCGCCATGGTCCGGACGCGCGCCGCCCAGCAGTGCGGCGTGACCTCAGCCAAGGCCAAGGTATCTTTCCACGCGGCGAGGAGCAGCTTGGGGGCGCGCGGGTCGGCCTGCAGGCCCACGAACTGGTTCCACAGTCGGGCCGCGCGACCCCACGCCACCGAGACCCCACGCAACGCAAATGCCTGACGCTCGACGTTGGTGCGAACATCGGCTACATGAGTGGTTTTATGGCGGCTCTAGGCGCTGATGTGGTTGCGCTGGAGCTGCAGAGCGACCTGGCGAAACTGATTGAGGAGACAGCCCGTATGAACTGCTGGGAAGACAGGCTCACGGTGCTCAACGGCCTCGTCGCGGTGGACCCCGCACTGGATGGGAAAATGGAAGAGGTTGATGGCGGCGCGGGCTGGCGACCGTACGGCGGGCACCGGCCGGACGTCTATAGAGTCCCCCACATTCTGCTGGATACAATCGTCGAGGGGCGCTCCTGGGATTTCATCAAGGTCGGAACGAGGGCCTGACCGACATCTCGCTGCGTCGGCCGGGTTCTGCTGCCGGCCACGTGCGTGCCCGCTCCGCTGCGGACGGTGCCTGAACATCTGTGCGACCTTGGTGCTGTGCAGCTGGACATCGACAACTTTGAGGCCGCCATGGTCGCGCGGCTTGAAGCGATGATATCGACCGGACGGGTCAAGGTCCGCTCCATACTAGTAGAGCTCAACGACGTACAAAAAGAGGTCGCCCCAGCCGCCTTCCACAGGTTGCAGCAGGTGCACGGGTACGACATTTACCGTCTGAACATGCATCTGGACCGCCGCTTCATCAACCAGAAGGGCTGGGACATATACGCGCATTATCAGGACGTCGGCGTCGACACCAAGTGCGCCCCGTCGATGCACACCCGATTGCATGGCACATCCCAAGCTCGCCCCCTCACCCACTGCTTGCTCCGCATTTTCGACGGCATCGAAGTGCACGAGCATGCTTCGCCGCCGTACTCGCAGGATCTGGGAAGAAATGTTTAGTGTGCGCCTCCTGCGCTACGTCCAGCGAGTCCGCAACTTGCCGAACCTTCAGGACTGGGACGACGTCACTGCATTTGGTATCGAGGGAACACTTTGGCCATCGCAGTTCTTGATCACCAAAGAAAAACTGCTGGAAAAGACACGTTACGAGCATGTAGCAGCCGTCGAGAACAACCGCAAGCCTTACCAAGTATATGCCGAGCAAAACGGCTTGCACATGGGACCGGGAGCTTGCCCGCCGTGGGCGCCGTGCACGGACGACGAAGTGGAGACTTGACCCCACCAAGGAGGCTCGAGGCCAGGTTGGACGCACGTCGTGGTGGCCTGCACCTGCGTTACGATCTCACACTTGCCCATCGCCGAATGGCCAGTTTAACGTGAACTCTGCCAGGAGACTCCTCTCTCGCCAAACAGCCTACGAGCAACGCGCTAGTGAGCAATGATGCAGCACTCTGAAGCTCAGTTCAGTGAAGTTGACTGTGGAGTGGACAGTCAGTGTGAGAACGGGTACTCCACCGCGTCGTTGCTCTCGACCACCCCTTTCCTTGGTCATTGTGACCTCCGGTTTGACGCCTTTTGTCAGACTTAAAGTTCATTACAACTGCGCCGCCCTGCTCAGCGGTTGAGCAGGGCGGACGTCAGCGCTTTCACGAAGTCGTTGTACATATGGTAGGCTGCGATGCCTTTCGCAGCTGCGCGGTATAATCTGTACGCGCGCATGCAGGGCGTGCATCAGGACGCGTCCACGTGACAGCGGGGGGGGGGTATTTCATTTTTTTCCAATCCCCGCCCCCCCCCCCCGCGACACCCCCCCTCCATCTCCCACGCCCTCCCCTCCCTACGCAACATCTACCCGCCCTGCCTCTCCCTCGTGCTAGATCGCCCATCGGACCCCCTTTACGGCGTGACCTGTCTTGACCGACGCAAGTGAAGCAGTACCCCGCGTACCTGCTAGTGTCGCGCTACGACAAGCGGTGCGGTTCCCCCTCCCTCGACGTGATCCAATACCCCCACATCACCAGCGCCCTGATGCGCAAACACCTTCACAACATCATTTAGGGGCCGACTACAGGCTGTCCTGTCCCGTGTCCTGTCCCGGCGGATTTCCCCGGCACGGCGGCGGGGATAGGACCGGGGATGATGGGGGGCCGGAGCCGAGCAGGTCGCTGTAGCGGGCGCCGCTCGTGAGGCGCTGAATGCCATGTTGTCATGTCATGTTGAAGAGGTCGCGCGAAACTCGCTCCGCACATTGCCAGACGCACGGGACACGGCGTCCAAGGCGAAGTCTATGATCCGTAGAGGCCGCCGGACGCGGTTATGAGGGCCGGAAGCGCAGTTCAACGGCCCGGGACGGGACGAGACTGTGGGGACAGGCGGGAGACCTGTCCTGTGGAAGTGTCCTGTCCTGACGCGTAACTCCGCGAAACCGCCCCGGCGACACAGGACCGCCGCGAATCTCGTGGGACCCGGTCGCTCTCCCACGAATCCGCGGGTCGACGCCGTGCGGGGCGATTTTCGGCAGAGTCGGGACACGGGACAGGACGGCCCATATATGCATAGGACGGCCTGTAGTCGGCCCCTTACCTGTATATCCTTACAGGTGACCGACCGCGATAGCTACGTCCACGCTCTTGCCGCCAAGATCCGCTACATGATCCGCGAATGCGGGTATGACAGAGCACGCCTCTATCGCCAGCACAGGACTGCATGCCTGAAATATGCTGTCCCACACTTTGCGCCCGCCACACCAAAAGGCGTTCACGACCTCGGTGTCGGCGAGGTTGCGCGCCTTGACGCGGCCCACGCACCCGCAAACAAAGCGTATCTCGTCGACCGCACTCGACAGGTGCCGTCGTACAACGCCCCGGCGCTGGCACCTTGGCTTTCAGCGATCTCCCCGTGAACGATTACGGTTGATACACCCCCCCCTCCCCCCCTGGGCACGCTTCGAGACCCAGGCCGTCTTGTGGCGGCCTCTGCCGGCCGCGCCTGCGCTCCGCCCGCCAGGGAGAGCGAGGGCGCTGGCCCGGCCGGGCCAGGTTGCTGAGCATGGAGCGGGTCACGGCCAAGCGGCGCCACGAACTCGCTGAGCGCGGCCGAGCGCGGCTGGAGAGCCGCATCGCCTATTTGCGCCCCCTCCCGCCGGCGCCGCCGCTCCTACCGCCCTTGCAGGAGCCAAGCGCGCCGCTGCGGCGGCTCGGGCGACGCGCTTCGCCCTAGTCCAACATTGCCGTAGCCCGCCACCCTGACCCGCGCATCTTGGGCGTGACCAGGACGGGGCGCACGAGGAGGCTGCCAGGATGGCTGGCGGCGGACTACGACGTGCCCGTGTGGAATCGTCTTCACACGGGGAGTAGCAAAGAGCCCAGACCCTCAGCCACACGGCAAGACCCCAGCGGGCCTGATGTCAGGCAACCTGCACCAGCCCAGACGGGTCCTCCATTGCTGAGTCTGTCGAGACAGGGAGGCACATGCGGCATGATGCCCCCAGTCCAGACCCCCACTCATCACCCGACGTGAGTCGTGCGCGCGCTGAAAGCACTAGGAAAAAAGGTGGCACCGTAAGGCGACGCGGAGGAAGGCCAGGGCCGGATAGATGGTGTGGCGAGTGGCTTGCAGGGGTTTAGTTCACCGCCCATCGGGGTAGGGACCGGTGCAGGGCACCGAGGGACGTGACGTGACTGGACAGGTGCTGGGGCCATGTCCAGTGCATGGGCTGTGAGTCCGTGGAGGTGAAAATGAAGCCCTTCAGGCTATAGTTCGCTGCGAAGCGTTTGATGAAGGCTGTCGAGGCGGAGTTTGGTAGGCGGCCAGCCGCCCACGTAGCCTCCACCATCAGGCGACTTTGGACCCAGCGCACGAGGCCCTGGGCTCTCTGTTCAGTCGTGCCTGGTCGCGCGGTCTCGAGGATCGCGGCACCCGGGGTGCTGAGGGCGACAGAGTAGAAGTAGGAGTACAGAGAGGTGACGGTTTCAGCGTGGAGGAACTGCCAGCCTCTAAGTAGGGGGCGGGCCGCAAGGTCGGGATGGAAGCCCGTTTTCACGTGGATCCAGTCCAGCTGGAACGTGTCAGGGACAATGTGTTTCTGTACAAGCTGTTGCCGCAGTATGTCCCACAGCCGTTGTGCCACGGGGCATGTGAAGCAGATGTGTTGTTCGTCCGGGTGCGGGACGTCCGGGCAGTGCGGGCAGCTGAGGGTATCTGCTTGCGGCCATCGGCTGTGCATATAGTCGGGAGTGTGCAGCTGGTCAGTGAGGAGAAGGTACGCCTTGCTTTTCGCTTGGCCCGACGCCGGGCCACGGAGACTCATGTCTAGGAAAGCAGCTCTTTTCCCGGGTGGGATGCCGGCCTCTTGTAGAGATTGCTGGATGTGGGGGAGCGGAGTCATGAAGGCATGCCGCGTCATCATGAGGGCGGCGTATCGCTCCTTGGTTGTCGTATCTCTGAACGGTTTGAGGGCTGTCATGGCCGGCATGTGGTATCGTCTTCACACGGGGAGTAGCAAAGAGCCCAGACCCCTCAGCCACACGGCAAGACCCCAGCGGGCCTGATGTCAGGCAGCCTGCACCAGCCCAGACGGGTCCTCCATTGCTGAGTCTGTCGAGACAGGGAGGCATACATGCCCCCAGTCCAGACCCCCACTCGTCACCCGACGCGAGTCGTGCGCGCGCTGAAAGCACTAAGGAAAAAAGGTGGCCCCGTAGGGCGATGCGGAGGAAGGCCAAGGCCGGATAGGTGATGTGGCAAGTGGTCTGCAGGGGTTTAGTTCACCGCCCATCGGGGCAGGGACCGGTGCAGGGCACCGAGGGACGTGACGTGGCTGGACAGGTGCTGGGGCCATGTCCAGTGCATGGGCTGTGAGTCTGTGGAGGTGAAAATGAAGCCCTTCAGGCTATAGTTCGCTGCGAAACGTTTGATGGACGCTTTTGAGGCGGAGTTTGGTAGGCGGCCAGCCGCCCACGTAGCCCCCACCATCAAACGACTGTGCACCCAGCGCACAAGGCCCTGGGCTCTCTGTTCAGTCGTGCCTGGTCGCGCGGTCTCGAGGATCGCTGCACCCGGGGTATCAAGGGCCACCGAGTAGAAGTAGGAGTATAAGGAGGTCACGGTTTCAGCGTGGAGGAACTGCCAGCCTCTAATCAGGGGGCGGGCCGCAAGGTCAGGATGGAAGCCCGTTTTCACGTGTATCCAGTCCAGCTGGAACGTGTCAGGGACAATGTGTTTCTGTACGAGCTGTTGTCGCAGGATGTCCCACAGCCGTTGGGCCACGGGGCATGTGAAACAGATGTGTTGTTCGTCTGGGTGCGGGACGTCAGGGCAGTGCGGACAGTTGGGGGTGTCGGCTTTCGGCCATCTGCTGTGCATGTAGTCAGGAGTATGCAGCTGGTCTGTGAGCAGGAGGTATGCCTTGCTTTTAGCTTGGCCTGATGCTGGGCCCCGGAGTCTCATGTCCAGGAATGCAGCTCTGTGTTCAGGTGGGATGCCGGCCTCTTGTAGGGATTGCTGGATGTGGGGGAGCGGAGTCATGAATGCATGTCGCGTCATCATGAGGGCGGCGTATCGCTCCTTGGTCGTTGTGTCTCGGAATGGTTTGAGGGCTGTCATGGTCGGCATGTCTTCAGGTTGGTAATCGGTCCAGTCCACATCAACGGGCACTCTCAGCACAGGTTGGGGGGCTTGGTAGGCCGGTACTGGACCGGAAAGCAGGAGCGGCAGGGTCGGGTGATCACTGCGCGCGAGGCCTGGCGGTGGGAGGCCTGTCGGGGCGGTGTGGCCAATGGTCTGTATCGTTGTGACGTATGCGCGGCGTGCGGCAAGTTGCTGCGCGAGGAAGCGGGTGAAGTGTTCGTGTGTCGTGTGGGCAGCATGGTTTGTCAGGTGTGCTGATAGGGGCACCCATGTATGAGCGATCAGGCCTGGTATTGCCGTGAGGGCACTTTGGACCTGGCCGGTTACGAAGGGGTTCGAGACGGGCTTAAGGAGGGTGAGTACTGGTTCTTGCATTAGTTGCGCAGCGGTTTGATCCCCGGGCATATGTATGGAGTATCTGTGGAAGCTGTGTGTCGCTGGGATGTTTGGCGGTAGCGGCCTGGGTGTCACTGCGTGGTCATTTGGCGCAGGGTTGAAGTCGAAGGGGACGGGGTTGTCGGATACCAAGGTGCATGGTGTCTGGAGGGGCGAGATGTCAAGCGTGTAGGTGCCGCTGGCGATGCGGTGTACTATATCTGGGGGTATGGACGCACGTGCGGTGCAGAGATGGGTTCTCAGACTGTGTCGGAGGTGGTGGAAGTTGGTGTGTATTTCATGATCAGTCATGAGGCGGTTCTCGGTCGCGTTCCACAGGTCGGCAATGCACGTGATGCCTATTTGCATGATTTTACGAGCACGAGCTCGTGCGGGTGGTTGGTGATCTCCCACATTGCAGGAGAGGCCGGCATGTCTTCAGGGTGGTAATCGGTCCAGCCCACATCAACGGGCACTCTCAGCATAGGTTGAGCCCGTTGAACAACCCCGCACACCGTGTAACACGGTGTTGTGCGCGGCGGTGCTTCTTCTTGTACTACAATGTAGCCGGTTGTCTGAGTCAGACAACGGTCGTCAGACTGACGCGCCATGCACGCGCCGATCTCGTGCACCCCCGTTGCGACCGAGGTGCTCGGGTCCACGATCTTCGCGTGTAAGAACAGCGACTCCCACTGTTCTCGTAGATGGCATAGAGCCTGTCCCGGACACCAGTAGAGTAACAGTTGGAGTGTGGTATCGTCTTCACACGGGGAGTAGCAAAGAGCCCAGACCCCTCAGCCACACGGCAGGACCCCAGCGGGCCCACTAGGCCCCGCAGCCCGGTCCCGAGTCGCACGCTTAGGTCGCACGCGGTCGACTTTCAACCGACACACCGCGTTGGGCGGACCGCCGTCTATCAAAACTTTGCGATCTAGCTGATCAGGTTTCGTCCGCGGTTTCGCCGCGGTTTGCGCGAGCGAGCGGAGGCTTGCGTGGCGGCGCCCCCAAACACGCTATGTGCGCCGTCCCTGGGCAGCTGGGACCGACGTCCTGGACCCCCACCAGCCACTGTCCAGCGCCGGTGCGACCCCATCGGCGCCAGTCGTCGGCCACGGCGGTCATCACACTGTCAGGGGAAGGGGACGACTCGTCGGACTGATGCGGCTCCGAGTCGGTCAGACGGTCGCCGTGACATTCGACGGCGTCGGACGGCCGCCTGGGACGACGTCCCTGGCTTCAAGGGCTTCCTGCGACCGCCTTGCTGGTAACACGCGCAGACCACATCGACATGCTCAGCAGCAGCATTTAGCTGCAACAGGCGTTGACCTGGGCCGGGCGTCTGTCACGGGCGAAATCCTCGTCGAGCCCTGTTTTGTGCGTCGATCCTGGCCGCATTCACTGAGCTCATGCATCTGCGGATGGCGAGAAACTTGCCCGTTTCTTGGAATGCCGGGGACGGACAGTCCACACTTGGCCTGCGGTGCAAACCGTAGCACGGCGCTCACCGTGTTGCGAGGAGTTTCTGCGGCTACGCTGGAGAGGTCGACTAAAGAACGTGGTCTGCGCGCGCGGTCCTCAATAGTTTCCGAGACGTTCACGATGTCTGTTCAGCCCTCGCTGCTTGCCCTCCCGGTGAAATGGAGGTAAGCCCGCGATCTGTGCCTCCTCGGGGACCCAGCCCGCCATGAGCGCTTCTCACTCCGACCGAACTGTGTGTTGTTCAGGGAGATCTCGCCTCGCGAGGCCCAGGGTGGCGCACGAAGGCAGCAGCGGGGTGGAGCCAACGTACGGACAGACAGGCTCAACCTTCTAGAAACCGATGGCAGTCATGTCCGAATATTTTTCGTCGACAAAGAGGTACTGCTGCAGCGACATAGCCGCGAGCAGTGAAAGCATGTTCATCTTGCACTTAACATGCCATCCTCGCATGTGTTGGTCCACAACTCCAATGTTTATGCCTGCAGGGGAATGCACTCCGCGCGGAGGACCCGCTCGACCTCCAGCCCGCGACCTCCGGCTTCAGCTCACGCGCGCTGCGACACGTCACACGGACCCTGCGTTCTGCGTTCGTGCCCGAGGATGTCAGAGATGAGTACTGGGATTATGCGAAATGGAGAGGGGTGCACCGCCTGTTTTCTGCTGTTCTGAGCACGCTTTCAACGCAAGCCCTGCTGACGTCAGTGGGCGTGGGGCGTAGAGCGTCCCTGCCAGTGACCGCAGCTGTCAACTGGGTGCTGAAGGACGGGCTTGGAAAGCTTGGCAAGCTCTCCATGGCAGCCAGCTTCGCCAGGACATACGATTCCGACATAAAACGTTTTCGGTTCGCGGCTGCCATTTTGTACAGGTGGGTCAAGCTGCCTTTGGCACCCTGCGTGGCCAGCATTGCAGAAAGCGCCTGGAAAAAATAGAAAAAAACTTTCGCTTCATGTGCAGTTCATGCACATTTTTGGAACTCCTGACGCCTGTCGCGCCGAAGCGCTTTCTTGCGCTAGCGTCGTTGTCAGCGGCTGGCAAAGCAATCGGAGTGTCTACTGCACTGGCTGTGCAACCTGCCATTCACAAGAATTTTGCGATGACGGACAACATCTCAGAAATCACGGCGAAATCACAGGCTCAACACGTCGTCGTAGATAACGTCGGAATGATCATCGCGATTGCGGTGACCAAACTAGCTGCGACGCACTTGCCAGGCAGGCAGGCTCTCCTTGCGCCCTTGTTTCTCTTCTTCCCTCTTGCAGTGGGCGATGTCTTCTGCACATACAAGGAGCTGAAGAGCGTGCATCTGCGCTCGTTGAACAGGACGAGAGCTGAAATGGTCATCACCCAGGTAAGCACGCCGACCACGACTCAATTCAACATCGCTACCCTGTGCTGCACGACCTATGCGCTGCCGATGACGTGAGCACGTATCGGATCGCTTCGTGTTGTGTGCAGTGGGTGGAAGGAGGGCTCATGCCGACCCCGCTGCAGGCATCTGCAACAGAGAACTTGTTGTTCCCGGAAATCATCGGGCCAGGACCACGCCTGCAGTTTGTGCCGTTGTCGCGCCTACCCATCACACCTAGTGAAGCTGCACTTCTTGGAGGCGGGCGCGCACGCTGGACAGCCAAACTCCTCGATGGCGCTTGGCCGGTAATGCCCTTGAGCTGCTTGAAACAAGCGACATCACTCACGTGAGCCGCTCCCATCATATCACTCATTGATATTGGATGCAGGCAACGAACTTCGGGATCGCGCTGAGGAACGACGCGACTCCGAGGGACATCCTGACGGCGATCTTGCATGCGACGTACGTGCGCATGGAAGTCACTCAGCTGAAGACCGCTGACATGACCGACACTTACCGTCGTCGTGAGATCATTGAGCACTGCTTGCAAAAAGCGCAGTTGCATAAAGGCAGTCTTCTGGCAGCTCTGTCCTCGAATGGATGGGATGTTTCACAGTTCCTGCTGGGCTCCTCCGAACGCTGTCGCTGGCGAGTGGACGACTCGCTCGCCTGATGACTCAGCTGTAGGGGACCAGAACCGAAGGCTTCGTGATGGAAGAGCTATTCCGATGTCTGAAAATCACCAGCCTCCACGACCAGGACGGTCTCCGCTGACGCGCGCCCCTCTTCCTCTGCCACGGCCACGTCCGCGGCCGCGACCCCGAGCGTGGACCGAACGCCAGTTGGATGCGATACTGCCAAACGTTTCTGAGTCCACCTGACGCTGTTCATGAAGTTTCGCGCGAACTTGGCGTTCACGGCTAGCATCGTTCTGCGCCCCTCGCGTGAACGAATCGAAGAAGTCGTCTTTGTTGTATGCCGGCCCATGCGCACCGGGGTCGGCCGGATCGCCAACTGGCTCGAATTTCTTGTTCGACTCTGAAAAGTCAAAGTCCTCCTTGGGCACCGAAATCATTTCGCCGGCGACACGCGTGCCCCTTCCTTGTCCGCGACGCTCGTGTGCAGCGCCGCGGCCATCCTCTGCGTTGGCACAAAATGTCTGACTGTGAGCCTGTTAGCCTGCTGGTCTGCAGTTTCAGTACGGCGCGGTGTGCGCTCGACTCACCCTGCCATCTAGATCCCATCTGTCCTCGGCCTGAAATCGGTCCACGCCTGCCGGCGTGTCTGAAGATGCCCTGATTGCCCTGTCCATACATGCCAACACTGTGCCCCCCTTGGGCGCCGTCGAAAGCCTGCCTTGCCTGAACGCTCACGATTGGTGCGGCTGTACCTGCCGCAACACCCCGCATTGGTGCATCTGCCTGCATCCGCGGCCCGCGCTCCGCTCCGGGATCCTGATGAGGTGCACGAGAGGGAGCAGGTGGCTGGCCCGGAGCTGGGGCACCCCCGAAGGCTGGCATTCCGTACGGCGCACGCTGAGCAGGTGGCGCCCTCGCGGTCGTCGACATCGTGGCTCCGCTGAAGGCAGGGTTCGCAGGGCGCCAGGAGGGTCCAGGAGGCTGCGAAGTGTGCCCTGCGACGTCATTTCAAACAGTGTCGCGGTTGCGACTCGGGGTTGCACGTCGTCGTCCTGCCTGTCGCGCCAAATACACACACACGCGTGGATCCAACGCGATAACTGTCTCTCCGGCCTGACCGCGAGGTCGCTTTTCCCCACAGAGCGAAGCATGTCGTCAAGATGCCATCTGCTCGGCACGCACTTCGCTCGACATGGGCCGGCGCAAGCGCGAAACGAACGAATACGCGGCGGATGTGAGACCGACGCGAACGCACCTTGCCCGGCAGGCATGCTGCCAGGTGGCGCACTTCCCTTGGCCTCCGGCCCGGACCGAAGAGAAGCACTGACAATGGCGGGGTCTTCGAACGGTCGCGCTGGTCTTGCAAGCTCTTCCGTAGCTTTGGGATCCTGGATTACGGTCAGGTCCTTGATGTCCGCACCTGCAGTCAAGGTGCAGTGAGCGCAGCAGGATGGCGCCCCTGCAGGCTCCAGCAGTGGCTCGGGGCCCGACTGTGCGCAACACGTCCGCTGTCTTTCTCGTCAAGCGGCGGCAGCCGTCGGTCTCGCCTCCGCACGCTGTAGCGGGGAGCTTGAGCCCATGCACTGAGGGGCATGTCGACGTTTGCTTAGCCAGGGTGCACCTAGACGGGTGCGCCCTTGCCAAGTGGTGCGAATACTGGACGTGTGGTCATGCTGAAGTGGACGCTGTCACCGCAGCAGACTGGCAACCAAGACGGCGATCCCCAGCACCTACCTTTGAAGACGATGTAGTCGTACGTCTCCGTAGAAGCTGGAACTTCCAATTCACCACCTCCCCGTCGGCCTTCTGTTCCATACGAGCGGACTGCGCGCGTTGAAAACGTAGAGCAGGAAGTCTCCGACCAGGTTGCCAACGGTGGCGGCAGCCCTGTGCTCTTTGACGTGCCATCCGCCCCCATGTGCACCGACAGGCAGTGAGTGAGCAGAAAAAGTCGGATGGCGATTCATCTGCACAGCTGGCACGGGTGTGCGCCCACAGCAGCCGCCCAATGTGGTGCGCACCATTTTGCAGGGCGATGCGCGACTCCTTCGCGTCGAGCTGGTACAGGACACCTTCGTATCGAATTCCACTGTTCGACGTCAAGCTGATGGTGCTGCCGTACGGCACAGCTTGTTCGGCGTCGCCCATGGCCTCACCGCTGGCTCGTATGCTGTCCACTGAATGGCTTGCAGAGGATGAACAGGATGTTGCACGGAGCGGTGAGTTCTGCAGTCTGCTTGTGTTGCGCGCGAGCGCGTGCTTCTGAGGCGCAGGTGTGTTGCGTCGACGCCGCGTCCCCGTCGGACATCCCGAATCATGTCAAATGGGAGTCGGACAGGTGGCGTCAGGACCAATAGACTCACGCATCATGCTGGTCCGGGAGCAGTTAACCTCCGGCGCACCTGGGAGTTCTGGAAAGACGCTTCGACTCCACCTTGCGGTCCGTGAGTTCCGCATGGATGGGGCTTGCGACCCCTGTGATGAGGGAGATGTCCAGGATCTGTTCGTGTTTGACGTGACGGCGTGCGGCATACTCATCGGAGCCCTCGGTTGCTCTTGAAACGTCGAGCTGCTGCTGCGGTAGCAGTTCTCGCTGGAAGAGGCGTCAGAAACAGCATTGGATGTCAGAATCGAGTTCGCTTTAGCTCGACCGGACATGACAATGTCCGGCCGGTTCTTCCCAGACAGTGATCCCCCGTCAAGAAATCGCGAGCAGACGATTTCGCTCGGCGAAGCAAACATGCAGATGAAAACATCTTCATGGATGCTCCGGCTGTCAGTTGGAGGCTGTTCTGTCTGGTGCGAAAAAGAATGACTTGGACTCTGATGAAGCGCAGGTCGACGTGTTGCCTCGATTGTGGAGGCCCTGCTGCCTCCGGAAGAAACACACGAACAACTACATACTTGAAGTGTTTTTTTGTGGTTCAGAGGCCATGCGACACCCACGCGCAGGTCGTACTGACGCAGGAGTCAGCACCCGAGAGCGAAGACAGCGATGGTGTACCCGCACACATAATGAAGCGAGGTATGGTGAAGTGCAAACGTCCTCAGGTTGACAAAAACCTGCGCGAGCAGCTTGCAGGGGACATCGATCAAATTCGAGTTCTGTGGGCTCGCAAGCATTCTGCGGCAGTCACGCTCAAGCGTCCTGATGCCGGCGGCCAGCAGCTGTGGCCAGGCGATGACGACAGCGGTCACAACCCCCCAACGTCATGCGCTACTCGTTGCTCTTTGAAGCACACGTTGAGCCGACTTTCAGCGGCGCACGAGATGTGGTCCAGTCCGAAGCAACCCGGCTTCATGTCGACCGCTGTCGTGAGATGCCGAATGATCACGCGACAGGGCCGAAAACACAGCGATGTACGCGGGTCACACACCCCGGTGCTTGAAACGTTTCAGCTCCTGACGTCACAACCATGCGCGCTCACGTAGAGCAGCCCGCACTGTGTCTGCCACTGTGCCCCCGACGAGGAGCATGCATCAGTGCTGATCCCGGACCAATCTGAGCATATGCCCTGCTGCTCCACGACAAGCCTCGATTCGCGACAGAAGGGAGCGAACCAGATCGTCGGTTAGTTCGGGCCGGTTGGAGGCGTTTCGTGAGCTGCTTGCAGTCCACAACACAAAGGCATCCTGTTCACCATCATCATGGTCGGTCTGATCTGGCTTCGCCGGCGGCTGCCGCACGTTGACGGCCGTCCATGTTTCGTCGCACCCGTCCTCTATGCCGTGCGGAAATTCCGTGTGCTGCCACGCTGCTGTCTGTAGGCAGTCTGCGAGTCGCTCGGAAGACCCTCTAGTGCCAGGCTCTCGTGTAGGAGTTTCAGGGGTGCTCCCCGCCCCCGGGGCCACAGGTGATACCGGATGCGCTGGTGCTTGCCTGGCACCTGTCCCGGCAACATCTGAGGGCGAGCTGGGAGGAGAAGGAGGTATGCTAGGTGATTGCTCTGGCGTAGCAGGGGACGAGCCAGTGCCGGCAGGTGGCGCGAAATTCTCGAGAGGGCGCCCCCGAGGACTGCCGTTCGCTACACTGTCTTCGCCATCTTCCTGTGCGGCAGTGCGATATCTCAGTGCCCTTGCGTGCCCCGTGGGGCTGCCGCTTGTAGCAGGATCGTCGCCCGGCCATGTTGTAGCCTCGATCGTCTGGGTGGTCGCAGTGCCGTGCGCGAGGCGCTCAATGGCATCTGTTTGAATCTCTGCTGCCATGCGGGTTGGAAGCTCCGTCTGGGCGCCGATCGACAGGTCTGCCATCGGCGGCTCCGTTTGACTACCCACATGACCGCGCTCGCGAGGAGCTTGAGTCTCCACCGAAGCCTTTCGGGGAGGGGTGTGAGTAGGCGACCGAGTCCCGATACATGACGTTGCCACACAGTTCGACGAGGACAGCTCGTTTCGCGCAGGAGCAACCAGCGCCATCGTATTTCCTGCGATATCAGACGCGCCACCCGTGGATGCCACAGCAGCAGTCTGTGCGACGGAGCACGGCTCCACCTCTCTTTGACAATCCACACTCCTTTCCTCCTCGACAACGTCAGGCGTGTCGAGGAGTCGTGCGATCTCCTGACTGGGTGATGAATCAAGCGGTTTTCCACCCGACCTGCTTTGCACAAGGCAGTCGAGACATGCGGGTCTGTGCGAAATGCGCAGCTGCAAGCCAGACTCCTCATCGTGACTAGCCTGCTACAACGATTCGCAAACGGTGTCGGATGGGCGAGGGCGCTGACCTCTTGCGCCCTCGGCTTTGGCACAGCAAAGCCTCCCACTCTCGGATACTTGAAGTACCCAGACCGAAGTTTGAGTCCATCTGGCCTCTCTGCCTCTCGCGTACAGTGCTTCGACTCGTGTCTAGCGCTCCCGTCGCAGAAGCAGCACCGGCATTCTTGTCGTAGATGCTCGGATACAACCCTCCCTCCGGACGCCCGTCTTTGGATCCTGCGCAGCTTGCGGAGTGAGGGGTGTTTTTTGCCGAACGGCTGCACCTCAACCAAGTCGCAATCGCCCGAAACGATGCGTCGTGTCGGTCGGTCATTGCCGC